GCAAGATATTTACTAGGTGCCATCTCCAGTTAAAAATGTCAACGAAATAGACCAAGTGAATGAATTCGGGTATCTAAGTAACATCCTAACTAGTGATGGAAGAAGTTATAAAGAAATAAAGCGCAGAATTGCAATGGAAAATACAAAATTTATGGAAAGAGAGGGCCTTAACAAAAAGAACTATACCAATCGAAAAAAGGATATTTTTAATGTTATACTTGGTCAATTATATTTATGAAAGTAAAACATGGACAATCAGTACAGACATGAAAAAGAAATTGGAATCAATGGAAATGTAGTGCTGTTGAAGAATGACGAAGATGTCCTGGACAAACAAAGTAAAGAATGACGAGGACTTGGAAATGTCAGGGTAACTGATTAAAAGAATAACTTAAAAGCAACTAAGATTTTTCGGCTACAATATCAGAGTAATGGTCTCGTGAAGTTAGTACTTGAAGGAAAGATTGATAATTCAAGATCGATAGGACGTTGCTTTCTTATAATGCTATCAAATACAAAAGCAATAAAAATATTCTATTTACAAAGTGATATATTTGCTGATAATTTCAATTTTTCAATTTAAATTTTCAAGAAATTGATAACTCCATACAATGCTTGCAGTCGACCTTCCACTTAGGCATGCAACTGTCTATATTCAGCAACTTTTGGTAAAAACGCCCTACCACTCGAAAATCCTTTAAAATTCCCTGAACCTTTCTGTTTCCAAAAGCGTAATTAGTAAAAGAAATGCTTGACAGGAATGAAGAACAGCTATAGTTTAATATAAAGAAACAAACAAAGCACAAAAGGAATTTTGTCATTCTTTTGTAAAAGACTATTTGCTAAACATTAGGTTGTAAAGAGATATATAGTCTCATTGTACATTCAGTCGTTTTTTATTGAATAAATGAATCTGGTTATCTTATCAAAATGGTTGAAGTATCATTATACATTGATAGTGTTTTAGCGAACGCCTTATTTTGTTAAGATTCATTTACTTTACAGCGTCAAGACTGTACAATGTTTTTGTCTTTGCTATCGTATTTTATCTTCTATTGACATAATCTTGTCTATGTTATTTTCCAGTTTCTATTTCTAGCTGGTGATCAAAATGTTTGAATTTACTAATGTTTGTCTGTGCGTTTTTCCAGTTCCTAAATCTTAACTGATGAGCTCATGCTTGACTTCTCAAAGTTCACTTTACGTAGTAAAGACCATTTTGCGACTCTATGGGACAAATCTAAAAAGTCAGGAAAACATCACGGCGGAACAGGAAATTCAAAGTGGGAGGGGAGGGTTCTCGAGTTGATAGCAAAATCTAACTAAAAAAGCAGCTCTTGAAAAACGCACCAAAATACTTCATGATATGTTATGCCTATGATTTTATCTGGTACTCCTTATGCTAACGATACATTGGAAGGGCCGGCGAGAGGTTGTCTGAGGCCCTGGGTATATTCGAATAAAGAGGCTTCCCTGCGAGCAAGAAATTTTTGCGACAACGCCCTTAAGATAAGCTTAAAATACATTCCAGAATATTTCTTGCAGTTATTTTCTTGCAATTGTTCAAAATATTTTGCTGTTTTTAGGACACGCTTTTGTTATGTTTGATTAATTCCACTCTTAAAATTGAATTCATTACTTTATGAGGCTCCATAGACCTCTGTTTATTCCTTCGAAGTCAAGCAATAAAAGGATTTATTGCACTTTTCATTTCCTCTATTTCTTTTCCTTTATTCTTATCTTTTATTCTTTTCTAATTTTCTTAAAAGAATTTTTTTGCAAAAAAGTTTGGGGCTGAACCCACCTATGGCGCCGCGAACGAGAGGATGAAAAGATTGAAAAGGGACCAAAAGATGATCTGCAGAAATTAAGTATAACGCAAGCAGTAAAATGTTCAAAGCAGAGATGTCTCAAAAAGCACAAAATATGAAATTTTCTAAAAAGAACTAGTAAAACACTGATTTGTTTTTTAACGTTTGTGTGATACTTCCTAAAAATTTACGACCACACCACTACAAAGACCCAAAGTGTTTTTGATTCTTAAAAAAGACACAAAAGGCATCGCTAAATATAGTGCTAAAGGGGGGTTTCCAGGTCCCATTCGCCGGCAAACCGGGTGAGCCATCCTTCATTTGCCGAAAAGTTTGAAGGTTTAACGACTAAGCAAGCCTATACTGGTCTGTTACATTTACTCTGATGAAGTATGCGGGGGCGATATATCAGTATATATTAAATTTATATTTAAATTATATTTTACAACATTGGTTCTCGCCGTCGTTTTGCATTGTTTCTGACTTTTACTTTGTATCAGCGCAATATTAAAAATGGCAAGAATAGCAAGATTCACAGAATTCGATGGGCAGCCTATCCTAGTTTCTTCTTTCCTTTATTTTCTGAGCACCCTTAGATGGCAGAAATACTTGCTTTGACGAATTAAACACTGAATATGAAAAGGTGTTTTATCAAGTGGCTGTCTCTATCTAAAAGGAGCCATTTTGTTTATTTTAACTCATTTGTTATGGTTTAGAAAGTACAACCTTTATGGTATCCAAGCTCTGGCAAGAGCTTACAAATGACATTAAAACATTTTCTTGCCTCGCAATATTTAAGAAAAATGTTAAACTTGGAAAAATACAAAATGCAACTGCAGACTATGCAAACCTTACGTTGCACAGATTGGATTCTTGTAATAGTCATCGAATAATTGTATATTTTTATCTAATGAGTTATCCTTTTAATTTTGTACATTTTCTATATTATTTTATCCATTCATTGTCATTGATTTAAGATGTGTAAATGTAGTATAAATAGTAGGCTTTAATAAACTGCTATATTAGCTAAAAAAATTTGCTTCGCCTACTGTAAATAATTTTATAATAATAAATAATAATAATTAGTTGGCTCAGCCCTATTTTTAGCAGAAAAATACTATTAGCGAGAAGTAAGAATTCCTATATGGGAGAGCTTTGTGGTGTGAAACTTTCCAAAGGTCAATGTAACATTATTTGGTTCACAGAAATAGTTTTATGGAGTAGGTTCTTGATCGAATTTGTACTAATAATTGTTTTATGATTCTGCAAATCAGTCTGCTAGTGTAGAAATTGGGAAATAAGGTTGGAAATCATGTACGTATCCCAAGTTTAACCAGATTTTAAATATCAGAGCTTGCAGCCGCAAATCTTCTCATTTGTACTTGTACCTAGCGAAAGTCTTGCTTGTCAAAGTATAGCTAAGATTCTAAAAACTGAGCCAGTTCTCTCGAGTAACTTTATTATTTAGGTGACCAACTCTATCAAAGTTAACTTGCTTAGCGAACACTTAAAACTCCAATTTATTACTACAGCATTATCAAAGAACTAATTTGATTTGTGGCAAAATTTACATGTACCGATTTTTAATGATTAAAGAGCATGGTTCTTAGAAACATTCCTCTGGACACCATCATTTTAGTCCTTAACAAACTTACATGATGCGTGTATTAAAAAATCTGCTGCGATGGACACATTTTTATATCATTTTATCCTTTTCCCTGTGATTGCTCCTTAGTCAAAGGACAAGTTCACTGTGGGCCATGCTGAAGTATGCGAAAATAGAAATTCAGTGTTTCCAAAAAGTCACTCTAAATGTAAGATTATTTACAATAGTAAAAATATATCATGAAAAAAACCAAGAATTCACCGAAAAGCATTGCAAAAATTGAAGCTTCGTTTTCATAGAGTGTACATCAAGAAATTAAAAACAATTAGACTACAAGGAGTTAATGATAGTAAAATAATAAAAAACTAATTTAAATGAGCCTTTGCTCAAGCACAAATTGTATTTTTTCATGGTTCGTTTATCATTTTATGGTTTTTATGAAACTCTTTAGATTTAACGTCGTTTCAACCTCTTTGGAAAACTCAGTCCAAAATTCTTCTGCTTCCCTGTTTTATGATAATTCGAGTCATAATTCTTATCTCCAAGAGATCTTGTTGTAGAGGCGTTCCACCATGCACCCAAGTACAAGAATGAGTGGGAGTGGATCTTTTTGCAGTTTGATTTTGTGGATTCTGTAAATGTGCAGAATCTGTACATCTTTTGATAAATTAGAGAGAGAGAGAGAGAGAGAGAGAGAGAGAGAGAGAGAGAGAGAGAGAGAGAGAGAGAAAAAGAGAGAGGAGAGAGAGAGAGAGAGAGAGAGAGAGAGAGAGAGAGAGAGAGAGAGAGAGAATGCTAATATATTTTGGCCATACATTCACGTGTATTTGGGTATGACAGGCTACATATCTGTGTAGAAGATATGTAGGCAAGAGTTTTATCAAAGCACTCAAATTTTTCTTTAGACCCCCCGAGGGAGGCACTCCCATACTTCACCTGAAGAGATTTGCCACGGAACAGGGTAAAAGTAACCGATTTAAATTACGGAACAGGGTATTTTAAATTGCATCAACACTCAGGAACAGGGCATTGAAATTACAGAAATTGTTTGGGACAGGGTATTTAAAAGCAGAAGACAGAAATGCTGTCAATTATCTGCTCCCACAAACAACAAACGTTAGTCACATCGCAGATCCTCTTTCAACTCAGGTATGTTTTGGCATAATTCTACCATATTCTTTTCAACTTTTAATGGGACAGGGTATGCTTTTGGCATATTCTAACATGGCAGAGTCACTGTGCAAAAAGTTTTCCACACAGCCCCGTCACATTCCTAGTCAAGTGCTCCCGGATACCAGGGCTATAGAGGAACCATTCTCGCTTAAAGCTTGAATACTTCAAAACAGAATTCGTTATCCTTGAAGTGATCTTCTTCAATGTCCACTCCAAGGCTTGATGAATCATCGAGCCTTGCCAATAGTCTTATAGACTTCTTTCTTATAGAAAATGTGTAACATAATGGAAGCTTGCAGACAAGCAATCCGTCTAGGGGACTACATCCAACACAAATCGGGGAGGGGATGCAACTTTGGACTCAACAGAATTTTATGGCTCAATAGAAATTTGAGACAAATTCTGCAACAATTTTGTCTACTTTCATCGGTTACCCAGCAACGATCTCAATTCCACGGCCTCGTTACCATTCTGCAACGGAAAGTTTTCCCGCGTTCAAATTTTGAAAATGGCGGTCACAATCACAGAGAAGTGGATCTGCGATAAAGTTAATTTAAAGCATGAAAATCTTGGTAAGTTCTGATTAATTTGAAAACTTGATGTTTGTAAGTATACAGCTAACCACATAATTTCAAATGAATTCCATTCTAATGGAAGAAGTGTGTGGATCGACCATTGAGCGTTTACGCGCGAAGCAAGACCTGTTTTGTTTTGTTTACACTGTTTGATTGATTTTCTTCATATATTCCAAGTTGAAATATCAATGCAAAAGCTACGTTTCCAAAGTTTATTCCTTTTGAAATGAAACTAAATATTTTCAAGAAGCAGGTGACTTTCGATTGTCCAACTCCAGATTCATTTTCATTTCAATTCTTTGGGGCGTACGCCAACAAGGGTATAATGTCTCTTTGTTCAATGCTTGTGTGGAAAATTTGATATTTTCATCTTGAATATCGCATTAATCTTTTAGTTGCATCCTTAAGAGTCTCCAACACATTATTTATCATAAATATGCATTCATGATTCATGTTGTGCCAAGTTTTGGAAAATAATACCTGTGAGATTTCATGAGCGCAGCTAGTGAACAATGGAACTGGGGTCCAGAGTTAGAGGCAGAAGAATTCCGAATTTTAGTAAATCTGAAGTGGTCGAATGGCTTAAGATTAAACCATTCAGAGTGCCAAAACATTTGTATATTTCACATTGAAAACATTCCAGAAAAACAAAGAGAACAGTCTTTTAAACGTAAGAATAAACAATCGAAGCAACAAACAATAATTATGTATGATGCTGATAATACTGACACAATAATGCATTTGACAATCATTCGCGCATCAGGTCTGGGCAAGTGATTGTCACAAACAATGTAGTGGAATGGAATGTGTTCAGCAACCACTGAGGCGTTTGATCTGAATTAAAAGAAGAATGAGGCCCAGGAAGAAATCCATGAGAAAAGTAACTCCCATCATGAGACTGTGAAAAGAGGTGAATATTCGTGAGTCTCACGGCCAAACTGTGAGACTTGGCAACCTTGTGTGCAGTGCATACAAGCATTTCCAAATTATGATCCAAAGTATGATCCAAATTATGAGTATGATCCAAATTGTCCCGTTATGGAAATATACGTTCATATGTATATATTATTTCCTGAATGCAAATTTTGAGAAGGATAAACGTGTGATTTTTTAAGAAGTATTAAGTCAGAAATTAAAAATAATTATGATAAGAAGAAAAGTCATAATGATTCAGTGTTGTGTTGGTGGCTAGTTTAATGCAGTATAATGCTGATTTTGACAAGATGTTGATGGTAAAGTGCACACAATCATATAAAAATGCCAAGTACACCAGCATTATCAACTTGATCTAGTTTTCAGGTGTGCCTCCAGCCTTGCCATTTCTTCATCTGGGGTGTGCAATCATCATGCTCTATAATATACTGGGCTATTGCCATAAAGTGCTTCTAGCATTTTCAACACATTGACTGCCATCAATGAACTAGCTGAAAATTTCCTGCCCAGCAAATTTGATGGGTAGTATGCTAAAGAAATATGGGCTAGACTGCAGTTTAGCAACCCACTTATTTGTTTCCTGGTCAGAAATTGAATTGAATCGCTACTACCTAGAAACAATGACCCAAGCAATAGTGAGGATGGAGATTTGAAGATCTGGGTATGGAATAAATGAATCAATTGATGATGAATTAACGGGGCTTTGGGGGCAGTAGCCATGAAAAGATTGTTTGATCATAACTTTTTTGTCAAACCTGTTTAATATTTTTGCTCACTAAGTGTGCATATTAAATTTGGGCTTTTATTCAATATCAGTGATGACTAACATTATATTTTTATAGATGATGTCAAGTCCTTGTCATTGCCTGGTTCCTATCATGAAAAAGTTTCTCATATTGGGAATTCACTTAGAGGTTTCACAAGACTGAAGTTCCTGGATCTTTCGCGGAATGACATTTCTGTGCTGGATGTAAGCAGCTGTAGCATGGAAAATTTCCTATATTTAGCCCTTTATTGCTATATTTATTATCATTAAAGGATGTCTCATATTTTAAGCAACTCTTGAATTCTTACCTGCTGCCAAAGAATAATATGTTTTATTGTAATATAATAAGTTCATTCTTATACTCAATACTATGTGCATGAAAGACTTTTGTTGATGAAATATAATAGGAACCTTTTTTATTAAAATAATTTCTAAGATTATGCTCAAAATGAGCCTTGTATTTGTGACAGATTCTATGTGTTCATGAAATGCAACAAGTTTCAAATTTAACATCCTTCAATGTTGCAATTATTGTAGTTACCAGTTTTTTAAACTTTCAAAAATTGTTAAGATACCTGTTTGTTTTTAAGCTTAAAATGCTAAGTTTTTCTAGAATAACATTGTCTTTTTTCTATAGGGTCTTGATCATTTGAATCTGTTGGAAACACTAAATCTGTATCCTTCTTATCATAATTTTTGATTTTTTTAATACTTTTTCTCACATTTAACAGAAACACAACCTTGCAAATTTTTCTAAAACAATGTTTTATAGTTACCTAAATTTCCAAAGAGACAAACAATGATTTTCAAGAAAATAGTGTCCTCTATATGCTGAAGAATAATTATTCAATAATTATATGCTTCTAAGCTGTTGTCCCAGATGATGATTGCATTAAACACGAACTTTTAAGCAGACACTGCAAACCCTCTCATTATAGACACCAAAGCATGACTAGTTCTTGTGATCATACCTTGTTCTTTTCTTGAAGAATACTTGAAGCAATGCTGATTTTGAAAGTGTTCTGTCATTCTTTCCAAAGCATATAACTACAAACTAATGACATTTATTAGCTAGCTAGTGTTTATTAGCTAAGTGTTCTATTGTTCTTTAGAAGTCAATTGCAGCTTAGAAACTAAACATTCTTTTTGTCTCTTGATGGGAAACCATGTGTCCGAGTTCCATTTTTTAGTCATCATTGTTGCTAGATGTTTTACTTGACTTTCTTGATCAGGTATTATAATAGTATTACCAGTTTGAAAGAACTGTATAAACTGAGGCACAATCACAATTTAAAGGTAAGCTGTGTTTCATTTTGATTTGTATCCCTTGATTAGCTCTGAATACTGACAATATAGGCTCCTTTATTACCTTCTTTTGACACTCTAAAGAGGGCTGGGATGTTTGAAATCCAACACTGCTTATGTGAAGACCAATCGCTTTTCATCTGTTTTTTCTTTCCTCTCTAGTCTTGATGGCATCATTGTCGTTACAACTCTCAATCGTGTGTCATCAATCGCTCTTGTGTCTTTAAACTTGCCCTTCTCCTTTAAACTCTCTCGGTATATTTCCGCTTGTGTGCTACAAGCTTCAGTCTAGTTTTGATCTCTCTCTTTTAAGCAACGACCTGCTTTCCTCTGATCATACTAGTATCCACTCCTTTGCTGTTGATACATATCTCAGCGCTTCATCTGAGTCACAACACAGCTCTGTTATGAACTTCGAAGAGATATGCAAGCCCCTCTCGACATTTCTAGTCTTGATTACATCATTGTCGTTACAACTCTCCTTCATTTCCTCTACTTTTTTATGCCTCAAAATTAAATGCTCCTAATCGTGTGTCATCAATCGTTCGAAGGACTTGTACCTTTGAGCTTGCCCTTCTCCAATGAAATCTTTTCAACTTCCCTACTTTTTCGGTATATTTCAGCTTGTTTGCTACAAGCTTCAGTCTAGTTTTAATCTCTCTTTTAAGCAACGACCTGCTTTCCTCTGATCATACCAGTATCCACTCCTTTGCTGTTGATACATATCTCAGCGCATCAGCTTCATTTGAGTCACAACACAGCTCTGTTATGAACTTCGAAGAGATATGCAAGGCCCTCTCAACATTGACATAAAAAAGGGAGGCACAAGAAACATGTGGGTTAGCAAGCTTTTTTAGGCTTGATCGGAGAAATCGGTGGTTTTGCAGTGGAGGAAAAGTATACTTGAAAAAACTCTTTAATGACTTGACGATGGCTAGTGACGATTTCCTGTCGGTACAAGAGATTTTCTTTGGTACGATTTTTGAAAAATTTTATACTTAAGGTTTCTTGCATGTACACAAGCTTCTCTTGTGGCTACTGCTTTTGCGTGCTTTCGGGCTTTTACAACGCTTGTTTTTCTGATACACTTCTTTAAAGCACTCAAAAATTTAAAGAAACCAATAATAAACAGATGTAATTTTATATAAGGTCAACGAAGTACTTATGTATAACTGTATTTATATTATGTCAAAGAAGAACAATAAGATATGATTTGCAAAAACATTTCACCACCAGAAAATAAAATAAAAATACATGGCAAATAAATAAACAAGAAAGGAAGACGATCCATCTGATTTAGTGGAGGATGAAGTGTAATGGAAGAAGGCTTTCTTGAAAAAGTAAAAACATTTGGGAAGGATCATTGGAGAAATATGGCTTTTCTGATGAAGAGGAGTGAGTAGGTTGTTAAGATCACTATCGGAGTCTCTGCTGATAAAGAGGTTCAAAGAGATTTGTAATTACTGGATCATAATGGCATGAAGAATAGCTTTTAGCTTAATTTTGATATCAGTTAGTTATTACTTATTAGATGGTATTCAGGTGAGAAAAATAGACTTCTGTCTTTATTATTTTATAACTTTTCTTTTTGAATAGGAAATTGACATTCGATTGAACCCAGTAACAAAGAATGAGCCAGATTACCGACTGTTTGTCATTCACATGCTGCCAACACTCAAAGTCCTAGGTATGCTTATTTTCATTCGTGAAGCTTCAAGTCTTCTAATGCAAACGTTTTACATTATTGATGTCTTATAAACAAGTTGTGTTTTGCTCTATTGCATATTATATCAAGCACGAAATTCTTTGATTTTGTAGAATAGAACTCTTGCCTTCCAATAACGTTTTTTTGAAACATGAATGCCATACATTACGGTGTCTCTCTATGGAAGGGAGAGCAGAGTTTTGCAACGTATTTTATTTATCAATATTGACATATTTTTTTGCGGGGACATGGACCTCATGACTATCAAAATTGACAATTTTTGATAAACAGCACATAACATGATCTCTTATCAACCTGCAAACATCTGTAATACATTAATCGCTTGTATCTCTATTTTGCATTGAATTTGAGTCCTAAAATCAATTGTATTAGCTATTGAAGATTTTATCCTATATTATTTCGTCTATTTTCAACTGCTTATATACCCTTGCTGTAGCTTTTAAATTGACACTGCATGTCAATATGAACATATTTTCTGAAACCTTTTTGGTGTAAGTTTTTTGCTTTGTAAAGGCAAGAGGATTTTTGCTTTCTACAATATTTTTCATCGTATTTTTCAACTTATTTTCTAAAGAAATGGTAAAATTTGTATGTTTTCTTGTATGCCAGTTTCTTGCTTTAATTTTTTTCGTTGTTTGAATTGCTTTATTATTATCTATTTTTTCAAAATGTTTGTATGCCTGTATAGGTTTGGATAAATTAAAATCAAATATTTGTTCATTAGATTCGTATATTTTTAATCCTCATCCCTTCTCTGTCAATTTTTATTTCTAATACACCAATTCGACTTACGATCTCGTTTTGGAAATTTCTCCAAAATTAATTATACGACTTTTTTAAGCTCAGATTTGGTTTTAACGTCATAATTTTAGGCGGGATACCATTTTTCATATTGTTTGAGATTGTATTTTAGATTTAACCGAGAAATGAAGTTTGAAAACTTGTAAGGGATTTGACCGCAAAAATCGTTCCGGGGGAAACTTTACCCCCCTAGTCGCCAATCACGGTCAAATCTCTTACAAGTCATAATGAAACCTGACTACTTACAATTTCATAATGAAAACTTACAATTAGACTAAAATCATTGCTGTCAATCCGAATCTGAGGTCAAAAATTTTGTACAAAAGAAATTGAAGAATTTTTCAAAATGAGGCCGTAGGTCGAATTGGTGTATTCAGAGCTGTTTAGAATTCATGTCTTGCCTTGAGTTTTTCTTTCTGCAATCAAATTTCTTTTAATTGTTTTATTCTTTATCTATATTTTATCATTATTTAGACTGATTTTTTATATAAGTTTTATATACATATTCAAGCATTTTTGAATTCATGATTCCTAAGGTGAGGAACACGAGGAATATTTGCAATATGACTTTTACCTACATTATCTACACACCGAGAGCCGCCGAGAGGTGGGGGTAGGAGGGGGCAAATCTCCATAGGGCTTCAAGATCTAGGAGGGGGCTTATAAAGTAATGATTTCTATTTTAAGAATAAAATTAACGAAATGTAACAAAATCTGGGCAGACATGAAGAATCTGGATAAGTATCTTTTTTGCTAGATGTCATATTTTTAGGAGAGCATTCCCTGACCGAAGGCGACCTGTGATTCGTTGATGCAGTCAAAAAACTCCTCGACATGTACGACACGAGGTTAATCGGATTATCCGAACCGGAGTGAGAAAATGGCTGCATAAATTTTCCGAAAGTTTATCTTTCAGTTTCAGGTTTGCCCCAGGGCCTCCATTTCCTCTCGGCGGCCATGTATGAATACATACTTCTCTGATAGCAAATCACTTGGATTTCTGTACTCTTGTTTTTAATTCCCTTCTTTGTTACTTGTTGTTTGCTACAATTGTTACACAATTTTACGTACTTTTCTTTGCTATATATTTTTACTTAAGACTTCTCAATGCTTTCTTCTCTTGGCTATATTTTTCTTGCCTATCTTTTCGAAATCTTCATTTAATCTTCATTTTCTTTAACCAGGATTCCTTTGGCATACATATTTGGCAAAAGAATGCAACTCTTTCTTGTTTATTTTCTACCTTTCTTTATATTACCTTTTACTTCGTTTTACTTTTTCTTTGAAATATTTGCATTGAATCAAAACACAGCATATTATTTACAGAACTTAATACACGACATTCTTCTCATTTCGTTAAGTATTATTTGCGTTTTTACGAATTAATAATCATTCACGAATTATATGATAGACAATCAGTTTCTGGTTCACATACCCGTTTTTTCTTCTTGGAATTGTTTTGTATCATTTGATTATTCATGGCATTTTATTTGACATTTGCGCCTTTCATTTACAAACTTTTTATCGTAGATCAGTTTGAACTTATTGGTTTTTGTTTTTTAAATTTTTTAACTTTTTTTTTTATAATGAAATGTATTTAATTCATGCTGTCAATTTGTTCCATCATATTCAATTAGATAGCCTCCGGAGTTGAATGGTTGAATTTTATAAGCTGAAAGTATCGTTTTTTATTTCATGTTTCATGTTTATTAGGGCCATTGCTAGCTATTGTCCCCAAGGGGGTGCCAGGTCCCATTTGCGGACAATGTGGGTGAGCCATCCTTTATCTGCTTACAAGTCTGAAACTTTGCTGATCAAGCACCCACTACGCCCCACTGTAGGAATGGCCCTGATATTAAAATTTTTTTGTTTTATAAATTTTCTACTGCTTTAATGTAATAATAATGTCTATTTATATTTTATGCTTCTTTTTGTTTGCTCCATATTGGTAGACTGAGGTATCAGAAACGAGGGGTTTTGGCAATAGCTGTAGCTTTGCTGTCGTACGTCTCACGAGGCCTTTTTTTTCTTTTTCTCATATAGCCTATGATGCTTTACCAAAAAGGCTATTATTTTTTCTTCAACTGCAGTCGATCTGTCGGCTAGTGAAAGTTTGTTTTCTTTGTAGATGATCGATCTGTCCGAGACAGCGAAAGAAAAGCTGCCTTATCACATTTTGACACTGACCAGGTTTGTAAACCATGTAATTCTACCTAAAGATAATCAAAGGCACTTTTCTAGCCCATCTCAGCTACCAAAACAAACAGTAGTCTTTTAAGAAGGCTATGAGAGCTTGTTTTCTTTTTGTTATTCTTTTCATTGAATGTTCTTGGTGCACCATTTGCTTGCTGTCTCATAACATTAGCCACAGTATAAACAAAATTTTGTATATTCCTAAATGTTTGCTTTGCTTTTTTTGAATGGTTTCGTTAAAGTCGAAATTCTGAGTTCCATTTTTTATCCACCACACCCCCCCCCCCCCCCCCCCCCCCTCTGTTCCATGCCTCAAAGCACACTTGGCTTCATATTATATACAACAGCTTAAACTTGGCTCATGTTGTATATCTCCTTTATTTTCATTTCTAGCATTTGTTAGGCCGATTAGTTACTCAATATCAAAATATTTATTCAAATTTTGCATGTCATCTCGATAAAATTTATTGCCATGAACAAAATTTTTGCACAATTTAGTGTTTCGATGTTGATTTTTTCACGCACTAAAGAATGGTAAATTAGCATGAAAAAAGAAGCTGTTTGCTTTCTCGGAATGGTAAACCTTATATTACCCATCTCATGTGTAGAATATGATAAAGAAGGTAGAAAACTTGATTGCTTGTCAATATAACCAACATCGCGTTCGCGTTCTACAAACTTCCTCTAGCATCCCATTCTTTGTTTCCCATTAGAGTTCTTAAGTATTACGTCATTGAAATATATATTTTTAGACTTTCAGGCTTTTGACTATTGATCTAAAAATGCACCATAAAAAACCTTTGTTAATGCAAAAATTAGTTAAATATGTCAAGAATTTGGTGGAATTTCGCCAATGAAAGATTTGCTAGCCGATTGCTGTTATTTTGGGTTGGTTAATAAAGTTATGAAAAGAAACCAAATTGAAATAATTTGATGAAAAGAGCCTGTTCTCATGTGACCACATGCCAGCCAATTCCTAACATATTTAGCTGAATTGGGACATTCAAAAGTATTTTATGATGCTATTTCTAAGTACAATTTTATGAGGTTCTTCTTAGGTACAAAGGTTATTTGGTACGAATTTAGAGATTCTGAATGTAGTTTTTTTAATAACGCCATCTGTTAAGAACTCTTCAATCCTGAGAAAGTCCTGAAACATGTGGGAACTTTGTTATGAAAACATTACAAAGAAAAACCTTCTTTTACTCCTTGGTACCCTTGGTACTCCTTGGTATTTTAGAAATAAAATTAGAAAGATGAGAGACGAGAAGCAGTTATAATGATTACATTTCAGGCTGCACAATTTGAAGAATCACCTCCAGTATCAAGGCAAAAACAGGGATCAACCAAGTGAGTGTAAATCAATATTCACTGTTTGCTGTATTTGGAGTTGTGAAGATCTTAGGGAATTGCCCTTTGGGTTTATTTTCATTTCACTAAATTGGTTTTCCTTTCATTACTAACCTTTCTTTCATAACACATTTCCATAAACCATTTATATCTTCTTACATGAAGCAGCATATTCCTCCTCGAGGTAAAGATTAGGCACAAGGCTGGGTCCACAGCCCTTTTTGTACCCATTCCTTGGTATAGAGGAAAGTTATATTCAACTTTCAGTGTATTTAACAAATGTATATTTGATACTTCTTACATCATTCCTGAATAAGCAGATGTCTACAGTATAATCAAAATAAGGATATTTTTTCAATGAACAGCTTTTTTCATTATATGTTCTAGAGCTCAAAGGCATTCTCGAGCCGATCTCGTCCAGTCTCTAGGTTCAAGACCATCAGGTAATTTATATGAGTATAAATCCTAAATATGAATATAATAATTATATCCAAAATGGATATAATGAAGAAAATACTGACAGGTTCCCCACTTACTGTTCACTCCAGCATGATGTTGCAAAAGTTTAAATTTTAAATCTTATAAAGAAAAACTCTCTGTTATCAACTTCTCTTAAGCGAATGTTTAATTTCCCCAAATTTGTTGCAGCTACTTATATTTTGTGCATGTTTTTGTTAGCTCCCAATATTAAAAAGAGCATTTTAAAGTCACCTTTATAATATGCATATGTTTTTTTTGTATTGATCAAACAATAAGATAACTGCTGCATTCATAATAGCTGCATTCTCATTGCTCTTGTTATTCTACTAATTGTTTTAGTGCATCCCGTGCCCTCTAACCTACTTTATTTTCATTAAAATTGTAACTTCTTTAGAGCACTTCAAATTTCAGAGCTCTAATGGCCCTTTACTTTTCAGTCTTCTGACTGACTGCTTGCTTTGTGTCACCTTCTCTTCATTAAAGTTTCATATTGTAAAAAGCTTTTGAATCCGGCTTTTTTCTTTTGCCCTCGATCAGTTCTAGACGATGATGATGTAGCTTTAATCGACCTCATGTCACAAGCAGACATGAGCAAGAAGGCAAAAAGCAAGTATCATGCAGAGACTTATGCGGTTCCAGGTAATACTAAGTTTGTTTCAATTTCAAGATGCAAAGATGAATTTTTGTTTAAGATGATTCTTCGTAGAGCCTGGATGCTCATACAAGTTTCCCTGTCTTGCCTCGTCTTTTATCAACATTACATTATCTACCTAGATAAATTTGATGACTGTTAACACCTACTTCGAATCCGGTATATTTAAGCCTTTCTTATGAATATGTCATTATCACTTCACCGAGCTATTATGAATAAATAGGCTGAAAGATGTTTTTTATTATCATTTTGCTGTTTTGGTTTATCTTAAATGTGCGTAGTATATATTGTTGCTATTTTGCCTATTTGCAATCGATTTCATCTTCTTTTCAAACCCATAAGATGGCTCAATTTTATAACCATTATATTTCCTGGTTTTGCTATTACGGTTTTTTGTCCTTATTTACTTCTAAACAGAACTAAGGCGGCTACCATCACCACATGCAGAAAAGTATGCAAGAAAACATAGTTCTGAGGAGGAGCTGGCAGCGACGCAGTTCCAGCGAAGGCAGGTTTCAGACACCAAGGCCCGAAATGAATATGCTACACACGATGTACAGTTTGATCACCAACCATTCGTATCTGCTGGACACTTTACAGCCCATCCACGAGGTTCTGTGCCGGGCAAAACGAGCTTTTCTGAATTGGCACATGAAGATGGTACCGATACTGGCCAATTAGGCTATGGGAGGAAAGACTCATCAAGCAATTCTGTTATAAAACCGGAAAGAGGCGTTTTGCACTCTCGTGAGTATCATAGTCCGTTCTATGAAGAAAGGAAGAGAGAAGCAGTGCGGGGAACTGACAGCAACCGTAAAAGTCGTAAAGAGAATGATAGCAAAGAGTCGTATGTAAGCAGCAAAGATTTTGCAGCAGAAGAATTGAGTCATGGTTCTCTCCAATCTCCTAAGGTAAGGCACTGAAATTGAGTAAGCTACGTCAAAATGGATCGAAAGTTTGATATAGCTGGCCTATTGTCAAATTGGCCTATTGTCTTAAATATGTAATTACATTACTGATACTCTAAGTGCAAGTCAGGAGTTTGAGGCTTTTGTGATCGCAAAGATAATTTACCATGATCTGAGTCTTATCTGATTGAATTTTTTGTTTATTTTTCATTTACATAGTTTTATTTTAAGATGTAACGAAATACCAGAAACATAGCATATTGATGTACTTTCCGTCTGACACTGAGTATAAACGTCGAATAATGACCAAAAGTAAGCATAAAATTTACATTCAGGTGTGGATCGAAAATAAGATGAAAGAAAGAAAGACGCGTTTGATTGGTTATCTTGTTTTGACCAATCAGCGACCGCTAACCTCTCACTTAATTGAAGAGCCTATAAGAGAAAAATATCTTTTTCTGTCTACTCGAGTCAGGATCCTTCGTCCTGATGTAACAAGATTACAAAAATCCTAAATGAAATAACGACCTTTCCTGCCAAATGGCCGTTTTATTTCATTTATATTTACCAGTATTTCATTTATATTCTCCATAATAATACGTCTAGTTTTGTTTATTTTCTTCGTATAATAACTTATTTCATATGCCAGTGATTACCCATAATTGATAGACAACGTTCCATGGCTAATGTCAATAGTTACTATTAGGATTCCCAAAGCCAAATGAGTTCGATTTTTCTCCTCAAATCGCATATTAAAAAACTTTCATAAACGTTTTATGCTCTTCTTATGCGGTACCGTTTTCTTTCCTTTTCGCCCTTTCATGTTTTTGATTTTCTCGTATTTGCTTGTTTCTTTCTCTGTTATTCGTCTTGTTTTTTGTCCTTGTCTCTTTCATTCTCATCATCTTTGTATTTAAACTTTACTTTTTTTCTGTCTTCTTTTCGTTCTCTTATCTACTATTATCGTCCTTTTTTCTTCATCTTCTTTGCTGATCTCTTTCACCTGTCTTTCAACCAATGAATGATGTGGCATGAATTTTGGACAAATGATTTATGGCGAAATCCTCATTTCAATCTAAATTTGTTCAATTCACTCTGCATTCTGGCTAGCATCAAACTGCTAAAAATCAACAGTTTGACAATATTGAAATCATATTGTGTTTCTTTGATTTTTTCGCTTATCGTCTTGTTTTCTAGACAACTTGAATTATACCCAGCACTGGGACATTGAATTATCAGAACGATATAACAGACAAAGCTAAGGCAAAGAAGAGATTTAATTTTTTTAAATTTAACCGGAGCCTTTTAATAGCTGGGTAGAACAGATTATCATTGTTTACAATAGTGTGTCTTTGAAAAGGTCGTCTTCTCTCCAGTTGCTATATTTGGCTGGAGGAAAGACTATTAATTATTCCAAGTCTTCTAATATACCGAGTTATTGCTATAAACCATTATGACTGAATAAGTTTTTAAAGCCACGACTGCGCTTGCCTACCCCCGCAAAGGATGACCTTGAAGATGAACTCTACTCTTTCATTTAATACAAGTAGCGGCTAATCATTTTGAAATACTTTTTTTTCCGATGAGCCAACTTTTCTATTAATTGCTTCTGTATTTTAGTGACAATTCGCGCCCACTCACGCTTTAACTCATTATTCTAGGTTATGTCTAATTATGGTATAAGAACTGTTTTTCCACAATCGGTTTTTTGATCTTGGCCTAACCGACACCCAAAAGTGTGTTCCTCATTTAAAATGTTATTCGAAGCTACGGAGAAAACAGTTTTTAACACAATTCATTTTGACTGTGCGCTTCACACTGTCGCTTTAAGCTGTCTAGAATAGACACGGCAGAGTTACTCGAGTATTTCAAATTTCGAAATGTATTATGCAATTTGCAGCTCTTCAAGCAGGTGAAAACGAAGCACAGTTGTCCGTTGCTGAAGAGAATCTTCTAGCCCTACCATTCTGCAAAACATCGCTTGCGCCACATTTTTAAGATTCTCGTTAGCATAGCTATTAAGTCAGCATAATAGCATGTAATATTCATTCAGTTGCAATATAAGCATGAAATATTAGGCTGGAATATTAGCATAGAATATTAGTTCACAATAATAGCATGGAGTATTAAATCCCAATTATAGCTTGGAATGTTATGTCGCTATAATAGCTTAGGATATTAGATCGAAATATTAGAATGACATATTAAGTCGCAATGATACCGTGTTCATAGGTCTACTTCTATTTAGTTTTCTGTACATTTTTCCTAATTTCCCGAAGCATTGTCTTGATTTCTCCCAGGGCCTTTAAACGGGTAAGAAATTAATCACCCATTGCCTTTTCTTAATCCTCGAAACATTGCTTCGCAGCTTCGTTGCATATCATTACGTGTCGATATAAAACAAAATCGATATAAAGCAAAAAGCCTGTAGAACTGCAAAATTTCAAGACAACAATAAATAGCAGAAAAACGGCATACTCTAGTATTTTTCTTCCGACACGCTTCAGAATATCTGATAATGACCAAAGTAAGCATAAAAGATGTATCAAGGTGTGGATCGGCACACCGTAAAAACCAGACCATAAGACCTATGACAAATTAGAGCTTTTTACGGAAAAAAGAAAAATTAATTAATTAACAGCAACAACAAGTAACAGTACGAACACGATTAAGCGACAACTATTAACATTTATGTAAATTTAGCCAAAACAAACAAGGAAAAAGAAGCAACAACTACAACAAAGAACTTAGTCTGCTTCGAGGGCAAAATCACTCCAAGAAAATCACTCCAAGAAAATCTTGTACACTTTTTGTGAAAATCCTATTGTTTTATCCGAAAATCCCCGGAAATCCTTTTGTTTCAAGGAAAATCTTGTACGCTATTTGCAAGAGTGAAATACCCCTCGGTCTGCTTTACAGGAGGTATGCAGTGTGGATCGAAAGTAACGTGAGAAGTTTAATTAATTGCTCCCTTGTTCTTGAGCAATCGGCGACCGTTAGCTTCTCACACAGTTGAAGAGCCCAAAAGAGGAACTATTTTCTGTCTACATATGTCGGGGTCCTTTGTTTTGATGTGAACAGATTCCAAAACTCCTAAAACAACAGATGACCTTGCTTGCCCAATGATTCTAAAACGGTCGTCGCTGTACGCTTTGGTGCACACTGGGTTTTTGATCTGTGGGTGAGTCGCATTTTTTATACATATAAACATAGGTCGGCCTGCGATGCCTTTGTGTCACGTTTATTAATTGCGAAACACGGTTCGGACATAAAGCGCTTTACAGGTGGAGAGAGCTAAAAATATACGGCTCATATCTCCAACTAATGTAACCAATTTTTTTATTGCAATCTAGGTATTGATCATGGTTTTATTGCGCTGAGATCATTATTTTTATTTTTATAAGTATGCATATCTATTGGTAGGAGCCATCCATATGATCAAAGTCTTCTTTCTCTTGACTGTGTTTAAATCAAAGTAATTGATTGCCATGTGTACCTAATGGAATATTATTTCGAAATCGATGTAACGGCGATATTACATTCTGTGACCATACACCGTACACCAAAGACCGCGAAAGCGGGGGGGGGGGCTGAGGGGGCTTTAGCCCTGCCAATAATTATTTAAAATGTAAATAATGTACTTAAAACCGTACAAAATGTACTTACACCGTCCAAAATGTACTTAAAACGTACCAAAAATTGCCTTGCTCTTGGTTTTTAGCATGTTTATTCCCCTCCCCAAAACGTTTTTGCCCCCTCAATCTGTAATATGCTCCGTGGTCTCTGCAGTACATCACAATATAATGTATTTTGAAATCGACCGTACATTACAATGCTTCTCTTTATTGCACCCTTTCCTACACCTGTAATGCTCTTCACCTGTAGTATTATTGCGACATTTCTTTAAAAAAGCTGTACATATTTTATGTTCTGTTGCTTCACCCATACCAAAGATCGAGGGGGAAATCACTCCAAGAAAACCTCGTACACCTTGTGTGAAAATCCAATAGTTTTATATGAAAATCTCCGGAAATCCTTTTGTTTCAGGGAAAATCTCGTACGCTATTTGCAAGAGTGAAATGCCCCTCGCCAAAGATAACGACCTGCTGAATGTAGCAATTTGTTTTGATTGGTTAAATTTTGATGAAGTCGCCACAGGGAAGCTATATAATTGGGTATAGCCTTGTAATATTCATATTGTAATTTACTTTCTCAGAACTAAAAAGGAATGGAAATAACGTTTGATAATCAAAGTTTCAGAAAAGAAGACGGCAATAGTTTAAGCATTCTATTGTGCATCTGAATGGAAACCTTTTACATAGTTTTTGAAGCAAGGAATGGACATCTTATAATCTGCAGCAAAATGTGTTATGATAAAACCTAGGTTCATATTCCCGTGCAGAAACAACAAATGAAGTTACGAAAAAATGTTCAATTTACTATTACAGTAGAATCATGTTATAACGTACTCGGTTATTACGTACTTTCGGATATAACGTACTACCTAACACCCTAAGGTAGATTTCAGAACACTGAAGTTATGCCAACGAGCAGTGTCCCGGGCCTTCTTCTCGATGTGACTTTACCCCGGATTTCTATTAATTTGACTAGCATTAAAGAAAGCTTGTGACACCCCTCACTTTTTGTGAAGGTTTGGTTATGTCAGAAACCACAGAGTCATCCTAGCAACTTAAATTGTTGTTCGATGTTTGTTGTCGTGTAGTCTTTCCTACACTGTCAAATTCATTTTGCCTGTTTGATGGCGTATCACAAAGCTTCTTGGTTTTAGTTCTAATAATCATTTTAGTCAGAGCTATAGTTTTAAAACGCAATTCTGAACTTATTTGATGTCTAAGTTCATGAAAAGCTTGTTCGTATATCGAAGAGGTTGTTGGAAGACCAGAAAATATCTTCTCTTCAAAGTCAGCCATACTTTGAGTGAAAAATGTTGATGATTTTAAGGATCTTTCCTCTTTCTTGAGGGTTGCAGTCCATTGCTAAAATTCCAATTACTTCTCTTTTGCTCTTTGCTCATTAAAGCTTATCTAATTTTTTCATTATAATTTTGTATTGCGTTACTTTCGTTTATTTATTTTTCTAGTATTTGCAATTAATTTTTGTTTTTGTAGTTTTGTTTTGAAATAATCTTTCATTTATGTTGGATTGTTTCATCATTTTTGCTGTTCCTACCTAATGTTTGTTGTTGTTATTATTATATCAACGTCAAAAAATCCAGTGGAGCGTCTACATCTAAAGTCCTGTCGCCATGAATTGGTGCATTATTTGCAAATAGGTGTTATCTTGTTTGAACAAAAGTTTATAAAAAATATACTCACTATTAAAAGACACCTTGATGTATCCTCAAAACGATGTTTTGAATCATTCTTTGATTTATCCAATTTGCTTTCCGTGCAACAAACATTAACAAGTAGAACATTGTGTGAAAGAAATGCACCGCCAAAATCAAGTGCGCCAGCACCGCTACAAAGACTGTGGGTGTAAGAATTTGTTTATTTGCAATCATTTGATTAACAGCATAGAACGGCTAACTATTTTGTAAAATAATAACATATAGTTCTGTTTTTCTAATACTTTAAACCTGTAAAAGAGGATCGTTAGAGGGGATACAAGCCATTGGGCTGGGGAGGGGGGCTTTAGCCCCCAACGTTTGAATTTTGTTTAAAACCAACCCCAACCAGGTAATAGGTTCTCTTAGTCCGGCAAATTTTTTTGTAAACAATGGAACTTTTGTCGAGCAGCCCCTCTAGATTTTTTCTGCCCGTGCGCTGACGCCCTTACAGACGACCCGGGGTGGATTTCCCGAGGCGTTCCACTATAGCGACGTGTGGAAAGTAAAAAGTGGTCTGAAAAAAGTCCCTTTTTTCAAGGTAGCCTATATTGAATAAAATACAAGTTTTTTTCAAATTCTTAATGTTCAATGTTTAACAGGGCTGCAGAAGTATTGCAATTTGATTTATGATATTTTACCCTGCCGGAAAATACAGTCAAAAATGAAGCGGAACTCACTTTTCAAATTCTGCAGCCAAACTTCAAAATATTTGCAAAAATTATCGCCTGTAAACCAAACAACGCGAGGAAGAAAAAATATTGAAATGGCGTCAGCAAATCGTTTTCGCGCGTATTTTTGGCAAACCTAAATTTTTATCGCCTCTTTATCCAACTTTAATACGAGAGGTTCAAAAAACAAGATTCGACTAGTGCACCAGCTCATGGCGACAGGACTCTATGATTTTTAGGGATATTTTTGAACATTTTAAAGACAATGTCCATAAGGAGCAAAATCCACAACAATGCCAAGTAGTCAAAGATTAAAGAGGTGAGAGAAAATGAACGAAATTAGGGATATAATTTCGATTTTCCAAAATGTTATGGGACAATTTGTTTGACCATGAATCTGGTATTTTCATTTTCCTTTATTTTTGAGAATATTTTACAACGTCTTATTTTAAATGTTAATTTGTAACTATTAGTTTCTTTATAAAAGGATCATTCAAAAATGCAATAAATTTGTAAGAGCACTTTTTGATTTTAACCTATATGTGCAAAGCGAAATTTTTAAAACAGGCCTCAGCAGCAGCCTTTCATTTCTGTGAATGAATGAGTTTTATTAGTAAAACACCGCAATTAATAATTCATAAATTTGTAAGTTCATTATCAAAATGAGTTCATTATTGAATTGCGATTCTAAAAGTGTCTCAGTCATGAATGAGAATATAGTGGTTGTAGAATTCTACAAAAGCTTAATACTGAAAGCCCATGCGTTTTCAGCTTAAAAGCAGTTCATCACTGACTTTCTTGTTTTTACAGACTGCTAAAAAATTGATTTAAGGTCAAAAACTAGAATGAATCTGGTCGTAAGAAACTCATTCTTAGCTTAGCTTTTGATAAAGTATTTGGTTTTTTAAACATTTTTTCTATGATTTATTTTCTTTAAATTTGCAGGCCGCACTTTCACAAGAAGAAGTTTCCCGTGGAGGAAGACAAGATTTCTTACAAAACATTTTGCTGTTGGTCGACAAGTAAGCTATTAAATTTGATTATAGCTAAGAGAAAACCCTAAAAAGTACCATTTAAGTTTTTACTAAAATCTTTTCTCCCTCTATCTCTATCTCTCTGCTGCCTAAAACTCGGAAACACCCTCAAAATGGTCTTCAAAAAATCCAGAAAATCCAAAATAACGGTTAATCGAATGTTCATCATTTCTATATTTGCTGAACAAACAAAACAGCGCCCAGTACTTTGCCCCAGCATATGAGCTTTCTGGTCAGAGAACTGAGATTATAACAGATACTACCACGAGTAAAAAATCTTTGCAAAATCTAGCTGATCTGATATTTTCAAATATTTGTAATACCCTTGTTGCAAAGCTGCGAACAGTCTTCATTTAATCAAACTGCATCTTCTGGATTTACATCGTCATGCTATTCTACATCTTCTCTTGTATTGTCCAAACTGTACTCTCTGTTATAATTTCACAGGTATTGGAATGGGTCTGGGTCTTTACAAACCGATACCAAATTTCAAGCCACTGCTATTAAATTGATAACTAAGCATCTAAGAGACAACGGGGATGCTAACAACAACGTACACGCAGAAATTTCAAAGCGTGACAGTGAGATAGAAGACCTTCGCAGCCAACTGAGCCAAAAAGAGGCAGAGAATGAGCGTTTCAAAAAGAGGCTACACAACGAAGAAGAAATCCAGCGTACTATTGAATTGGCAGATCAAGATCTCGTGAGTTGTACTTGATTTATTCTTAAACGAATGAATGCCAGATAACAGCGAATTTTGTTTCACCGCTGCTCGACTCTATAATGAATGTCATCAAGCATGACTTCTGCTTGGATCTGTACTGCACTGTATACACCCATTAGCCTGAATAAATATCACCTGATACTTAACATTGACGATATCTCAGTGGTTTAATGACTAAATATTATAATGTTAATGTAACGAAGTATGTTCTAGTTGCCTGACTAGTGCATCAATCTCGAAACTCGACTTTTTATATAAGATTTTCATCAATGGCAATTTTCCATCGTTTCCCTCGCTTTATCTTTCCAATGTCTAAACTATGTCAGTTTTCTTTGTATTAAATTCTTTCTCCTGATAATTTTTTCTGGATTCAATGCCTCTTGAAGACTGACACTTACTACATTTTTTTCTATTATTTGGAGCTCAATTATTATTCCCAAAAATGTTTACCAATACATAAAACACCTTTTTGAAATTTATTTAGATGTTTCGATTCGAAATCTGGGAACACTGACCTAATATGGTATTCATTGTTTGAACCTATTAAATCATTTTAAGGTGCATTGGAAATTTGTTTATGTTGTAGTAATTCCAAATCAAGGCTTCTGTTTTTTCAAGAAAATTCCCAATTTACATTTCGGATAACTTTCTACCAGAGCGTTTTTTGACCTACGCATTGGTGGGGGCTCTGACTTCCCCCACCACTGACGACCAAATGCTTCCTTTACCTTCAAAGGCCTAGGCCATTGTGGGGCCTTTTCAAAAGAACGAGCATAATGCAGATGTGCTGGTAAATATATCAATGAGGTGTTTTGGTGAAATTGGGTCCGGGCGCACTAACACTTGCAACATATATGACAAACGTAATACCTATTGTGTTTTAATAATGGATTTGTCAACTTTGTCTAATTCCTGAATAGTTCTGTCGTCCTGCCTCATAGAAGTAGGGATTGGGGACACAGAGAACATATGCCCCTCCACTTTTTAAAACTTCAGGTAAAATGCCCCTTTGCAGCTTAGCAAGTTGCCCTTTTTTGCCAACTGTGTAACCAAAAATTTCCCTTTCTAAATACTTAGGTGCTATACGAAATGAGCAAAGAGAGTGGAAATGCCACAGGGTCTCCAAACCCTATCGGCTAAACTGTTCACAACTAAACAGAGAATAATATCATTGTAGCCAGGCTTCTAGAAACAGCCATTTTTAACCTCCCTGGAAACTTTGTTAAAAAATTTCTCATGGACATCCGGATTCTTCACTGAAAACTTTTTAATAGAGTATCTTTCTAGTTTGGTTCCTGATCTGAAACATTTCATAAACAAAAGTTTCTAATTGGTTTCTAAACAATCTCTAAGAACTTTTTAAAGAAACTTATAAAGAAATTATAGTAGTTCGAGTAAAATCTTAAAACCTAAGACTCAATCCTACAATAACTCGGCATCGAAACAGCATGATCATTATGTTATGAATACCAAGCACCAAGATTACAATTCCTCATTCTAAGCTACATTGTTCATCCCTCAGCTATGTCCTTAGTAAGAGCAAATATTAACAAAAAAGATGTCTTCAAGAAATACGCGTGAAACATCCCATTTAGCTGTTGCAACAATATCTGGAATTTTTAGAGAAAACGAAATCATACTGCAATTTGAAGCACTGTTCAATCTTTTGTCGTAAGCATGGCCCCTTTTGAAAAATGCCCCACTACTGAAAAATCCGTAAAAAATACCCTGCTTTTCACAAAAAACTATTGATGTAGTTGGTTCCAAAGTAAGGAAATTTTTTCATCACTGATAAGACCCGCCTCCTATTCTCGCTAATCTGTTTTTAGGCATAAATTATGAAGATCCTTCAAATTTTCATTTATTTTCCGGGCTTCGTAAGACACATTGCAATGAATACCTTAAAACCTATATTTTCGTTTTGATCTTTCTACTTCCTTAAATCAGAAAATGGCAAGAGTTTCATAAACATTGAATAATCCTTGACCAGAACCGTCTTGTTTTACTGATATCATTTTCACTATAAGCTGCATCTATTTTCACAAATATTTAACGACTTTGAGGAGGAATCTGAGTACAGTCTCGAAAGTCTTTAAATTGAAGCCTTCGCGTACTTTGTACATCTAGTGCAATTTGTAAGCCTTACTCTTTGTGAAACCTGGTGTACGTCAAGGGTACTGTTTGGGCCCTCTGCCCAGATACCTTATCTCTGCCAGTTATGTTATTCTTTATGGTTTAATGCATTATCCAACACCGTTGTATTTTCTTCAATTCCTTTATAGAGACGTCTTCAAGTCCGCATAGAAGAGGTTCAAGCAGAGAACAAAGAGTTGAAAGCAAGAACTTACGATGTTGATGCCGAAAGAAAAAATATGGAAAGGACCAAATTTGAAATTGGTAAGAATTTCGTTAAGCATCATATTTGGCTGGTACCACTACAAACAAACCTGTGTCGAAAATTTCCCGTAAAACTGACTTTTGTTTTCCTGCGATTTTCTAAATTATGATAAATAATCCCTTGGCAATGGCTCTGCCTCACTTTGTCAAGGACTGACCCCGGTTTGTGTTTTTTGTCTCTCTGCTTTCTTCGATGGAAAATTTGTCACCGTTATGATTAATAGTGTCTTAAAACATTTTTTTTATAAATCAATGTCAAAAACTACGTTTCTTCAATTTCAAGATACAAACAATAGACTCTACAATATTAAGAATAATTCAAATACTGAATTACTACAATGCTACAATATTATAAGACTAGAACCTGATTACAAGGACAAAACAGGTAACACAGAGAATGTGTGAGGACACAACTTCGCTATAGCCAAGCCAACAATAGGTCCTAGAATAACTATGAGTCCATAAGTCACTATAAGCGTGAAGCGAAACCCAATGTTGAGAAAGAAAACATAACAGACAATCAGCTCTGCAAAACATTATTTTGATTCAGAGTGCAAGGAAAATACTGAAAGGCTGTTTTGAAGCCAAAATGCCTCATGAAAACCACAATCTGTCTTGACAAGTATTTGCCTGTTGAGATATGTACCTTGACAGGTTTCAGCCTGCCGAGCAGAAAATCTTTGGCTGTTGATAATATTTTGATTTGCACAATATGGTGGACATATGAATCATGGTGGTTTATAAGTAAAATCTTTTGAATGCTTCTAAAGCAAATTGAATTGCTTTCCCTAGGCGAACTGCGGCGTGTCAAAGATGCTCTCGAAAGAGAAAACAGAACACTTTCCCAGCAGTGTGAACAGCAGACAACAACGCTGTCTCAACTGCAAGAACTCACTTCAATGCTACAAGAAAGCCACAGGCAAGTCTATAAGTATCATTCGTGTTATTTGTTACTTATTCTTGTTTATACCATGCAACCTTCGTCTACAGATAACGCAAGATAACAGACGCAAATATATATTGTTCTAAAATGCTTTCCAACGGTTATAGCCTTGCAGAAACTACCTTCAAAGAACAGCTACCTAACGCCTTTGTATAATGCTTCACTATGGCGTAAATTAGAGTGTATCTTGCGGGCTTCGGTGCCAGAGTTCAAGTATCAGATCTTTTCAAGGGTTCCAGTATCAGATCTTCTCGTGTGTTCAAGTACTGGATCATCTTATGGGTTTCTGTACCACATCTTTTCGAATGTTTCAGTACCAGATCTTCTTGAGGTTTTCAGTATCATCAGATCTTCTCGTGTGTTCCATTGCTGTATCTTCTCGCGTGTTTCAGTATCTCGCGTGATTATCGTTAGGGTTTCAGAACCAGATCTTCCTGAGTGTTCCGGTACCGGATCTTCTTGAAGATTCAGTGCCAAAGCTTCCTGATATTTTCAGTACCAAATCTTCTGAAGGGTTTCAGTGCTGGATCTTCTGGAGGGTTTCAATGCTGAATCTTCTCAAAGGTTTTAAATTCAAATCTCTATTAGGGTTTCCGTGCCAGATCTTTTCGTTGGTTTCAGTGATAGTTCTTCTAGAGAGTTTTAGTGCTGGATCTTCTTAAAGGTTATAATTTCAAATCTTCACTAGGATTTCCGTGCCAGATCTTTTCGTTGGTTTCAGTGATAGGTCTTATGGAGGGTTTTAGTGCTGGATCTTCTCAAGGGTGTCAGTGCCAGATCTTTTTGAAAGCCTCAACCCCAGATCTTCTGGAGGCTCAAAGATACTTAACGTAAATAAGTTTGCAAAAAAGACTTGAACAAGTATGGTAAAGCTTTTGACATTAGGAAATTAGAAATGGCAATGAAAGACAAATACCATGGTCCCAATGAAAAGAGAGTCGGATTATGGTCCAGATGACAGGCATCAAAGATTGTTGAAATGATATTTTGAACTTGTGTCTTCTTTCACTGCTTTTTTATCACTAACTCGTCTAGAAATATTTTCATCTATACCGATGTTTTGGTATCCAGGAATAAACCAACTCTTTAGCAATATAGTCAATAGAAAAATCTATGTTAACGCCAACCTATAGAATCGGTCACATCGGCATTTTCCCAGGTAGGCAAAATTTGCTGGCATATGACCGGCTAATGTGGCACTAGTGTATCGACGTTATCGACAGCTGATTTGAAGGGTTGCCAGTGTATAGATAATAATCGAGCGAGCTGCCGAGTAGAAAAATGGTTTATGGTATGCAGCTCGGTTTACATTAGCTCGCCTCGAGCTCTATGCTGTTCTATGACGTATTCAACATCCCTGAGAGATGACAATTCAAGCCCAATTGTAAATGGAGTTTTGAATCTATTTAGTAATTAAACTTTTTGTCTCTCTGGTGTTTGCAAGAGATCAGATCTGAATGGACTTCCTTTGACACAGATCTTCGTGGAATTGCACATTCGAAAGCTTCTCCAAACGAATGCATGACCTGAAAGTCTTCTTTGTGTGTTTGCTAGACGGGTTTAGAAGACCCAGTGTGTTCTGATTCATTAATTCACGTGTACATAAAGGACCAACTTATAATCCTTACAGTGTCGAAGTCATTAAATATCATACTAATGCAAAGTCAACAGATATTACTAATGGCCATCGGACTGACTTAGTCACGTGCATTTATTAGGTCAATCGATATCTGCTTAAGCTGAAATCTTCTTAATAGTTGATCCCATTTAACGACGCCCAAAATGTCTTATTTCAGGTCTCTAGTCGTGACAAATGACCATCTTCTCCAAGAGTTGGACGAGACAAGACAGAGACACCAGCAAGAAGTTCAGCAGTTGCACTGGAGTTATGAGCAGCTAAAGAAAACAGCTGATTGGTTGCCAAGATCAGTTAAGTAACTCGGATTTCTGGCAGTATGCCTTGTAATTTGTCCCTAATCGTACTGCGATTTTCTGTTGTATATTTGGTTTTCTATTTTTAATTGTAATATATCTTACAGAAAACCACAGTTATTATACGTTGTATCTTAGAATTTTCGTAATGGTGAACTAGCCCAGGCCGAACCCCAGCATCTCCACGCTACAAACCTAGGTGAAACTTGTATTTTAGCGCTTGCTGGCTATTTTTTCCAATAATATTGATTGACAAAACAGTTTAAAACTGCCGTAGTGATTGAGAGATTTATAGCAACGATCTTCTGATTAAAAGCTCACTTTCCATTAATCTTTCCAACGTGCAAAAATGCTTTGTTTTGAGAAAAGGTTGCCTATCCATTAGAAACACCTCAATCGTCGCGAAATCATTTTTTCCTGAACAAATCATGGATGCGTCAAATTCGTCCACCTCCTTCAAAATACAGTATATGACGTGTATTTCCGTGTTTTACACATTCGCTCTTTTATGGCAAATTAAGGCCAGGCCAAAGTTACTATCCATCTTTGACTAAACCTGTGCAAAGACTTTCTCAGAGCCTTGGCCAAACTAATCTGGATGATCCCATACTTTGTTTGTCAATATTAGCCTGGGGCTGTTAACTTGAGACATTTTTCTACTACCTTGCATTGGTTGTACCCACTTATGTACACTGTAGCGCTGAAACTCTCGACCAAATATTATATAACAAGAGCCTTGCTTATGTTATTTTCGACATTTTGAAGAGGGTTGAGCTTATGCAACTTTCCACCTGTTTCGACTTGGTTTTCACAAACCTGCTGCCCCTTCTATAAAATTCTTAAACCTAAGCCTCCCACAGATCAATACTGCTTGACATGAACTTCCGCTATTAATGAGAACTATCACTAATCTTAAAAACTTTTTGCATCTAAAACCGTCCAATATTGCTAGTACAAGGGAACTATGACCTTCTGAGAGTTAGAGTCTGGGTAATTCCTTTACTTACGTAAGCAAGCAAAATGCACTACACTTACCGTATTTCCTCTACAGAACGCCGCGGCGTTCATTACAAAGTCCGACTTTTGAATGCGGCGTTAAATAGAAGGCGGCGTTTAAAAGAGGGCATTCATTTATCAGAGAGCTGTGTTTTTCACAAATTGTTGGATGAAGGTGCCGGGTTCAATAGAGGGTGGCGTTCATTAGAGGAGATACGGTAATGAAATGTTGGTTCTGTGAGCATTTAATCAGGCTGTTTCATTAAACTGTGACATTACATTTCTTTATGTTTTGAAGTGTGTCACTTCTAAAGACCGTTGTCCTTCAATTTCCTTTTAAATTTCTTGTGCTGTTTCGAATGCCAGGCTTTTCTAACGTTTGAACAATCCAGCTGTAATAATGATGTAAAATTCATATATATTGTTGTACACGTAAACAAAAATTAGCGAGCAGTTGTTTGAAGCATAATCAATAGAAAAAACTCTGGTCTGAAAGCCTATTGCTCTGTTCTTTTGTTCTCATCTAGTCTTGGAAAACACTTTTATTCTAATCACGTGACCTAAGTAGAAGAACAAGATGAAACATTCTCTAACCTCGCAATAGCAGATGCAGACAGTTTCGTTAAGCCCAGCGCACACAGGCGACCAATGTGTTTCAAAAGCAATAATATTTTGGCTTTTGACAAAGTCGCTCATTTACACGGGTCAGAGACAAAGATATTCTCCGTTTCAAAGTCTGTCTTCGCGATTGAAATACTTACTTTCAAAAAACCATTTCTCAACCCGAAAACAGCTGATAGCTGATTAAATGTGGGTGCAAAAAAGTTGAAACTGATTGATCTATTGCTTTTTCATCTATCAAATTTTCGACTAAATGCCTCTTCGTTGAATATATTTTTGTTCTGTCCTCTTCGTTGACTCTTTCTTAATTTATTAAGCCAAATAAATATATTATCTCTGGTAATGGTTCTTGCACATTGGCGTAGCGGATGTAAAAGTTTTGGGGGGCCAAGCATGGATCTCCCCGAAAATCGTTTCTTCATTGAGATAGAACTGTCCGAATGGAGCCCGAAATGTGACAAATTTTGTCTGATAAGGGGAGCTGCAACTATCCCAGCCCATTTTTCCCCACGCCGATGTTCTCACAAACAATAACATCTTCAGATTTAATTTGACGCATAAATAATTGTTTACAGTCGTGTATTTCTTTTTATACCGTTTATCCCGAGTAAGAGTGATGACTAAAATGCCTACAGCCCTGAACTGCACATTATGAGCTTGCCATTTTCATAATATCAGCACAGAATAGATTGTAAAATTACCAACATTCTCGAGAAACAATCAAAACTCAACACGCATTCCCTTACTTAGGCCACATGATTGCAATAAACACGAACAAAGGCTTCCAGACCAGATTTGTTCTATTGATTATGTTTGAAGAGCCTAACTCAAAGTGTTGCCAATCCAGGCTGGCTATTGTATAGTTGCCCCAGTCATACTGGAAGCCCTCTTAAGGTGCAAACACGGAAGTTCAAGGCATAATGATGTCAAGTTATTAAAATGGAATGAATTATCTGAGTCAGGATGGCTTTAAAACCCTGGTATAACGCTACGTGCTGCTCCTATTTCCTTCCCCAGATTTATAGTAGCTTAATTGAAGGGCCACTCTGTTCCAAGAATTTTTTCTGAGATTTCTGCATAAATTGGTAGCTGGTCATGAGTCTGGAGCTTACGTAAGTCTATTTTTTCAAAGTCTCTACTTGTTTTCTTCATATAGATGCGTGAATTCTGGCATGGCAAAACGTACCAAATCTGGTGCGTTGATTAAGCGTTCGTTTCTAGACATGATGGTACCGATCTGACAGATTGCTATAATTGACATAATTGCTAGAATGATTATATCATATAAATATATAATTCTAAGGTTCAGGTTTACTATATCGAAGTTTGGTATTTTATCAAAAAGATTTATCCTTTTTAACTCTTATCTGTATATGTTTGTTGTCATATTGATGATTATTTGAGCTTGTTATCAAAATGTTACTTTGTTTGTTCAAGATTTGTTAACCTATTAATTACTACCAGAATGCATAGCGTGTGGCAAAACTTGTGACGTAATAATGGGATCGGTCTATTTCTAAGACAGACCAATGTTAGCTGGACTTGATGGTCAACGAACGAATAACGACCCCCCCCCCCCCAGTATTGACAATGTTGCAGCCCTTGACCCTTGTGCATTAATTGTAAGGCTGATGCAGCTCAAGAGATGCCCGCATATCGTATTAATAAATTGGTTGCTAGTGGTGCATTCATGATACATACTGATGATCTATAGGGATTTCTCCCTTATTATGAGTTTTAAAAACTAATGTAAACTTACACTTTTGCATATTCGAAAAACACTCTTGTATCTGCCACTAATTCCCAAAGCAATACCAAGCGGTCCCTTGGCGTTAAAGATTACTATTTATTAAGAGCATGGAGGGACTGCTAGCAAATGCTATTAATTCAGAGATTTTGCACAGTGATCTTGTCTAAGATTGCTCATCGTCGTCTTTGTTTTATAAAGTAAGCTCAATCTTGTTGTCCATTCATTAAAACAAAAGAAGGAAGGTAGACAGTTTTTTGAGAGTTAGTAAACCCCCTTTTATGTTGCATAAATAGAACATTTTGAGAGGATTATATTGTTTGATACCACGGCATATTGGGGGAAGATGGCAATAGAAATAGCTACGTATTTGGAGTGATCATGGCGGCATCTTTGCGTTCATGCATTCCATATCATTCAAATATGCATTAAAACCTCACGAATCGTTACTTTAAAGCCCTGGAAGCTGTGTTGGATAAACTTGGTGAGACAACGTACTCCTTGCTTATTCTTTAGAATTCTTCTCTTACGGCCTTAAGGACAAGTAGCTATCAAGGAATGGCTTGTAGCTTTTTTACCTGAACTTCCCTATGTCGCTACAAAACGGCCACCTTTGTACAACATAGTCTATTGAATCATCCTTCAAAGTTGTGTCATACCTTATGCAATTTTTCTCAACAAGGAAACTTTTCCAATGGCTGAAGGAGTTAGTTGGACTCCAAACTAATAGATTCGTTCTTCAAAAGCTACATAAAAAGCTTATTTACAATTTTTGGGTTATCAAAGTGGCCATGACAAATTTTGCGATTGGCAAATGCTAACTGGGTGGTTGAAAGAGAAGTTTTGGGGACAATTAAATAAAAGTCCTTACAGGGTGAGCAGTCTGGAAATTCAAAGGCTCGTAGATATTGTCATGGCTAGAGCAAGGTAGGTTGCACATGTTTCTCCGCCATTCAGGTGGTAGATTTGCGTTTGACACCGTTTCCAATCCTTTTCTTCCCTAGTTTCTTCTGATAACCTGTCAGAAGTCACACAATTACACGATACCCTTTGTTAGTACCATAAGCTACCTGAGAGATCATTTGCACAAGTTGCAATGGATCAAATTATGCCTTATAATTTTTCATATACTAGGTCTGGAACAAAATCAGAGCTTCAACAAGGAATAACCCGCCCTGGCACCGTTTCCAAAGGAGGGTGTATGAGCCGTTTGATTTTCTGTGGTCCTGTCCTGTATCAAAACATGTATGGTTTTCTGTCGGTGGAGCTCTTGCTATCTCCCATTAGCATATGTTTTCAGACCATTAATACAAGTGAACTGATATGTTTTTCTGATAACAGATCCATATTTATTCGGAATAAACTATAATATGTGCTTTATTGCTTTCTTATCAGAGAAGTAAGTACAGTGAATAGACAATACGTATGATGAAAAGCAAAAAAGGCACTCACGGCTTCGAGAATATTACAAAATCATTCAAGCATTTCAATAGTTTATGAAAGTTTACTCAAACCCACCGATTTAAAAAAGTGCATTAAAACTGTTTAGTTGCTATATGTGATTGCTTTATGCAGAAGAAATGACAATTTATAAACAGTTGATCATGCTTAACAAATAAAAACTTATGCTCCTCTGAAAGCACAACAAACTGTCCCAGAAACTGTCACACCTACCAACTTTAACGGCATTACGAATGATGAGAATCTGAAACCATCAGTTTGTCTTCATGACAGATAGCTTTCTTAAAAATTTGGACAGCTTGAATTGATCTTGTAAAGTCAAGAATCTAGTTCCTCTTTAATTTGGAGAGGGCTATCGGAAAAGGGTTGTTTCTTTCGATGAGTTCCATCATAGTAAAAGACAAGCATCTTTAGCATTGGTAGAAACTGGACATCATTCTAGAGGCAGCGAGTGTGCACGGACAGTGGTCATCAAAGTTTCTGTGGATACAAGTTGGGGTTGGCAAACTCCAGCAAGAAAGTACACCTAATGGAGAGGGGCAGTTTTGAACAAGGAAAAATAAGCAAAAACTGAAATTTCTCTTTGAAATCAATCAAGCATCGGAAGCTGTTATTAATCAGAATAAATTTTTTACAGATAATTTTTCCATTCCCATAAGTAACTTTGAACTGAGGAAAGAACAATTTTATGTTCTGAATACTTGTAAGAGTGGCACAGCCTGACATGCTTCTATATAATCTATGTGCTTTGCATTAGCTAGTCCAAGAACAAATTTTGATCGTGTATGCGTGTTTTTAATTATGATTTATAAACACATTAACAAGTTACCTAAACACAAACACCAAGTTACCTAAATCTAAGATAGATGTTTGATAGGAAGGAGTAGGATTATATTTTGGTAGATAATTTACAATTCATTGAGTGATCTCGATATTTTTCTCAGAATTAGCTTAATTTATCGTCCTGATAAGTTGCCTTTGAATTGTGCAAATGAATTAAAATACATTTTTAAAAATATTTTCGATGCCCTCTTCCTTACAGCAAATCAGCTTCTACGAGAAATGGAAATTAAACGTTTATAAATTCCATAGTTATTTTTCATAATTTTCAATTAAAATTTCAATGTTCTTTATTTATGATTCCAATTGTTTGTAAACTTAGGTTTTCTGTCGATAATCCTGTTGTGCCCTCAAAACTCGATCAGTCCTTTCACCTTTCAGAAAAGATGACAACAAAGCCTACACAGTTCTTTTTGGTTTGTGTCCACTGTCCAACCGAAGCTCGCCTTGACAACTCGAATTCTATACCCGTAAAACAATGGTCTATCAACATCACGTTTGTTGACTTTGTGGGAGGGGGTGGAAACGTGGAAAGGAAGGTATCAATCCGTTTACTTTGCAAGAAGTTAAGATTTTTCACTAGAACGTTGGATGCGTATCTAGGACAGCGTAGTTAAAAAGATAAAGAATTGTTTCTTGGCTTAGCCATGTTTTTTATCATGTAGCGCCAGCATCTTGGTCGCATAACTTCAATCTTCTATCGATCGTTCTTCCACGTTCACCATTTATTTTCTAAATATATTCTTTATTTTGTAATTATATCAACCTGTCACCAATGCGCTTGCAGAACCATACGCTAAGATCTATTCGTATGACATTTTTGCTACATGTGCAAAATCTGATGTCTCTCTTCTCCGCCAAATCTAAGGTTTTCTTATGCTTTTTCAATATTTCACTTGTGCCATATCTCCAAACCTTTTGCAGGAAACGGATTGGCACCCTATTACCATATTTTTTGTTATTTCTGTCTTGGAGTAGAAGCTTGTGTTCTTCTGTTGAGCATACTCAATGAACCTTTGGTCATTTCTCCCAACTTTTTACGACCAAAATATATCATTTCTTGCAAAGGATATCTGAAGCACAAAAATCATAAGTATATGATTAGTATGATTCCCCAGTATACAATTTCACAGAGGGTAGCCCCAGGGACCAATACATGTTGTGTCATCAGTATATCAAATAGTTGTTAGCTGCCTGCAATCATGTTACAATGCCTGCCAATGTCTTTGGAACACCCTGAGATTTCTGTGAATTTGCGTGTCCCGTGCTATTTCCATGTCAACAAGGAGGGTGTTGCCCCCCTTCCCCCTCATACAATGTTGATTCGTTAGCTGAAAATCATAGCTATGTAAAAATGTATCACTTGTACATGTAGGATTATTCATATTTCCGTGGCACAATATTGTACAAGGAAGGAGGGGATGTTGCAGCTCGTGCACAACGTAAATTATAGCAAGTGTTCCAAGACTTTTGGCAGGCATTGTAGATCTTTGGTTAAAATTTTCTGAATACTTATTTCTGCCATTACATTGGATTTGCAGATTATTTTTAACAAGCAACTTACATATATTATAAAAAATGGAACAAAACATAAATATATTTTTCCTCATTTTAGCAACACTCAGAGCTTTGTTTTCACAATTAAAAAGTAAGTGAAAGAAAACTAGGCCTGAGAGTTATCAATTGGACTGAAAATGAGCTTATTGAACCATTGCACTACGTCCTAAAGGGAGAGAAGCAGAAAAGAAAAGGGCTAGAAAAATTTGATTTTTAACACGTTCAATATGTGACAGGGTAGGCCTTTTGGGGGCCTTCTTTGGTTTTGTTTTTGGGCACAGATTGCAAGATTGTGGTGTTTGTGTTTATTGTAGCAGTGGTCGAGTAAGCATTACATTGTGTCTTTTATACGGCCAAAGCAACAAGCGTGAAAGCGTGCATTGGTCTTGGATAGATAAACTTTGTGCTGGCATAGTTTCATTCCCACACGTTACAAGACAACATAAAGTTGGACTGGTAAAATATTCTGAGAACCATCTTACCCTTATTTGCTAACGGTTTTTGTTTGGTAACCTGGAACAAATATTAAGCTTTAATAGAATAAATAGTCGAATTGCATCATCGTAAATTCATATTTTATTTCTATTATCTACTTTTCTAACTTAAGAAAATATCGGGGAATTTGAAACATCTTCAGTAATTAATCTTTAACAAATTGAGATGAAGATGGTCATTTCAAGCCCTAGTTTTTTGTAGTGAAGCGCTGCCTTGGAAAATGATTTGAGACTCATCGATCACTTCTGCACCCAAAAGCCTTTAACGGGAAGAAATATCGAGCGACTTTCGATGAAAGTAACAGGTGCAGAACGTGAAAAGAGCTGAGGTAAACAATCCGTTATGAAGCATTGTTAAAAGAAAGAATTCATTTCCCCGTACTGAACAAGGGCAATAGTCTTCGAAGACTGGGATATTCCCATGATTCATACGAACATATATCACTGTACTTCTTTGTGGTTTTAAAAACCGTGCATAAATTACTATGTCTCATTTCGTGTTGTCTTGCACAAGAATCTTGCAACCAACTTTCTATTTTTGCTGTCCATGTGTGGATGATATCAAAGATTCGAAGAACAAAGTTGCAAAATTATTTCGCCTCATGGGTACCAATTAAAAAACGAACTATTTCAAAATAACAAATTTTCCACCTTTTTTACCAAAATATTCCAAACAAAAAGTTTTGCCATTCTAATAGCAATATAGCTAGGCTGCCGAATTTCTATGAGGAATTTCTGTCAGCTTGTACTTGAATTTCTGTACTACAAAGTCTCAAATATATGTACAGTGTTCTGGAATCGTAGCAAGGAAAACATCAAATAGTTCATGCCAAGGTATTTCGAATTTTATACATTCTCTTCATTTAAAATCTTGAAAATTGTCTTTTAATCATAGTATTATCATATCTAGAAATATCACGACTTTTCCCTTCCAAATTTGATTGCCATTTCTTAAGGGCCTTTCTGCTAATCCACCCTTACTTTTTCACTACACTCCCACCACTTATCGCCTGTCTCCTACCTATAAATTTCAGTTGGGAGACAGATCAGCAAGGGTCACCAGTTTCAAGTGGCTATTTTTAACATAAGTCGATTTTGGTTCTTTGTTTTTCTAATTTTTATTGTCTCTGTAATCTTTATTGTTTTACTACCATTGTTTTGTTTTGTTTTGCTATTGTTTAAGCCCGCTGCTGTTGTCAAGCGATGTATCCCACGATGCACCTGTTAACAACACCGCACCCTTGCGCATGCGTATTAGGCTTCATCTTGACGGCCGGCTGGTAGCTGTCTTGTTGTTTCTTCTTGCAAAAATTAAAAATGCCGAACTGATGTCGAGTAAAGCAGAATCCTACAGTACATCGATCAGAACATACGCCAAGTTCATTTCTTCATATTGTAGATATAATTAACAAGCTCGAGCCATGATGGGCTGCTGTTTTTGCCGAAGCTCGAGCTCGGATGAGGCGAAGAAAACCAGCAACAAAATCGACCAACAACTGAAGCAAGATAAAGTTGCCTACAGAGCTACGCACAGACTACTTCTGCTAGGTAACTACTCTTTCTTTGAATTATAAGCTAACTTTCGGTGAAGTCATTCGAAACTGCACCATTTCTTGAAATTTAATGTCAAAGTTGATGTCGAAATACTTTCCTCTACCAAGGTGCGGGTGAGAGTGGAAAGAGCACGATAGTGAAGCAGATGAGAATTCTCCATGTTGACGGCTTCAACGAGCAGTAAGTGAAATACGCTGCAAATATCGTGAAACTACCTTAAACTGCCTTTTGCAAACTAGTTTCGCTACAGAGTTGGGCGTAAATTTTTGCTAAAACTGAGTAAAGTCTTAAAATATTTTGAGGCATTGATTGCTACATTCTTAGCGTAAAAAGCAGACACAACATTCGACCGAGTTGTAATTTGCAGTTTTCAGAGTTTTAATGAAGCCCTCTAAATGCTGTGATCGTGAGATTGGGTTTTCTTGCTCTTAGGGAAAAAAGGGAAAGAATCGAAGACATTAAAAGAAATATCAAGGAGGCAATTCTCGTAAGTTTTACTCCATTATCTACTTGTATATGTCACAATTCGCCGGAACCACAGTTGTGGTTATTTACAATTTAGGCCAGTGAAACTTACTGTAAGGCTGGGTAAAACTACTACCACATCGGGGTTTATTTCTAAGTTGATCATCAAAATAGATGGAAAATTAGAGCATTTAGTTATGTTTAAAGTAGCTTTATTTCATTAGGTCATGTAACATTCAAGTTCTTGCCAAATAAACGAGCGACGACAGAGGTAGAATAGGCCTATGCATCACCTTGAAATGCCAAAAATTGGCTGACATCTTCATGATTTGTGCGTATAATTTAATCATTATGGCTGGTCGTTATTTTTTTTGAGAATTCTGCAGAAAAAAAATCGTTTCGTCTATCAAATGTGCATTCAGTTACAATGTCAAAAATAGGTTGAAAGTTGGCATTTTAGCTAAGTACTCAAGCGCTGTAATATTCACAGCTTTTGTCTATTCAAGTTGTACTAAATTACGTCCATAAACTGGTTTCATTTTTTTCCAAGCAAATTTGGTATGTAGATAGAATCTTTTTTTGTTTCAAAGTTTTTATTAATTGAGTAAGACCACCCAAATCAGCATGTCTTTTGTAAAACCACTATACAACCATTTATTCCCGCAGTTAGGTCAATGGTATGGAATTCACTCAAATGCCACTGAAAAGATATTTAATTTAGCTCCAGCCATGATTCTTTGCTAGTCATTGCCCCTTGTCTAATGAGGACGCAAATATATCCTAATATGCTTTTTTCTATTCAAAATCAACATTTTAGTGGGCAATCAAAGACACAAAGCTTTCAATTTGTTAACTATTATATACAATGAGCAATTGTGATATATTACCTGTATTTTATCCAAATAACTATCAAAATCATTCCATTTTCCCAAAATTCAAAGCATCACCTTGCCTAGGTCGCTTTAATAATCATATAAAAGATAGTGACAGAGTAAAAAACATGGATTAAATGTTTTTTACTATGCTAGCCACAAATTTTAAAAATCATTGGAATTTTAAAATTTTTTGTGAAGCTTAAATTAATCTTAATTTTTGGTTTTAAGACTAACAAATGTGTTTGTTTATATGTAACCAGGGTGACACCCATTAAAGCATATCAGCCAAAAAGTAAAAAAAATAGTTTTTGAAAGTGTCAGTCAGGATTATTTGATAAGTATGAGCTGAAGTTAAACTACACATTAAATGGTATTTTCAGATATTTTCCATGGATAATTTAATTTTCTACATAGTATATATAGTGTTTCACAGAAAATTTTCTATCATGAAACAATTTGGATTGCAATTCTTATAGCTTTGTACTTGCCAGGAAGATTTGAGGTTAAATTTCTAAACTGATATTTCTATATATATATAAATATCTCTACTAATTCGGAATGCCAACTCAGAACCTTCCCGTTCTATATACTGAAGCATGTGCAGATCTGCCTTTTTGTCACAGAACACCTTGTGAAAGAGAAATGAAGCAGTAATTTTCATATACATCTACCAATACACAATAGGTGCTTTTTTCAGAAACGTTGTTTAGCTTAGTTCTGTCTCACATTCAAAATGATCTGTAAGCTATGAATATGCTTGAGCAAGAATACTAAAATAAGCATTACGGAAATTTCTTGATTGGAAGTCTGCTTTATTATTTGATGTTGTCACAAAATCTTAGCAAGCTTGTTTTGTGTTCCTTCTGTCATTTTAATTCTTGTGTACAATAAGCTCTTTGTGCAGTTGAATTAAATGCATTTCGTGTGCAGTGAATTGCGTAGGTTGATCTAAAAATACATTGATTTTCCCTACTTCATCTTTGTTTTTAGTTTTAAGTTTTTGTCATTTTGAAAATAATTTTTTATTATTCAGCAATTTTGGTTGATAGTCAGATCATTTTTTTCAGATGTACAAAAGATTTGAAATGACATTTTTATGAAAAACTGTCTAATTTTGACACATAGAATGACAAATTTTGTTGATTGCATAAGATATCAGCCCCACCAAGATTTGAAATCAAACAATGTGGTTAACAAATAACGTGAATGGTATACTGAAAGTATATTTATTGAGAACCTCCTATTACCTTGTGATGCAAATCATGTTTAATGCGATGTGCTATGAGAACAGTTTTCTTGGTTTTCTATTTTGCTCTCATGTATAATTTGTTTTGTTCAGCTTTCTTTCTTTACCATATTGGTTTTTTCTGTTCTAAAGATATACATATTGTTTTATTATTGCAATTCATGCACATGAATAATTTTACATTTTATCATATAAAATATATGCAAACAATTTCACTCAAAAGCTAGAAATTGTCTTTCCCTTTTATAATAACAGGGGTAAATAAGCATGCAGAAATTTTATTTTGTAACTCCGTATTTAGTTCATACTCTTGGCATTGCCAGGCTTGGGTAAAGACCATTAGTTCCAGCATGAATTTCAAATTTAGGAACACTTTCAGTGTTGGATTTTAAATTTAAAAACTCAATAATGTTATGATAACCTTTTCTTAGTAACATGGCACATGTAGTTAGAATTGATTGTAATTAGAATTCATTCTTCATTCCAATTACTTGAATGGAGTCCCATGAATTTTTCATGGTTGCAATTTTTGAATGTTATTGGTAACAAAGTGCAACCACAATCAAATGTTTCTATATAATTGAAACAAAGCCATGAATGCTAATTGATAAGGCTAACTTTTTACTTTTCCCCAAGCACATGGAATTTCCTTGTTTGAAAGAGAAAACCATCTTGCTGTGAAACAAGTTTCGTCCTATGCATAATGTTTGTGTTTCCTAGCAACGTGTCATGTGACTAACCGGTAGATATGGACTGCAGAGTATAACTTGCTGTCGTAAATGATACAACGGCTGTGTGATGATAAATTTGCTAAGGACTTTTTGAAACCATTTCCGGGGTTTTCAGTCAATTTTTATGTAATAACCTCCGGTGGCATCCAGTTAATAAATCCAGTCGCTACTGCCAATAAACCCCCGTCAAGTTGCATAAACTATCGCCCCTAGTTATCTGAAACCACTACAACAAGCCATATTTGAGATGTGTTCATTTGCCGTTAGGTGCATTCTTTGATATAGCCAAACAGTCGTTTAAAAGTAGGTCCAAAGGTTGTATTCAGGAGTACAGTCGCTCGCTCCGTTAGCGACGTGATTTTGTATAGGGTTGAAATGCAGCCTGTTGGAAAAGCCCGTGTACAAGTGATACTAGCACTGTCAAATGCAACCTGCTATACCTGTCATGTAAGCGAGTCACCGGTCACCACAAGTAGTCAACTGTTTGGTTTGATCTAAAAATAGCTCGCCTTTTCATTCAGTAACACAATATGTACCCAGATTTTCAAACACTATTGTTCTTTTCGATTGACTATTATAACAGAGAAAGGTTAGTGTTTTATTGGAAATCTTTTCATGCTAATTTAAAAACGATCATCGTTTGGCAGTTAGCAAGCGGACAACGGCTCAGGCAGTATGAGCTTAATTTAGTTTCACAGTTGCCATACCAATCATGAACAATGTATTTACAAATAGATTTAACAGGTGGCTTGATGAAAAACCGTAAACAGTTCACGCTAAAATGAGATTTTAATTGAAGATTTAAATTTACGCCATAATTCTTGGTTGCATATTTTCTTGTCCGGCTTGCTGTTAGCAGTATAGTTCAGCTGCCCCAGTGTTGGCTAGCTCGGCGGACAACTTTCGAATCAGATTTTCCCAAAAGAAAACTTTTGATTAACCTCAACATGATTTTGAAAACCCCAGAAAAATACCTTCATCTATTGTGGTATAGAATTTTCTCTCGTATTCTAGCCACTGAATATGTAATTTTATGTCTACAATTCTCCCCAACCTGAATTAAACCAAAACCCACTTACTACATTCTGTCATAATCTAAGCTGGATGAATGGGCATCAAAATACATACACCGTTTAGATTCACCCTGCCTACTCACCCCAGAAACTAAAAATGTTTCACCCCAAAACGTTAGAAAAGCTTTAGGTTTTTCTCTCACTGCCATTATGTCCAGAAGTTAAATCATATTCGCGAAAGAGCACGGCGATTGGTATGCAAAGATAGTGAACCAGCGCTAGCCGAGTTGAATAAAAAATATTGAACTATTCATCAGCACAATCTGCAACTGCTAATGATTGAATTATTTAAAAGGAAAAACAATCTAAATCCAACATTTATGAAAACATTTTTACTGAGAGAGATAGTCAATACAATTTGAGAAATCATTTGCAGTTGCCAAAAGTAAAGACAACATCATACGGGATAGAGAAAATTCAGTACAGAGGTCACCATTTGTGGTCCTCTTTACCACGGGAAATTAAACTAGTTGAGTTCAAACGAAAAATAAAATTATGGCATGGAAATACTTGAATCTGCAGATTGTGCAAAATTTTCATTAAAGATCTATGGTTTTTGTAGGTTTTAAATTTTGTAGGCTTTGTACCTATATTAATTTTTTGTTCTTTTTTGCCAACGTAAAAAGAAATGGATAATAATAATGATAATAATGATTGCTGCACCCATTGCCGTAGACGGGGGGCACAGACTTTTGCAGCCAACGGAGGTGTCCCCTATTGTCCACATGTGCCCCTCCCTTTTTTTAGAATGCCCACATGTGCTTCCTTCGCCTGTTGCTCCTTCTGCTGTTTTAGTTGCAGTGTATTTATTTCACGATTCGTCTAGTACCCTCTAAAAGCAATGTGATTTTGCCTGCGATCTAGTCAGCTTTGGAATACTCGCGTGTGGATAATTAGCAAAGGAAAACGAACACTGCGAACAACTGTCAAAACTAATTCAAATACTCTGACTATTAAGTAAATTTTCTCAAGTCTTGCCTCTGTCACAAGAAAACACTTTCCTATTTTTCATAATTCTGGTATTTTCCCTTTTAATTAAATAACGTTTCCTGCCCTTATCCAATTGGATTCTCTGGCTGACTCAACCTGTATGGCATGATTAAGGAGTTTATCTCAAAATGTCAGCTTGAGGAAAATCATGGGATAAAAATAGAAAAATCTCTTTGATAAAGCATGCGGCTATAAGAGATTTTGACGATTATCTTAGTAAATATACTCTGTGGTAGATATCTTGTGGTTGAAGTTTCCTTGTCAAATCCTTAAGAAAAAGTAATAACTTGACATCAGGCTTGACATTTCTAAGCACACAATGGCTTATGGGTATTCTCTATCTGGCTGCTACTGTTTTCCGGCTAATTTATTGCCATTGTTATTGTGCTGAGCTATGAAGTGATATGAAAAGGTTGATAGTCGGATTTAGAGGCATAGCAACTGCCGACGTCATTAAATGCCTACCTGAAAGTTGTTTTGATGCTATATCTAAAGTTTTTGGCTAGATTGATTGTCTGGGGATGATTTTTTTTGCTTCAGCAAGCTCCCAGTTTGTCCCTGGTTTTATATTGATAATCATTGTTGGATTTCAAGTTTTGCTATAAATCTTAAAAGATTTTGTAGTTGAGAATTAATCGTGCATGTTGGGATCCCTATACTGCAAAGAAGCATACCCAAAGCTTTATTGATAAAATTGTTATTCCATGCAGACAATTACTGGTGCCATGAACACAATTTTGCCTCCAGTCAAGTTAGAGAACCCTGCAAATCAGTGGCGAGTGGACTGGCTCCAACAACATGCCACGCAGGACGATTTCAATTATCCATCGGTAAGGCTGCTTTGAATGCCAAGAAAGTATTTTTAATTTCAGGCTATATTGAACCATTGTATTACCTTCTTTCAGAGCTTTAGGCTATAAACCTTCGCCTCCACCTTCATTCCTTCTTTTGTAAAGCTCCAAATCAAGTTCAAATCAGCCTGTTTACGTCATTATTGTTTTTGTCCAGGAATTCTATGATCACGTGAAGATACTTTGGAGTGATAAAGGTGTTCAAGAATGCTTCGAAAGGTCCAATGAGTACCAACTGATCGACTGTGCCCAATAGTAAGTTTCATGCCATCAAATGCCCTGCAAATTACCAATCTTGATGTCAATCAGGATGTGTAGATTAAGCTCCTTTGAAGTTTAACTCATCTACCCCACGTCAGATCGCTCTAATATTTTTTTAATGTAGATTTTTTAGTTCGAAATGATCAAGGCCTTACGACATGGTCCCCTTTTTGTCCATTTGTATATTTACAGCGTTTAAATTTTGGCCTGAAAATCCCCTACATTTCTGTTAGGCTGAAAAAAGTACCTGACTCAGGGACCATAGCTCCCTTAAATTTTGTTATGAAGAAAAGTTATTTTGGTCTTACAACAATCAAATACAACTTAAGTCAAAAGAGCTTAAAATCATTACTTTTCTTCTCACTATTGCACATTCAATGTGAGAACTGATTTTTACTGTACCATGGATTTGTTCTTGCTTATGTATTATCCGTTAACGTTTGATATTAATATATTTTGTTTCCTGTAGTTTCCTAGACAGAGTGGATGGAGTAAGAAGGCCAGACTACAGCCCAAATAATCAGGTAGCTGTTATATAGGTCTTGCTAACAATGCTGAGAAATGCTTTAATAGTTAACCAATCAGATTGAATCTATTGATTGGTTAACGTGTTAGCAGTTAACCAATCAGATTGAATCTATTGTTTTTTGCGCATTTTCATTGGCTTGTGAAAATGTAAACAAACAATCTGATTTGCTTTACACATTATACATCGATCTTGATCGAACTGAAAGTGCACAGTTGGCTTCCTCGTATCAGTACAGCACTGTTTGGAGATTTACGCATCCCTTCACTAGCGGGCTGCATTGTGATCAAAATAACCAGGATTTGTTTGTAATCTTAGAATTGTGGTAATTGTCCCCAATTTGAGCCAAGCAGATTATTTCTATGGCAGCTTATTTCTGTGACGAGGTTATGAAGAACCTTTAAATTTTTGCAGGATCTGTTAAGGTGCCGTATTTTAACTCGTGGCATCATTGAAACGAGATTTCAAGTAGACAGAGTGAATTTCCAGTAAGTATTGCTGCCAGTTGATCGTCTTTCTTGTTTTTATTCCATTTGTAATCAGCAAGTACTTCAATTCTTAATTTTCCTAAGATTGTCTTGTTGAATAAAATACTTGGAAAATGCAAAAAGCTCCAGTAAGATCATAAACTGTTTGATTGCTATCGATCGTAACCTTGGCAACTTCATGATACTTTTCTTTGTTATTCCACATGTTTTTTACACATACTTTCAAGTTTAGCCTAACACTAGAAGACTTTTTCTCCTTTACTATATGTCCATTCCTTTTAATTTCATCATAGTATGTTTGATGTTGGTGGCCAGAGAGATGAGCGAAGAAAATGGATTCAGTGCTTCAACGGTAATAATTTATTTCAACCGCAAATTTGCATTTGTTTTTCTTATTAGTTTTTATTTTGTTATTACAAAAGCAAATGCATATGAACTTTTGTTTTATTATTAATCGATATTTTTGCCAATTTGTTGGGTTATTGTGCGCATTCTATCTGAATGCAAACAAAATTTGAGAGTTGATAAAGGACCTGCAAAATACGTCAGCATTGACGCAAGATCCTTGTTAGCTGCTCCTCTATATCATGATTGCTGTATTAAACACGACATGGTCTCACCGGAAATTCCAACTCTTGGTTTTCAGATGTAACTGCTATTATCTTTGTTGTGGCCTGTAGTAGCTACAATCTGGTACTACGCGAAGACACGAGTCAAAACAGGTTGCGGGAGAGTTTAGAGCTGTTTAAAAATATTTGGAATAACAGGTACGAACTTACATTTAGATGTTTCATTTAAAGATAATTGCTTCTGTTAGTTTCTGTTGCTAATTAGAAAGTTAGAAATTGTTCCACTAATCCAAGTATGGTCTAAGCTAGGTTAACATTCGACAGATAGGGAAATTAAGTTAATTTTGAGGTTGTAGACTACTGGTTGCAAAAACAATGCTGCATTGGATGCAGTGTGATTAATAGTTCTAATATTACGTTGAAAAATAAACAAAAAATGTAATGAAAGTGCGACCGTTTTTCATTTATTTTTTCGTGCCCAAATGCTTGTACGTCCCAAATTTTTCTTTTAGGTTCTTGAAAACAATATCGGTGATCTTGTTTTTGAACAAGCAAGATTTACTTCGCGACAAGGTCTTGGCGGGAAAATCAAAAATTGAAGATTATTTCCCAGACTATGCACGATACAGAATACCAGAGGATGGTATGATCACGCTTGTCACTAATTTATTCTTAGGTTTTAACTTTGCAAAATTTATGAAGTCTTGCATCCTTCTTAGATGGATGTCAACTTAAACGAAATCGCTTCGACTGCAGTCAATCCACCAGCTAGATTAACACTTGACAGGCCAGTTTTGAGTAAAACTTTTGAACAAAAGCAAATGAACATTTTTGTGCTTGATAAGATGCCCGAGATGTCAAGTTAGGGAAATGCACGTATTTAGGCGTCGACGAACGAAAGGCGAACATCATTTGTTGACTTCACTTTTTAGTAATGTTATCTTTCACTAGCGATCCACACAGAAGTGCTTTATAGCACTACTCTTGCATCTAGCATCGCTCAAATCATTCCAGTGACAATGTATAGGACGAGTTTAAAGGCCAACTCGTTTTAAGACTTGATTTGATGTCCTCCTGTCCCTATTCTAAATTGAATTGATCAGATCGTGCTAAACTTTTTATCCGATTGGTTCAATAGGAATCTTGACCACCGTCGAGTGTTTTAGTCTATTGAATTGAATCGAAAGCAGTAGATCGGAAAACCATAACATACGAACTGCACCTGTGTAAAATCGGTTGCTTTCGTTTAAGCGGAAAACGGGTTGAAGGCTGTCCCTTCTTTTTTGAAAAATCCACATATTCGTAAAAAGGATAGAATTTTGGCAGGGGCACAATTCTTTGAGAACAATAGGAACAAAAGGGGTTGTTCATTTGAAACAAAGAATTTTGTAGCTACTGTCCTGGTCTTTATCTTTCGGCCATCCACAACCTATCAGCAGGCATTCTGCGTGCATTCGGACCGAAAAGTTTCCTACTTTTGATCAAATGTCACTAGATCTACATTTTTATTTCATTTGTAGCCAAAAGAGAGCTCGGGGAGGAGGAGGAAGTCACCAGAGCCAAGTATTTCATCAGAGATGAGTTTCTGGTAAGTTGATTTCAAGAGTATAATTTAATGTTCAGCTTGGCAGCGATAAATTGCAAAGTTCTATTTCCTTGCCCTCATTATAATGTTTCGTTGATATGTGTTTTTTTATATTTAACCTTTTCGAATTAACCAGTCCTTTCATAAAAATATACAGTCATTGACTCCATTCTACTCCCGTGGTCAGCAAGCAAACTGATATATGTAGCCAAAGTCGGCTAGATACAATACCATTTATTTTTGTACATTTAAATTGCTTTCGCTATCTCCTTTTGTGAAAATCCTGCATCGAAATTGCAACTATAGTCCTTAATGATGGGGTGGAATATGTCGAATAACAATCGAACTGAATTTTTTTGCCTGAGATTTTTTTACGAATGCCAGCTAAATGGTATTTTATTTCCTTTTTTCCAGCGAATCAGCACAGCAACAAGCGATGGGAAGCACTACTGTTACCCACATTTTACTTGTGCTGTCGATACTGAGAATATTCGACGGGTTTTCAATGATTGTAGGGACATTATCCAGAGAATGCACCTACGACAATACGAACTACTGTGAACTAGATGCCTACTGTGTCTATTGGAGTAAACAACAACAAATATGTTTTCTGCCAAGGCGGCACCACGTATGTAAAAAAATCCTAACTTGAAAATGGCGGTACCCCGTATTCAAGAGACCTGTTATTATTGAAAATATGTATATTTGGATCCTGGTTTCTGAAAGAGCCATTTCTTCATACAAAGGCACAGGCATCGCACGTGACTACAACACGTAATATATCACGTGACCAGATCGTGTGCTCTTCAGGGAGTCTACTCTCTGCAGAATTTCCACGCAAGCGTACAGGCCGCGGTAATAGAGGGAGTTGTTCTGTTTCTTCTTATTAGCTTGATACGGTTGTAACCTAATGGAATATTCCTCCGACGACTTTCCAGGATGCTTCAACAAACAGAAAACTTCCTAAATGATAAAACGAATCCAGGAAGCTTTAAAATCCATGAAAATCACTTTTCAGAGAATTTCCAAAACCCCTAAACGTATACATCACATCCCTTTTCATATTCTACTTTTTCTTAAGATACAGATTTGATATTTGCGACACAAATATCTTTGTTTGTTTACGCAAAGGCAACTTCCTGGAAGGTCTCCTTGGAGCTGTAATTTGCGTTGATCTGGAATAACTGCCGGTGCCTCTATTGCCAAGTAAATGTATTCCAAGTATGGAAACTGAATTCCATTTGTTGCATAGTAGATGTAGATGGAAAGATTTTACAACCGTGCGATTGCAAGCTATGTAAATATTATTAGATTATTACCAATATCAACCTAGTACAATGTGAGTTACCTTGCGAATTCCCGTATTGCTCACATGTCTAACATAAGTTAAGTTTGACTAAGGTAAATTACGCAGTTCCTTAGGTCTTAGGAAAACTAAGCAGCAGTCACGTCTCAAGGATTTAAACTGTTCCCCTGATAAAAGGCAGCTTCTCTTATAGGTATTATTAAGACGTACAAAATTATTCACGATATGCTAATAAACGACATTTTTTCTGTCGTGTATTGTCTTCTCTCGTATAAAACAAGAGACGACCAAAGGTGCAGTCGATTATTTTCAGTTTCTTCTAAATAGAACACGTATCGTGCTCATGCTGCAATTCAGGCAGCCGTAAATCCTTCCGCAGTCATGCACAGACAACCTGAGTAAAGGTTGGCAGAGAAGAATGCGATCTGCGCGTGCTATGCCTTTCGAATACATTTAAATATGTTAAATGCTTGTCGAATAGAGATGTGATCTTGTAGACCGTCGGTTAGTAAATGATTTATGTCTGAGTCTCATCTATTCGTAGATAATGATGTATATAAATAAACTTGCCTGCAAACATAGTCTCTTGCTTCATTCTCTGTTTGTCTCACAGGTTCGTAACAAAGAAAAAAGGAAATTTGAATTTGTTTCTGCCTTATTTCTAGAGCTTGGACAAAAAAGGCCAGTGAAAATTCTAATGGTCAAAAATAAACAGTTAATAACCTCATTTATTTTTTATTGCCTAAAATAGTCCCTCCTTCCACGGGACTGTTTCCCAAAACAGCTCATTATTTGGACAAAGCAAGATAAATAAGACCGAGTTTTGGGGATGGTACTTTCAGTTCCTTTGTTTTCGTTAGCCCATCTTATATCCCTAGTTATTTTCTTCAGAGACCATTAGGTTAACTTCCATCAGTTTTGTCCCAAATACCAATTGGCGTTTCTGCTACTGTATAGCTATGTATATGCATAGCGTGTGTTCTACTGCGAAACTTAAATTCCATATAACGTATCTGAAATGAATAATTGTTGAGAGAGCGATGTAAGGGTTTTTCATCGATCTCTTCATTTCTTCGAATAATGTTTAACAAAAGTTACTGATCGCAAAAAAATTGAGCAATTGCCTTCGAATCTGACACTAAGGTGAAAAATGGTTAACCAGGGCCGATTGTTATTTTCTTTGGATTGGATGGGATCGTCTTATTACAATTCTGAAATTGGCCATGCCAAGACCGAATCACATTTGAATTGGTCTGTATAGGTAGTGTGAACAGTTACGTTTTTTCCAAAGACTTCCCCCCGATTTTGTGAAATCTTCCAAATCAATGGCTACCTTCTCGGGGGAACTTGAACCCAGGACAGACTTTGGTCGACCCCTCCGACCAAAAACTTTTACCTTCAGTAAACACGTATTTCCTTCAATGTGGTTTATAGTAGTGTCTATTTGCAAAAAGCACGGCCTATAAGGCATGACAGCAAAACTTAATACTAAATTACTAACAGAATCGCAGTCTTGGGGACAGATCCATCATTAGAAACCCTAGAAAAATTAACCTGAAGGGCACACAAATTAAATTACAAGCCATAAAAGACACTCAAAATAAGGAAATCATTTAAAAAAGTCGGTAAACGTTTCAATTGACCTGGTTAAACGAAAATGTCTTTTTCGAGTCTATTGTTTATTACTGTTTTGGCTGTGTTGCCCGTGGCAGCCCTGAAATAGTTTTGCGATGTTACAGAATACTAAAACGAGGCAGAAACAGAATGTTGACCCAGTTGCCATGGAAAATGCCAAAACTGAACGATGAAAACGTTGAAAACTAAACAATAGTGCTGAGGTAAGAAACCGATTTGAAATCGGCGATTTCTTAAAATAGACAAGTTTGCAATGCGTAGAATATTTAGCAAGAATAAACTTGTTTGGTTTATTACCGCGTCTGGTGTTCTTTAAACCCTCAAGCCAGCATATTCTACGTAATTATTTCATAAAATCATAAAAAAATGATCCAGATCTGATTCGAACAGTAAAGCACAAGTGAATTTTATCTTCTTTGCTTGTTTGCATCACAACATGGTATAGGCTAAATCGGGGTAATTTGGGACAATTTCTAGGTTTTTTCCTACCACTGCTCACATCACAGCTATTAGAAAGGCCAATTAACCTTTTCATATACATTTACTAGATAGTAAAGATTAATATTGAAGAAAGTTTTTCTATATTCCTTTTTCGGTAATATGTCCTACTTTTAAGGTTGCTGTCCCAAATTACCACGGATGGGGTAATTTGGTACATACAGAATTCATTATTGCAAACGACATAAAGGCACAGACAAACTGCGTCGAAAGAAACCATGTATGCTTAAATTTCACCGCAATTTCATAAATAACAACAATTTTAAAAGTACAGGTTTTCTTCTAATATTAGTAAATTTCCCAAATTGTGGGTGTCCCAAATTTCCCCTGTCCCAAATTATCCCAGTTTACCCTAGGCCTAAAAGATCTTTATGTATAGAATTTTGTAGCTTGTAACTTTTTACAGTGGTATAAGCCCTTTTATGGCAATGAAACATGAAACTGAAAGGGAGCAGAAACTGAAAGAAACATATTATGTTTTAAACTCGAAGTTATATTTTTAAACTTTAATCAGATATTGATGTGGAAAATTAGGGTTGAAGCAGGTCCACGTCAGCTTCAGCTGACACATAGATTTTAACCTACTTAAACAAATACATAATGAAATGATAGCGAAAAGCAAAAATCAATTTAGATCAATTTAGATAAACAATCAAAATTTTAGGTTTTAATCGTGAAGATAGCAGACAAAGTCCAGTTTTGAAAGAGAGTATGCGATGAAGAGAAGGCCAAGATTTGTTAGTAAACTGACGAACAGAATTCAAAAGATTGCAAGCAACAATAAGAGCAAAAGTGGACCACATATCAAGTAAGCAAGTAGCTAATCTCTACCTCCAGTTCAAATTTTGTTGCAATCTTGCTAGCAAAATTTTGTGCAGGTTCTTTGCCATTTCCACAAGTCATTAAAAAATTCAAACTTCAGGTTACTATGGGTCTCAGCAAAAAAGGTTGAATTACATATCAAGGGCCAAAGCTGCCTAAAGCAAAACTACAAACAGGAAACAAACTAATTTGTGCATATTGAGTTGATCATCAGGCATCTAAAATCCCTGCCAAAAGTCCTTGGAAGACTCTGTTGCTAAAGTGTTGTTTTGAAACCATTAACTATTAAAAAAACCACAAAATTTTGCTGCTTAACATGGCAAGAAACAGCATTGATTGACTGGTGAAGGGAGCGCAATAGAAGATGTTCAACTATTTAGTGTAATATACCAAGACTTTTGTCATGGATTATAAAAGATGGATAGAAGGAGGTGACTTGGTTTTTGTATCTTCCCTGTTGTAATGTGATAATTTTGCAAGGTAATGTATCTTTCTTCTTAGCCAGTAACTCCTTTTTGACAACAAAATTGAACTATTTTTATAAGACCAAGTGGCCAGTAGCACAACAAGACCATCTCATCCCTTTCTTTATTCTTTATTTGGCCAAGGGAAGTAGTAGACATGCCTCCTCTAGAATATTTTCTTTCACCTTATCAACAGTTTTTAATAAATATGCTTTGGCTACATGTAAAATGCCTCAAATTAATGCAATGAATTTTTTGTAACATTTTAACACTTTAATTTTCATATGCAATGATAAATATAAAAATTTATTCAAGATCTTCATAAACAAAATTAAGGTTAGATATCACAGCTTTTCAATCTGTATAGAAAGATTATATGTTGACTTAATTTTTCTCCATTTACACTCATTCTGTATTTGTTATGAATTTTTCTAGCTATTTGCCAAGTGAGCTGTTGCTGAAAATATTTGAGTACCTAAGCCCATCTGACATTTTGAGATGTGCACGGACATGCAAACTCTGGCTTGAAGAATGCAATCAAAAGTAAGCAAATTTGACAATTGAAATCACTTTAAATAAATAAGACCCAATAGGGCTATATTACTATTAGCTGTGGCTAGGAGCATGCCCCATGTAAGCCATCACAGTAGATAAGCTGATAGGCTGTTAGATAAAATACTTTTTTGGATATGCTCTGAAAGACCTCGGTTCCCCCCAAGCAGTGGTGGTGCCATGGGGTTGTATAGGGGGTAATTCCTCCCCCCCCCACCAACAACATAGCTGTAGACGTCAGCTAGGGTGGGCAAACTTGAGCAAGAACCATACCTGATGGGGGAAGGATTTAAAAAAGAGCGCAAACACATAACAATTAACAAACAGATATATTTTGACTAAATCAAGCTCACAAAATTATAATTGTGCCAGCGTCTCAAAATATCATTTGGAAAAAGTGCAGCCAGAGAGGGCAAGTTGTTGTCAAAATGTTCATTTGGGGGGCACAGTCCCCCGTGCCCCCTGCAGCTACGTGGCTGCCCCCTACTTTTGTCGAAGCATGGTCTACATATTTCTTCTAAAAACTGATTCTGGCTCAAAAGCTATCTTTAAACGGCTACCTTGAAAACATGGAATGGGAATGTGGAATGTTGGAATGTGTTTTCTAAAACCTGTATAAAACCTGTATAACTAAAACCTGGGTGCGATCTGTTGTTATTTACCATGGGGTTATTTACCATGGGGTTATTTACCATGGGGTTATTTACCATGGGGTTGGTAAATAACCGATCTGTTGTTGTCTACCAAGAACATAAAATGTCTCGCAGATTCGTTAAAGAAGGTATCAAATCTGTTATCTTGTGCTTTATCTTATGTTAAATCAGTTTGAGGGCCATATCACCAACAAATTTTCTTGCACCTTTTAAAAAAATTTCTTGTTAGGAAGAGTCCGCCAAACATCCCTAAAATTTTTATTATTTTAATCTTTAATTAAAATCTTGCACTTTTTTGCAAGAGTGGTACACCCCTTAAAACAGTTGACTAGCAACATTGTGTAATTGAGACCTAACTTGAAATAATCAGGAATAACCTTATCAAGACCCAGTCTGGCAGAAGGGCGTTGCTTACAAACATTTTTGCGCTCATTTCTATCTCAAACCAGTGAGGTTTAAAAAGGGCCACGAAATAAAAAGTGTGCTATCTTTTTAGCTGCACATGTTTTTTCTTCCTAATTTCTTTGTATTATCATCTTTTAATTTACTAATAAGCAGTATTGCACTCCCAAACAAGGGAAGGAATAGTGCTACCGCTGTTTTACAAAAAGTGGCTTTTCGATTATTGAATGTAAAGATATTCATTACTTATTATTTATTTCTATCTATTTATTTATTTTGCCTATTTCGATCCAAAACTGAGTATATATATTTCCTAGCCTAGATCTATGTTCTGACGTTTTATACTCTGAAGAATGCTAGACAAAAAGCTTTAAGTTATGTCGTGAAATGTTTGCTTTTTTCCAAGCAAATTTGTTTGTTTTAAGATGTTCATTATTTTAAATTTGAAGTGATTTGTGGAGACAGCAGTTCCGAAAACTTCCAGGAAAAGTTCAGAAATTCTCTTTAGAAGCGAAGAAGCCAACAGAAAATATTAACTGGAAAAGGGAAACAATAACATGGTGAGTGTTCAATACAATAGGGCTTTGAAAAATTGATTTTGAATTTCATATGGGGTCTCTACGTGGCCACAGCCTTTGAGAAAAAGAGGTCCCTAATTTTTAAAAGAAACATAAAACAGGCGCAAGACTTTCATGTTTCGTATTAACCCTTTATTATTTTTTTTAGTTTAGCATTAATTTTATCAAACCCTTTTTGCAATGGTTTTTTGAGCTTTAATGCTGAATTTAGAGAACATCTTGATTGTGCTCAAATTTTGTGTTCATTTGAACTTTGGAAGTTTTTTTACTGTAAGGAGCTGCTTCTTGTAAAAAATCTTTTGTCAGCTTCCAATTATCAGTGGAAGGAGCTTTTATGGGAAATTAAATTATTACACTGTTCTCTTCCATTGTCAAATATTTCCTCTGTCCACAGTTGAGCATAAAATGTAACACGTAGCCGATCGTAACTTTTGGGCAAAGTGTCCCTGCTTGCTGTTTTTTATCTTCAGTAATCATCTTGCATTTTGCTGCGTCAAATTTGCCTTTCTGCATCTTTTATAGCCTAAAAAAGTCAAGGAAAAAGCACGTCTCTATGCTTATGAAAAAGAAGAGCCGTTACTCCGGGTTGCCTGAGAAAACGACTGAAACAATAAGGTAAAATTTACGCTAATGCATCCGTCATTGTTTGCAGGTTGCAATGTTCAAAGCAAAAGTGTTGTACCTCATACAAAACAATATTGAAATTATCCAAGGAGGGTATCTGGCATTGTAGCAGGAAAATTAACAACAAATTACACGGAACTACATAAACTTGATTTCTCTAAGTTGCTGAGAAATTTCATCCTGGAAATGGAGTATAAAAAACTGTAGGTGCTTGTCTTGTGCTTTGCCATTTATAACCAGACATGTTGTCTAGTCATCCAACGCTTGTACTCTTTCTTTAAGGGTGCTAAAAAAGTTTAAAATGCTCTGATTTTGGGTTAATTACTAAATTTCCATGCATCAAATTATGTTATAAGGCTTAAAAATGGTTGCAAAAAGTTTGTGAGTTATGTTTTCCTGTTCGTATTGCCACTTTTTTTTGAAAAAAATGGATTATGCAAAATGAGTTAAATTTTCTGCTGTTGTTATTTTGAGCCTTTTAACTTGCGTGCGTTTTATATTTAAACAACTGCCTTGTTCTCTAGGTACCTTGATGTACAATGGGCAGCCGTTATAACCGATACAGAAGGAAATGATTATACGCTTCTCTCGAAGGAGGCAACGTATTATACAACCTCGCTTTCAGTGTGCTGGAACGATATCGATCTGCCACCTGTTGGGAGGCTTGCCTCTTGTCGCATTTTTGCCCAGTGTCCTGTTTTTCAAAATTCAATCGATGCAGCACAAAAAGATAGGTTAGCTGAAGGCCATTTCAAAATTTTTATTTTGATAGATAGTATCTGCAGACTTTCACAAGAATAAAACAGCTCACGTTACTTCTGTAGTTCCGTTGGCTTCAAAATTTTGCATCATTGGCACATGCGCAGTTACAACCGACGTCGTCATTTTCACAGCGCTTAATATATTTTGTGGTAATATACTAAAATATATTTTGTGGCTGTCGTGGGAAAAAAGACAAACTCGAATCAAGGGTGTCATGAGAAGAGGGATAATTAATATCTGGTTCAAATACACAATTATGATATAGAATAGTTTTGATAAAATGCTGTTAAGCGCCATGAGATGTGCGTTCTCATTGGTTCAGATAGATTGATGGAACAATAGCGCTAACCAATATGAGTTTAGACTCGTCTATCCAACAAATATAGGAACAATTCGACCCATATCTTGAGGGTGGGCAAACACTTTTTGACAAAGATTTTCTGATACATAGGAAAGAGCATGAATTAGTGCCAAACAGTACCGGATATTCTGATCCTGCTCTTCCCTCTTACAACTGCTTTCCTCAAGTTACTGTGCTTTTCATAGGCAAATTATGCATTAACCTAGCTCGACCATGATTCAATACATTGCAATAGTCTCTTTTTATGCCTAATTGATGAAAAGATTCAGAATACAAGAGTAAAAAACTTGATAAAAAAACAAGAGTAAACAGTAGAAGCAAAATAGGACATTATAAATAGTGACATAATAATAGCGAATAAAGTTCACTAAGCTTTAAAATTTCTGCTTCGAATTTATTTTGTTGTTTTTTTGCTATTCTTTTGAAATTACATGCTTTCAACTACAATTGAAAATTTTTATTTTAGAATGGAGGAAAATTACTTATTGGCAAGCGTAAGCACTTGTTGGGTATTCGAAAAAGGCCTAGCTAGGAAATTTGTAAATTTAAAATTCTGCCTAGGCTGAAAATTTCTTGCTTTTAATCTACATACCAGTGATTCTTTGTACAGTGTGAAGTCTAAAAATTGCTTTTTTATGATCATGGAACGATAGTGTTGCGAAAATAGTATCACAGTTTTCCTGAATTGTTTTTAGTGCCTTTACAAGATCTTTAATGGCAGAGGTTTCGCTCAAAGGTAAGAATTTCTATGAAAATTATCTCCGTCTCAACATATGGACTGTGTAAAAATAAGACGATTGTAATTCGTCTGAACGTGCCCTTAATGACGTCATATGCACAAGTCATTTACTTTCTTGCAGGTAGTGCTTTCGACCAGACGCATCTTCTTGGCAAAGACTATCATGTTTCGAGTTACGCTCCACTCACTGATTTAGTTTTTGGATTGTGGCATGATGATATCACGGTAAGAGATTTTCTTTGTCGTGGTTTTATCGTTTCATATCGTGGTCTTTTCAGTGGGATCTCTATTCTCTATCTGCGTCTTCATCTTTTTGTTAGCAAGATTTTTTAAACTATAATAATATACTACTGTCTGAAAAGATTTGGGTGATGTAATGCTACACTTTGGTCATATTTCAATAGTATAGCTTCATCAGATTTCTTTGATGGGCCAATTTCTACAGAATATTTTGAATAATTACTATTCATAATGTTTTGTACAATTTTTATGCAGTTTTGCAATAGTGAGACAGTTTCGCAATAGTGAATTATTTACAAGAAATTTTGCTAATAGATTAGTTGATTTTACTCAAACCTCTATGATGTGTTTTATGTTTTATTTTCAAATTAATTTACAAAATGTTTATTCTTGGTATAGACACCTTTTCAGATTTTTATCAATGTTCGTTTGTTGCTTTTCCCCATTGTTGACACTCGCGCTTGTCTGCCAATCCCCCCCCCCCTTCCGCGGGTTGCACTTCACCAGGAAAGTGACAGGGATGTGCAGAAAACATTTATGTACCCTGACCGTGTGCAATAAAAAATATAGAAAAAGGATACTCTGTCCCTATAAAAACGCAATACAAGCATACTAAAATTGTTTGTGGGAGCGGATAATTGAAGAATTTCTGTTTTCTGTATCTATATACCCTGTTACGAACAATTTTCTAAATTTTGTTATCCTTTCCCAGAGTTTTTAGACAATTCAGAATAACATGTCCAATAATTTCAATCCCAAAATTATACCCTGTTCTGCTTATGGACAAGTATGGGAGTGCCCCCACTGGACAAATTTCCCTTCAGAATATCAATTTTTTGTTGTATACATCGTTGAGAATCAAATATACTTTTATGTTACTACTTACTTATACTGTCCGAATATTATACAACAAAATATGATAGATAATGTCTTATGTTGATTGAAGGATAAGAAGACGAAATTTTCTAGCAAAAACGATGATTCTTCTAATACTGCTGCCCGTCCAAGACATCCAAAAGCTTATTTGCTCGTTCAGACGATAATGTTTATAATTCACAACAATATACGCAGAAATCCTCAATGTACGTCCCTGTGTGCAGGACCAATTATAAATGACCCTTTTTTAAATAAGAACAAGTTAAATTGAGGTTAAGGCTGACTGTTCTTAATTTCCCAAATTTGTGGCTATATTATTCTAAATTTCTTCCAATATCAAAAAATGGTTCAATAAATTTTAAACCCTCAAAGTTAAGTTGTCGCCCAAGCATTGTCATTTTCCGGCAAGCATACTCTTATCTAATTTCATTTCTTTGACTTGACCAGTGACATCATCTTGTAAGTGTAACAACAAGGCAAAAGTTTGGTAATGAAAACTCTTAGAGCAAAATTTTTAAAAAATTCATACGCCAAAAGTCAAACTTTGTTTTCAATTCTCAAAATCAATAAGCATTCATTTGCCTCTTCTTGATCTTAATAAATCTTCGATAATAATATTACTCACTTGGCAAGAGTTTTGAAACAAAAGCTATGATGCATACTAATCATACATTGACATCAAATAGATTTTTGTTTTGTATGCATGAAATTGCTTTCCATTACTGCAGAAAAACATTGGACTGGTGTAAGGCAGGTGTTGTTTTTTTAATGCTATCAGCAAAATATAAACCCTTTCCTGAAAGATATATGTTCTTATGTTCTCACATTTTATAGCACCGCAGCTTCAGCTTTGTCTTAATTTGCTCTTAATTTTTATGTTCTTACGAATTTGGGGCTCGTGTTAAAAAAAGACCGTTAAGCAATCCAAACTTTTTTGTGGGCAGATGACGACCGTTATTTGTGCGAGGCATGTCCTTGAATCTAAAAAAAGTTATCTTATTTTTAGAATTCCTATCAATGTTGCTAGCAACTCGGTCTTTTTAGTTGATTGCTTGTCATTGCTCCATAGCAACATCGCAACATCGCATTTATTACTCTCAATCGCCATTTCCTGAATATCATCGACAATTTACTGAACGGAACATCTGCAAGGCAAGCTCAGTGAATTTTTTCTAATTTTGTCCTATGTTATCTGCCTAAGGCTTTGTTTGAGTTCTATTTTTATATGGGCAGAATGCTTTATTCACATTAAATTTTTAAGAAAATGATTTAACCGTTTCAGACTTTATGAACACATGCTTTTTTAGGATATCAAATCCTATGAGATGCGATTTTTCAGGAGTATATAAAACTCTATACAGATAGCTTAGCTGTTCTATAAGCTAAATTATTCATTCATTCGCTGAGCTGATATTCTGCGTTTGTGAGCCTGATATGTCATGGTTACATAGGCACCTGCCATCTGTTTTTAAATTTTTTGGACAATGGCGGAAAAAAGGTTTGAGTACCTTCTGTTCTGAGATAAACATTGCTCAAGCAAAGCATTTGGAAAGAAAGTAGAAGGGAGGATTATATCAAGATAAAGAAAACTTTATATTAAAATTTATGACAACATTAGAAAATAAGCTAAATTAACATAAGTAAAAACAACCTTGAACAAAACAAACATTTTGAGTCATAGCAAAAAGCAAACTCAATATGTTTGCTTTTTTTAAAGCAATTTACAAGATTTTTTCAATAAGCATTTGGTCGAGCGATATACTTTTTGGAATCAATAACAATGTTCTTTTGGAAACAGGATGTACGCAATCCCACAACATGAACCCATCCTTGACGATCTTGATGGAAAATATGGTAAGCAGAATTTGTTCTATGGTAAGGTAGAGTTTTATTTTTTAATCAATATTATTATCAACAAACTGGATTTTCACCCTTCCCTCGTTAGTAACAGAATGAAATCCGGTTCTGACAGTAGAACAGGTAGTTATCATGCTCAACCAACTTTTAACAACGCTCTACAACCACAATCGTCTTTTCTTTTTGAAAACAGCTGAAGTAAGCACTAAATAGGTCATGAGTTTTTCTTTGTGAGTGACACTATGACTTCTTGTTTTTGAAAATACGTTAGCTAATTTCTGACATAAGTAACATTAATCACTTTATATCTATGTTTGATCCGAAAGGACTTCAGAGATATTCAGCATTGATTGAGCTCCGAACAAGTCGAAAGCTTCTTTGGAATCACAAAGTAATGGAATTCTTAAAAGGTTTGTTGCTTGTGAGAGAATTCTTGTCCTTTGCAAAGGGCATTGCTGTTTTCACTTCAATAGAGGGGAAGGAGTGAGGGGAGGCCCCGCACTTATGTTAGCCAAAAGGGGCCCCACACCTAAGAAAAAAGGTGGATAATGTAAAGAACAAGGGCCCCGCAGATGTTTTTGGCCCCGGGCCCCGGGCCCCGGGCCCCGCACTCCCTAAAACCGCCACTGGGACTCAGCACTAGCCAGCAGTTCCAAGAATTTCCTCCAAACGGTACAATCATATACCTATTGGCTGTTAGCAATTTGAGCCACCCTAAACGTTAAGTCCCATAACCCCGTAGTATGCTCTTTTATTGCATCATTTTATCATGAGAAGTAGGCTGATGTTCATTTTTTGACAGGGTTTGGGCCAAACGAATAAAAAATATTTGTAATCTGAACTAGATATCCAAATGAGTAATTTGGAAGAGAATTGTAGAGGGGCCAGCCAAAAATGAATTCTCCATTATGCAACAAGTCTACGAATAAATTGCCTTGTAAAATGTTAGTAGCTTTGCTGGTTTACTTGGTCTATCAACAGCTTTTGAGAATTAGTTGGTTGGACAACCGCTTGATCAATTAAAACAATAAAAGGGCAATGTAATATCAAATTGTCAGCAAAATGTTAGGTGGTAATGAGCACTATGAAAGAAAAATAATGTATGCTTTGGCAGCCTGGAAACTTAGAGAGGGGGGAGGGGGTGGCAGCTTTTTCGTGTCATTTAATGGAGCAGCACAACAGAAGACAAATTTAGGGGTTTTTTGAATAATCCCATCGTATGATTTTACAAACGCTCTTTTAAGCAATCTAAGCTTTAGTTTCGTGCAACAGCTGACTGCTTTTAGTACTTTCTCCATTTTTTAAAATTCTCTTAGGCCATGTCGAAGATGGATACCTAATAATGACGGATGAACGAGCTGCATATCAGAGTTGTTTTGACATTCACAAACCTTTAAGCTTACCATGGAAAGCGGGAGCCATCAAAGGAGTCATCCAGGTACAACATTTCCCAGGATTTCTTTAGCGAGTCCTATGTACGGCGGCCCCTCTAGTCTTAGGTCTTAAGTATGTGTTTAGGCCTTTTTAAACGAGCTGACAATCAAAGGCTTTTAGCAACCTTTTCATATCCAGTCATAGGCTAACTTCTTCTTACCTATTTCTTAACACCTTGCACCTTAGTTCTTAACCATTCTATTTTGTATGTTAAAGATCCCTTGCGACAGCTATACCTCTTATTGTGCTTACGTCACATACCAATGGTGAAAATCTAACTTTGGTGCTCCTTATGACAGTAGTAAGCTACTGAATATGTGAGCTGACAGCAGACCCAAAAATTCTTGGATTCAGAATATATATATGCTACGCTTTTTCGTCGCTTTGCAAAAATTTCTTTCAATATCAACTGAATCTCAAACGTCAGTTGACACAAGACAAAATCAAAGAATTTCTTGCCAAGTACTTTATCATTGGGATTTAGAGAAAACTAAAAAATGAAACTAATATGAGCAATGCCCAGATATATCTACATTTATCGACCCTTGTTTTGTCTCGCTAAACTACTATATTTCGCGTGTAAATAAATCTTGATCGCAAGGAGATCTTGTTTTCTTTATTTCAGAATCTTGCAGTTTTGGATTTTTCATTAATTGATAGCAATGGTGAATTTATTTGGCACACAAGGTAAGGTGACATAAAAACGTTTTAACTCTCTTCTCTTCTTTCCAATTACTACCAAATAGCCGTAACCTTGATGAGATAATGAAATTGCAATTTATGATAAAGATGTTTTGGGTGCAATCTCCAGAATTTTTAGCATTAATGGCTGTTTATTATATGGAATGGGCTCTGTTGGCCTTAGACTTGAAAAAGAAATACCTTTCCTCGGAGAAAGCAAAGTGAAAATCGCAATAATCTGGTCTGTTGTTTCGTGCGAGATACTATTTAGATACAGCTGTACATGATCAGGGGTTTAGGACAGGACGATTCTAAATTGATTGCTTAATTGGTTCACCAGTGCCATAGCGTGAACGCAGGACTTAGGCATGCGGTAACATATAATGTATGGCTATGTTGAATAAATATAATGGTAATTTCAGCTTCTTAAAAGTACAAGCGGTAATTAATGATAATCGTGATAATAAATTTTGATTTTGTAAATAACAAATTATTTTTACTCTAATTCTAATCAATCAAGGTGTCTATTCTCTGCATCAAAGGCTCTGACAGAGGTTGGAAAGTGAAAGGGGTCCGAGGGAAGAGTTCACCCATGCGAAAAGTTTAAAAAAAACTTCAAATGCTTTGTGGAATTTTTCAGAATAATTTCTAGTGCTAAAACCGTTTTGTAAAAGACCTTATTCATATTAATATTTGTCAAGAAAATGCATAACATAATGCCCACCTAATGCAAGAATTTTTGATGCTATAATGCATCTGGGGACTCCCGCAAGGAGGAGCTTTCCACATTGCATGCTCATTTTATACCCTGCATGCTGCTCATGACCAGAAAGAGAAGCCGTTTATTGCAAAAAATGTTATACATTGACTTTAACACTGCAACTTATTTATTACCGGTAGAAGTGTTGCAAGAATTTTAGAATTTGTCTCCAAATTTTTACGCTTGCACCGCAAACGTAGCATACATAGGCGCTACGCCACTGGGGTTTACCAGTGCTTTTGATATATTTAGTGCATTGATACATTGTCTCATTATGTTAGCATCTAAGACTATGTTTTTAGTCTAATGTCTAATGATTTTGTATTTGTTTATTCTGTATAAATTTCATGCAGCAAACCTATTAGAGCAACTCCAGATCATACAATTGAAGGTGAGTCCAAGCATGATAACTGATTTCTAACCATTTTTGTCATAGAAACATGCAATTTTAGCATGCTGATACATAATGAGGGGTATACGTGATTTCAAACCCGTTCATATGTATAAGGTGACCCTGTGAGAAACCTAGCTTGCTGCCGGGTCTCTCAAAAACCAAAATATCGAAATTTTTCATAATATGTACGAGACCAGATCTATGTGTGTAAAATTTATTGTCTTACCTATTTTATGTCATTTGATTGCGTCCTTTCTGATTGAATGAAGCGTAATAGATTTGCAACTTTATAGACATATTGTGTTTTTTTTCTTCATTTTCTTTTGAGTTGGTAAACGTATACTACTAGCTATACTAAAGCCAATTAAAACCAACTAAATATATAAACAATAACCATATTTAACAACGCAACAAAAATAGATGAATAACTAATAAGATACATCAATGTATAGTAGGTTCCCTGTCATTTTATATAGCCTACTTGTCCTATAAATGGGTTACAAATGCGGCATAAGCAAGGTATCGCAGACATAGTTTTGATACTTGCTTTAAAGGTTTTTATATTTGAGCTTGAGGTTATTTCTGTGGGAATTGAGTTCCATACTTCTAGACATCTGTAGGATTCAGTGTCTAATCCGTATGCTACAGTTTTTGGTTTATTTTAATGAAAGTGAGGCCTCTGAGGTTATAGAGTGATTCAGTTATGCTAAAAATATCTTCCATGAAACTTGGGTTTTCGTGATGAATAGTTTTGTAAATTTCTGTGTACCATTAGAGCTATTATTATCGCTACTTTTAGTAATTGAATCCAAAGAAAAATATTTCATCAATGTTATTATCTGTTTACATCTTTCGATAAATACCCTTTTTCCATCGAGGGTCACAGTCTTGGTTCGATACAAACAATAAACAATTGCTTAACATCTAAAAATAGAGTTTTTTAGGTCGAAAGAGTATATCTTTTGTAAACTATATTAAATGGAGCAACTCACTGTCCTTGGTTTGTCTGGAAGTTCAAGTAAATGAACGCCACTCCTTATGACACTTTTCTGTTTGGCATTAGTGGTGTAAAAAGGTGCCAAACGGCAGGTAAAAAGGTACCTTTACGATGTAGCAGAGAAAAACATTTTTTTCTGAAACATTTTTAAAGGCAATAAATTTTTCTATTTCTTTCTAGATTCAGTTTGTACTGTCCTAATCTATTCTTTCTTTTCTTAGTTAATTTCGAAAGCGAAACCAGTGAAAATTTTCAAATGGTTTTAAATGATGAAGAAAAGGGAACAACGACACTTAGCATTGCAGTGGTATGGATATGTTCTTTCAATTTGTGCAACCAATTTTAGCGATTCAACAAATAATTGCATTTATTATTTTCCGTAAATATTGAATACTCTATTTACGTATATCAATTTCCTTTGGTTCATTTTGAAAAACCGGGTTTATTCTCACAAGAGCAACAAAGATGTGAAGACGTTTCTAAAGCTGTAATCTATTTCAGGGGTGTAGTGCTAGGGAGCCCCCTTGTTAATGCCGAAAAGTAGACAATTTCTTCTTTTGCTATTGCTATTCACATCGTTTTGCGCAGGAGCCCCCCTTGTTATTTTGATAACACTACACCCCTGACTATTTCCCTTTTAACCTCAGCGTGATTGCCAAAGTCCGGCAAACAGGTGTGTAAGGTTCTAATGACTGGTTTACAGTTTACAATATTCCAGTGGGCTGTAGCCTTGAGTTATTGGTTACTACTTATCATGAGCTCAGTTCAGTTTGAAAATGAGGAGACCATCCTGTTAAAAAGGGGACCATCCTGTTAAAAAGTAAAAACCCCCGAAAATTAATTGCAGAATGTTACCATTGATCACATTTTAGCAATGCCAGAGTTAGAGACTACCTAATCAACGCTGCGGCATTGCTACTCATTGTTGTCTTTTTTTGTAACTGGGAGGGCAGTAGTAAAAATAGGGGCGTATCCAGTTCTCCGGGATACTGGAGGGCGTGGCTACCGGAAATTTTCTCAAGAGGTCCAGTTCTGTGAATCACCTCTGGGCCCCAGCTGCCTCTCGACGGCCCCGAAGAGAAATGTTGTCTAAAAGATCCTTAGAGTCCAGAAAAGTTGTTAACCTTCTTCCAGAAAAAAACATCCCAGAAGGCAAAGTTTCCTCACAAAACAAGAGAAAGTGGGCGTGGCTTGGGTCTGTTATAGAAGCTTCTATTGTTTTTCGTGGACCTTCCTCCGGTCAGTGGCCGTGCGACCGTAATTTTTTCTCGACTGTGAAGGTCCTTAGCTGATGTACTAAGGATTTTGTAAGGAGTTCTATGTATGTAAGTTCCAGCAACTTGAACTGTCCTTAATTCGATTTTAGGATCCAGAAACTGAGTGCTGTGCAGTGAGAAGAATTGAGATAAGATTGAAAACAAGCTACATCAATGTTTGGTTTGGAACATCATACTAAATGTTTTTTGATTGTAGATGAAGAAGCAGATGTCTTATGTATTTAAAGAAACATTGTAAGTGGTAAAATTAAGCTTCGACTTTAATTCTTGGATTTTGATTGGAGCGATTATGCAGTGAATGACCCCACTGTTTTTAACTAAGAAATTTTCAATCATATCGCTGACTGAAATTGCTAATTTCTCGCATACTTGAAATATGAATCACTGGGCTAAGTCAGTTAGCCAGGTTTTAAGATGTGCTACTCAAGGAAACAGAAAATTCAACCGTTTGTCACAGTCAAATGATATTTCTAGTCGCCTTCCCGTGTGACTTTAGGAAAAGGTCAAGAAACTCTTCTAGAAAAAATACCGTAGCCAATTATTATAAAATGTGTTTGCATTTTCCTGTTTCCTACTGCTGGTTTTTTTTTTCAAAAATTTAAACTTGACGAGCAAAGGTTTGATCATAGAATGCTCCTTTCAAGAAAAATCAAAGTTTCTTTAAATTATTGAAAGTTTTAGTTATAAACTATTGGCCTGAGCAAACGTATTTATGTAGAGATATACCGTATTTCCTCTAAAGAACGCCGCGGTGTTAATTACAAAATCAAAATTGTGGATGCGGCGTTTATAGAGGGTGGTGTTTATCAGCGAGAGTGTTTAATACAAAATGAAAAATTTATCAAATGAATAATGCCAAGAGAAGTGTAAAGAAAAAAGATACAAATGAATTTTAAACAATGTTTTCTTTTCCAAAACCCATACAATTGTGTAGAGAAATTTTTAAAGTTTCTAAAAGATGTGTTCACGTTATGGAAATGCCAAGGAATGTCAATATCCCTGTCTCCATCAGAGTCCTCGTCTCTACAACTTTCATAGTTTTCGAAAAGAAGGCGTATAAACTATTTGTTTGGTGTGTTCTTTAATTAACGCCGCTTTTCAAGATGTGGCGTTTAAAAGAGAGCGGCGTTTATCAGAGGGCGTCGTTCGTTAGATGAAGTACTGTATTCAAAATTTGGATTTGTAGAAGAAAATTGTCTGATTTTTCAAATGCATGATTAAGGATAAACTATATGTTCTCAATAAAAAAAAGTTTCAAATAAACTCGTTGGTAAAAGGAATCAAAACTATGCTATATTTGTTTCCGCTGTGTGAATAGCAAACAGTTAACCCTCATGGCATTGCGGTAAATATTATGATCATTGTTATTATGCGATTAACGCGATTGTTGCTATTGGACACAACAAATACCGCATAAAACCCTGGCCAAACGAATAAAAAATCGGCATAAATCATCATCTAACATTGTTGCATAAAATATGTTTTATTCGTTTGGCCACCATGTTTTACGATGCTTTGCAAAATTTGATTTCCATCAAACATAACGTAAAACATCTTTTTTGTTCCCATGTTGGGTCAACAGTGTTGCGTTCATTTGGTCACCCCTTAAAACATTTGTTTTACTCACGCAAGCGCGGAAGGTTCAAATTCGACAAATACGACGCAGTCAAGGCTGAAATACACTGTCCTTTTTTGGATGTGTTCAACTTTTGCAGCATTTTTCTCCATGGTACGTCATGACGTCTGGTTCGGCATCAAGGTTGCAGCAGAATCTGTGACGGTGCTGCAACCTTGATACGTGGCGGTATAGACTAGAGAATCTCTAACCACGGTGCGTGGTTGAGAAATTCGTTTAAAATTTCAGGGCTCATTCATAAAATCTTTCATAGTCATCATGTTCTTTCAAGTGAAACTCATTCAGCAAAGTTGCAAAACCCAGAACTGTCTGTTTCCATGCTCTGGAACCACGGTTTCACCCAAACTGCTTTAATTTTATCTTCCTTTTTTGTCGCTTGGCAATAAGTGCCAGTAGCAAACTGACAGTAGCTATTTGTTTCGTTGGCCTATCCATGACGAAAAGGACGAAAAGGAAAAGGGATCCTTTTTAAAGGATACGTGTAAACAGCTTACCGTCATCCCTTTTTCACCCTTTAGGCGAAAACGGACAGGCTGTGCGGCAGCGCTTGACCATCACAGATGTTTTTTGGCCAGGTCATAAAACATCGTCTAACATTGTTGGTACAAAAATCTTTGGCAATGTTTTACGGACTTAAAAAGAGCGAACAAATTGGATGATTCTGAGCATGAATATTCTCAACATTTTACAAAAAAGTGTGTCAAATTTGTCCTCAGCGGGGGCCTCTATGATGGGCCACGCGGTGGACAACCCTGAGATAGAATGATTATTTTTCAATAAAAGAAATAAGAACTTATTGTCACTGATAAGTTGTTGTATTTCATTTCATCTTATGTATAATTTTTTTTAGAAGGTAGTTCTTTTGCACGTTAGAATGAAAGAAACCTTTAAGGCTGAGTAAACAAAGTAAACAAAAAGATTAGAAGGCTGAGTACTAATCCCAAGGTTAGATTTCTTAAAAAATGCATGTGCCTAAATATATGTGCAAAACATATGTGCAAAACATATAAATTACAAATGATTCTTTTTGTAGAAGGAACAGCTATAGCTTTAGTGCCTTGCTACAGCTGCTATTGCCGTTGCGGTAGGCGTTTCTTGAAGTGGGCGTCGTACTAAAAACTTGATATTGTCAAGTTATTGTATTAATCTTCCGTTTCAGTCGGCGCAGGTGGCCAGCTCCTTATTGTTGCACTTTATAAATAATCTTCAACTTTATATTTATAGGTTTAAACACAGCTAAGTCAGGATTTCACATTAACTGCTGTGAAAATTTTTGCTTCTGCTACAGCTTTGAATAAATAGATACAATCCAACGAAATTAACGGGATAAAGACAGAAATGATGTTGAGTTACAGAGCACCGTGATGATCAAAATAGAAATCAAGATTTTTACAAACAACGGTGCCGGATCGAGCCCAAACTGGGCCTGGTGCTGCAGCACAAAATAGCTTTTTATTGGGCCTATTCAGGAATGGGCCTCATCTATGCCGCAACTCCGATAGAACCCAGTGAAGTTCGGTCCAGTCTGTCTTAAGTTTCACTTCAGAGGAAATTAGAAAATGATGACTACAATGCAATATCTGCTATTCTTTTCTATTACTCTCGTCTTGTAATGGTCGTATCAACCACTTTTGATATAATTTTAGCTTTGCTACAAGTTAAGAAGCACTTATGCAAGGAACAAAATGCCAACTTGAATCAAAAGACAGTCAGCTCATATAATACTGATGATTGCCCCCATCCAGCTATCATGATAAAATTCCTTTTTGATTTTAGAATTTCCATGCTGTTATTGAAAACCAATGACTTCCTTTGCAGATTTAATGAATTTTGAAGTTCTTTAGTCGAACAGTTCAATTCTTCTTAAGAAGCAATCAGGGGCGTTGAGATACTATTGGGGAGAGGCACACAGCCCAATAGTATCTCAAGTAGTCCAGAAACCTTCACGTCTCAAAATTAATAAGGGATCAAGCCAAGGTAGTTAAATATGATAGTGCCTTGATATGAATAAAGGTAAACAAACAAAGCGTCAATGATTTCAATATTATTTTTTGCTAAATCCCAAAAACCAGGCCCTTCTTAGGTATAACTGTGCCTTGTGTCCATTTTCCCTAAAGTTTCTCGGTAGAAGCATCAACTGCAATTCACAATGAGCTCCAGATCTTTTTTATATGCAAAAGGAATGCCATGATGGAAAGAGGGACCTAAATTGACAACTGGTGTTGCTTGTTATCTAGCTTTTGACGAAATTGTACCACTTTTTATCTGCTGTTCAATCCGTTTGCAAAAATTGAAGAATTTTCAATAGGATTAGGAAGATTGCTTTAGTGTAAAATTTGCTTGAAAGAGGGGATCAAAATTTGAAATTTTCTTCTGCTCTTCAAGTAGCTCACAGTGAAAATTCCCCAAAATGTAAGAATCTTTCACTGATAAAAATGTAATTTACACAAACTTGTTAGTTTTTTTACATCAAGGGCATTCTTTATTCTTTACAAATCGACACAATATAACTATCAAGTAATTTACAGTGCAACAAATTAGGCTGAAAAATTTGATAAGAACTTCAAATAGTTCTGCATTATTTCGGTTACTGGTACTTAAATGTTAATGCACATTTTAGATACGGCAAAAAAAATCTTTAAAGAAACTTCGCTGGTAAAATGTGGTCAGCAATGTTTCAATAAATTTTGAATCTTTGCCTAGTTTCTTAAGGACTGATTCGCTTTAAAGCCTTTCAAAGGTTTTCCCTACAGCCTACAAACAGCCAAATTCCCCTCCCTTTGTTTGGGCCTATTATAGGAGGTCTAAAAACCCACTGGATTTTTCTTCCTTTTAAGCTTTTATCTTTTGTAACAAAATATTTCTGAGAAAAACAGCATGAAAGTGATGACAACAACAAAAACCAGTATCAAAATGATGTTCCCCTAAAATCCTGATTTTCCCGGCTCATAAAAATTCCCACCACGCCCCTGGTTGTACTGTAAAAACTGGCACAAGTTGTTGTTACAGGCTGCCAAAGAGGCGGGGCAATTTGATGACAGCTCATCACAAAACAAAACGAAACTTCTTGCGATATCGAGGCTAGATCAACATGACAGCCATTTTTAGGAATCGTAAAAAATATGATCAAGTAAGGGTACCTAGCCATCCCTGAAAACACGTGAAAATGGAAAAGAAGACATCTTCAGAACCAAGGAGAAGAAAAATCCATAGAAGTGTTAGCTGTACTACAAAGGGCACATCTTTTATTGGGGAAAACCATTCAGAGATCTCGGGAAAACCTTTACCAACAGAACATCAAACTCAAAGCGACGAGGTTGACAGCAAAACAGGCCATCATGATCTGAAACAAACAGAAACATTCAAGACAAAGAACAGAAAGAAAGCATTATATAACAAGCTTAGAAGGTAATCCTACTAAAATGATATATCTCTGAATCAAACTATCAGAGCTGCCTGTCAAGTTTTACGTTTGAAAATCAAATCAAATTAACTTCAAGCACAGTTCAGTTCAGTTTCATATTTTAAATTCTCTACATACAATTTATTCACATTAACAATAAAACGTAACTGATACATACAATCCAAAATTACACAAAGTCAGTACATTATCATAAAAAATAAATACAATATTTAAATACAAAACAAAGAATGGGACAAATTGTGTGGAGGGAATCACTTAAAGAAGGAGCTCTTTCAGTAGTTACACTAATCGGAGAGAGAGCACCCCCTGTTTAAAATTGTTCAATTAAGGAAAAGAAACTATGGGCAGATCATGACTTACTATGTCAGAATTTTTACATTCAAATTTGGTAGTAGTTTTGAAAGAGGAAGGCTTCGAGTTTTTGTCAAAAATTATTACTAGAAGGTGATGTTTTTATATACACAGATAAATTAAACTTTAATAATAAAATAATTTATTTATAAAAGAATAATAAATTCTACATGATTGTTGTTGCTTATTATAAAATTAAAAAATTGTGAATAAGATCTTCTTAACAGAAACAATTGATTAGATTAGCTGAAAGAGACATGGAAAAAGCTCTAGATAGGCTAGAGCTATCTAAGCCATGTGACCAGATCTCGATTGGATACTAAAGCAGCAACAATTAGAAGTAATTGTAAGTTGAAAGCAAAGGAAATTAAATGATATAAATGAATAATATATGAAGAGAATGTTAACTTGATGCACTATGAAAAACACGATTTACAATAATAAGGGTTGGTACATATAACAGTGAAATATGTTATTGAGGAAAAAACACTCAAGAGCTACCAAGCTGCATGCCTGCTGTTCAAGTTGGACAACTTGCAGATGCTTGCAGCTTCACTGAATTTCTTGTGCATGCACACAATCCACTATATCAATCAAATCATGTATATTATTCTATTTTCATGTATTTATGAGAATTTTTCACTCACAGGTCACAGCCAATAGTGTGCTATTGCTTACAACTACGCAAAGCCAAAGTCATTTATTTTTCGCCCAGGCCCTCATTGGTTGTGATAGGTGTAAACCTATTCATTGCAAATCTTTAGGCTAGATCCAAATTTGTTATGAAAAAAATTGTAAGAACTTTGGATAATAGAAGCAAAAAACAGCAACAAATAATTCTACAATAAGCAGTAATTATCAGGGTTAATATAATAATCATAGTGGTCAAAAATTGAAATTTTCAAGGTGGCAAAATAGTGAGGGTATTTTCAAGTGAGTTTTGTGAAAAGTGGGAAAATTTTTTGGAACGCCATGGGGTCTCAAGGCAAGGGATGGGTTCAGAATTTATCCTGACTGCCACATAAACAAAAGGAAGGGTGGGCCAGAGGTGGAAAAAGTATCGGAACCTGGGAACATAGTTCCCAGAAATTTTTCTAGATAAAAATGTAGCAGAAAGTTTCACAGAAAATTTTTGAAGTGTTAAAGTAAATGTAAAAATCTGGTGACAAATGTTAACTCAAATTAACAGAAAGTTTCATTTTCAACTCGCCTGTGAACAGCTAAATTTGAGCTGCCAAAGGACTGTGGGAATTAGTCTCTTTTTATTGGAAAGAAATTATTGGTGCACATTATTTACATTGGTGCACACCATCTCACAGAAATCTTAGCCACTCATGATCAGAATTTTTTTGGCAGCTGAGCTTTCAAGACAAACCATGATTAAGACTGAGAATAATATAATATAGAGACTGGAATCTACTTTTACAGAAAACATTTCTGACACCATGGTGTGAACAGTATTTATCATAAGTTAATATGCTTGGTTACATTAATCTATTGCATGCTAGGACTCAATTTTAACCACATATTGCTTCTCACTTGTCAAGAGATTAGGCTAAGTCATAAAATGCACCATACAATTCAAATGATTTTGCCCCTTACTCTTCTGAAACTATGTTTGGAGATTATTGCATGGATTTTCCTTTTGATTTTCCATCATGATGATTGATTGAATGAATCAATTTCGAGTTAAAGTTGATTTCTTTCTTATGTGCATTTATGCATTAAATAAAGGCATATCTAATATGTTGAGAATGACAGTTTTGGAACAATAGTCAAGATCTCCGATGTTAAATGACACTGATTATGTTAAGAAGTTGATTGCCTGACAATTTTATGCATTCGATTTAACCTTCTATAGAAATACTTCGAGAGAAAAAAAAACAAATTAAGCATCAAAATAAAAACAGATTGAACATTCAAATGAGAAGTATCATACTTCTTAAAACTAAGTTTGCCCTCTTTTATACATCAACCAAGTATAGAGATATAGGCACAAACAGAAAGTTTATTTGTCTACCCGCTAAATCTTGCAGAAAGTTTTGAGCCAAATTCTTAGGTTCCCAGAAAGAATAAAATTTTTTCCACCTCTGGGGTGGGCCCCCAGAAATGTTTTTATTTGCCATACCTACAGAAGTTAACTTTGAAAAAAAACACCCATCACAGACACTATTTGCAGGAAGCCTTCACCATCAGTCAAATTATTGCATGCTATTAAGTCTTCATTCACCCTGTTTAAGGGAAGTAATGCTGTTCCTGTTAATTTCTGTGCAATTTGCTAGGTTTCTCCTCTGCTCCATTTTTCAGAATTCATGTAAGCTCACCATCACTGTTTTCAAGTGCAAGTGGTTTTGAAAACTACAGAGGATTTCTTAATTTATGCATTCTTATAATGGTGAGTTTAGATATCTATCGTTTATACATGATGTCCTCATTGTATTACTATAACTATTTCAGGTGTTTCCTTGCTTTGTAATAATACATCAAGATAAGTCTTGTATTGTTATATTCTTTCTGCCAGGGAGGGAAAAAAATCTAAATGGGGACAACTCTCTTTGTCGCAAGTACCAATGTCCTGTTCTTAATATTATTTGTAATATTCAAAGCAGTATAAATTATAAATTAATATTTTCCTCTTTTTGTTGTAGATTCTATCAAACTTTAGAGTTGCACTAGATAATGTATTAAAGTGAGTATGTTATTTGTCTCTACTGAATAAAGTTTTAAAACTAGTTTTGTATTAGAAGACATTGCCCTCTGATAAATTTTTGAGGTGGCTCAGACACTCCCAGCAGATTGAAATACATTAAAGGTTTTTAGGATCTGCACAGTGCAGTATATTTTCTTCATTCAAGAACAAGCAAATCAAAAAAGGGACTATTTGCAGCAGACCTGCTCCAATGAAGTTTGCCAAACAGACAGAGAATTACCCCCCTTTTTGCTGTCAGGGGGGGGGGCAATTTTCATAATAAGTAAATTTAATTAACACTTTGAAAGGTATGTAGTAAACCAGTAAATTAGAGTGAAAAAGTTGAAGACAAGAAATGCATGTATAGTATTTCTTGCAACCACATGCCTGGAGATTTAGAACATTTATTTGTTAATAAAATGTTTCGGTAAACTCAGAAAGCAGCAACTATAGAGTATTCCATGAGATAAATGGAAGTAAAAAACATTTTTGCATTTACAATGTTTTCTTTGCTTCATGCTTCTATTTTCTCAATATTTTGTTTCAATCCATGTTTGCATTTTTAATCAACTTCAAAGTCAATTAAGCACCTATTGGTTAACAAAAGACAAATCAAATCAAATAATGATATGCTGAAACAAATAATCAGCAACTTGTTTTCATTTTCCAAAGTAGCATCAGTTTTTATAATTTCTCGTTTCCACAACTCATGAATGAAGGCAGGGAATCATTGTTTTGCTGATTCTGCAACTTTTCATCACTGTAAGGATAGCGTGTTACCTTAAATGCTAGAATGTTCCAGGCCTAAACGACAGAATTTGAAATAATTTATTTCATCTACTGTAATCATTGATCCTAAAGTTAATTGTTTCTCAAATCTGATTTAACCCACAAAATTGTGACTTACATGACAAATTTTACTTTTTTATAGATATGGTGTTCTTGTTGATCCAAATATTCTTCTTGTTTTCTTGGAAGATCCATACAGTTGGCCATGTGCAAGTCTTGTAGTTTGTATGTTCTTAATACTGACCAATTTCCTTTTTGGACCATAATACCATTGGCACTTGAAGCACCTCTAGATAGTTGTTTTTCTTTAGAAGCTGTCTCATAGATCCTTGTTTTCAAGTTCCATTTTTGGGTCTAGTCAAACATTTCTAACTTTTGTTAAAAAACTTCAAATCTTCAAGCATCCCACTGAAAAAATAAGTGGAAGTCATATCAATGGCAAATCATGGGCAGTTGATGCAAGAATACCCCCCCCTCAAGCCCTGGGGGACTTCTGCTAGTAAGTAAATATCCATCCACAAGGGCACAGTTTGTTGCCCTTGTGGAATATTTTATCCAAAAGGCCTGATTTTTTGGCAACCCATTGCTCTTGATCTAATTATAAGTAATTACGAACAGAAAGGGGGTTCACAGTCGATTTCTTTCCAAATGGATTCTGTACAAAAAAGTCTCACCTATTAACTGCTCTGTTTATTGAGCATGGAATAACCTCTCAAGCAGTCATTGAGGAAATTAGGCTCTATAGAGTGCCTGCCATTGAGAGGCCCAGATCATCTCTTATGGCTTCCTGCTGAACACAGTTAAAGCAATTTGTGAAAGTGTAAAAGATTTTTAGCAAGGATGACTGGATCTCATTTGTGTCTAAAAAGCATCCCCAAGACACTCCAAATTTTTAACATCAAGTGCTTATCTTTTCAGGTCTCCATGTATTCATACAAATAGCTTTCTTTGTTGAAGGATGTCTTGCAAAGGTTTCTGAATTTTTGTTTCATTCATGCCTTATATACAACGCAAATTATCTTTTCATTAAATAAATTACCTGTAGTACCTTTGATGGGTTTTAATTTGCTTTGTTTCAATTGAGTGTGGTTTCTTTTTAAGAATAATTTTTTTCTTAATAATAACCATATAATATTTGGCTTTGATATCTTATTTTTTTAAAGAAACAGAATAATTCTTGATAATTTCTTAACATTTTAAGCGTTTTATTCTTTTAGGGCACAATATCTGAGAAGCTTGGGGTGTGCTTTCACATCATAAATCAATCTTTGCTGCTTATATTTCCTGTTGCTGTGATTTGCTACTATAAACCAGCTCCATGTTAGTTCCTTTGCCTTTATGATTAGTAGAAATATCCAAAGTAAACAATACTTTACCAAATTCTGTTAAATCATCAGCTCTGTGTATATTCACTCTTATCAAATTTAAAATTGGTAATCATATCCTCTACCCTTGATGGCTCTACACAGCACATCAAATGTGGAGACAGAAGCTGCCTATCTCCACATATTAAATCCAAAATGTTTTTTAATTTGCTGATCAAATTTGAACATTCTCAAACTATTTGCAGTTAGACTTAGATGACTACAAGTGGATTGGACTGTAATTTATTTTGAAGAACTGAACCTTGGCTCTATTTGTATTGCTAATTCTGAAGTGTGTTGCTATTGTGTTCTCATTCTGTTTCGAAAACTGAACTTTTTCAAGAGTTAAGAAACTTTTTTGGATGGATTAAGGCACAATTAGCATTCCTCGAAAATGTCATTTCTTGTGAATCCTATGGAAAACTGTTTCATTTAAAAATTCAAAACATGCTTGTGTTAACTGGCAATTGGGACTATTTCGCCAGTGTGTAATATCTGTCTGTCATCATCGTATTTTTGAATAAAAGATGAGCTGATGTCAGTTTTGTTTATTTTTTATGTGAAAGTCTGAAAAATTTATACATTTTGAGCTGGTGTCACTAAATACTTACATGACTATTTCAGTCAGCATAAAACTGAGGTTCTATTGCCTTAATCTAAAATTTCATAATTTGAGATATGGCTTTATCTAATGAATTTTCTGCAGGGTCTTCAACTCTTGCTATGTCGTGTTATTTGGCTGTTTGGTTAAAACTCATTTCGTATGCTGCTGTTAACAAGTGGTGTAGGGAAGACAAAGTTCAGGGTGGCAAGAAGCATAAAGGTGACACATTTTCTCATCATTTTGTGTTTGTAGCTGGTTGTCAGAGGCCATTGGTGTGTCCTGTACTGTGCACAGCTTGTTACTCCATCTCATCCTTGAATATAAGATGAATTTGCAAATAGCTTAGCAACAATAATGAACAATTCAACGATTAAATTATGTTGGGTAGATATTCGTTCAATAATCAAACCAAAATATCAACAATATTCATGTAGATCGTTAGTTTTATGACAGTAGTGTTGTTTACCTCTTTCTATTCACACAGCAGATTTCTCTTTCTTTGTTTTAATACATCTTGGATTTCTCTATAGATTCTGATGATGAAGTAGAAAACAAACCTGACTCAAAAGAAAAAGCTGTTGAATATCCAAATAACTTAACGCAACGAGGCAAGACTTTTATCCTCTCAATATTCTTATTTCTTGTTCATTGGTTACTTCTATCACGAGCTTTGCAAACTTGATAGCATGTTTTTATCTATTTACCAATTCGTTAAGGGTATGGAACACCGGCTGCTTATTGCTGGAGGTTTTTATTTATCAGGCCAAGAACTTGGTAAACAAATCATTGCACAACCCTTCCTCTTCATTTCTTTTGTTAAAATATACCAATGTTTTTATCTGTTTACCAATTCGTTAAGGGTCTGGAACTACATATTTCTGGCGGTATTTCCTAAATCGTATTCAGAGCTACATGAAGCAATGCGCAACTTTTCCTATACATGTCTCTTATTAAAATGTTTACGTTTCGTGCTGTTGAGCTTTATTTCGATAAAATCTTATCGCAGAAACAGATGAAAATGCACCACAATTTACTCTTTCCTTTGAGCAGAAAATGCCAAACTCTGAATGTGAATCGAAAATCTTTAAGCAAGTTATTTTGGAATCTTTTTCTGTTAATTTTCAATCAGTCATTTCACCAAAACTCCAGAATTTGTAAGGGCTAGAAGAAACGTTAAGACCGTTTTTTACTGGAGCCACTGGTTGTCTGTCCCTGATGTAAAACCTTGGCGAGGAATCGAACCAGTACATTTAGTTTGGTGCACGTGTACAGCTATCTAAATTCCTTCGGAGATTCATTAGGATAAGGGGGGGGGGGAGGGGGCTCTGTCTGCTTGAAAAAGGGAAATGAAATGAAAAATACACATTTATTACGAGTACAATTTCGGTGTTCCAACTACTTTTGGCGGGCATTGTAGGTACCAAAGCACATTCTGTTATTTATCTTCTGAACAGCTTTTAATCAATAGGCCTCCCATAGGGATCATTATCAGTTTGAATGCTACTCTTGTTGTGGACAAAATTCATTGATAGTCCTTATTATTTTTATTCGCAGATCTTTATTACTTCATGTTTGCTCCGACTTTGTGTTATGAGTTAAACTTCCCTCGTACCCCACGAGTAAGATATCGATTTTTGACACGGAGGATATTTGAAGCGGTAAGTGGCCATGTTAGTTGTTCTTATTTCAATATTTCACCGTTAATATATTTTTATAAAAAAAATTATTTACTCATGTAACAAAATTTTTTCATTTCAATTAATTGAATCGTCTTACGATATTTCTAGCTTATATAGCTAATCTGATCTTTTCGATGTCGCATTTCGGCCTCTTTGCTAGAATTTTATTTGTTCAGGCCAATTTTTTTTTAATTTTTCAATGTATTGCACCCCCAGCGCAGTACGTTTTAAAGCAAAATCCACTATTAGTGAGTCTACATTTATTATCCAACTTCGCCGGGGAAGCAGCATTTCAATCTGCACTTAAAATATGAAATTTCTATAATGAATCCATCTTCAAAATTCTTTTAAAAAATCAGATATTTTCGTTGGCCTTTTTATTAGTTATTAATATCATTTAGGCTTCAAAAGAAAACATTCTAGCCTAAGCTAAAAAAGTCCTTTAAAATCAGTACTTGGGTGCAAGTTTCCTGTTAATCATACATCAGGCTGTTATGAAAGAAACTGTCTCGATAGCTTTGCTTTTTCTTTTGTTTTAGTTGTTCCTAAGCGGATTGTTAATAGCACTTACTCAGCAGGTTTGTAAATTATTTCAATATTTCTTTGCCATTGGTATTGTATTGTGTTTGCTACCTAGCTTTCGAGTTTTAGAACACTGAGAAACTATGCTTATCGAGAAGTGTCCTGGTCCTTTTTCTTGATGTGACCAACCCTCGTGATTCCTATGCCTGGAAATACAGAGATTCAGCGACTCTCCTCACTCTAGGTGAAAGTTTAGTCATTTCAGGTGCTTAAGCCATAGACCCTTGGATGTGTAGTCCGCCAATATAACTACTGAGCCACCCCCGTGCACTAATGTCATTGGTAATATTAAAGAGGAATATATTTTTTCTTGAACGTTTCGTGTTAACAAGTTATGTTTTTCGTATGAGCGTTTCGTCCCTTTACTCCTTTCCTCCATAGTACTAACAATTTCTCATATTCTATCATCTCATACTTCGTATATAGAAACATTTTCTTTTCAGTGGATAGTACCAGCAGTGAAAAACTCAATGAAGCCATTTCATGTAGGTAGAACGTGACATATCTTATTATGTTGACCACCAGTTTAAAGATTTAATAATTGAAAATTACTTCTTTGATGGTTGGCTTATTGGGTCAAGGTCATTCGTGCTTTTTTATTCCTACCTTCGCTTTTGTCATTATCTTCTTTATTTTTTATCTTGAATGGTTCAAGTTAGTAAGTTAGTCATTCAAATTTTAGGGGTCAGTCTTAGTGTGGAAGAAAAGTTCCTCCACTCTATCCATTGCCTTTTCTGGTTTCAATGTTTGACGATTTATAACAGTTCATCTTCATCTCTCTCGCTTTAGTTTTTTGAATTTCTATTATCAATATGATAATCATTGTCAATTGCATTTAACAATGTCACAATGTTGAATGTATTTATGGCCTCAATTTCGTAACAATGCTATTTGAATAAGGCTTCCCTAATAAATCATACTTCTAAAGAAAATATTCTTTGAGAATTGATAACTTGTCATTTAAAGGTGGAAGTTTATGTGGTCCAGTTGTTCTAGGTCTACAGTGGATCTACAGCTAATCTCCTCGTCTTTCTTTAAAACTAGTCTCAATAAGTCTATTTCTGCTGAATTATGCATGTACCTACGTCATCAAGGACAATTTTTGTTGCTGATGTCATTTAACAGAATATTACTTCAATTTCTCCTTAAAATTCTCCATTCTTTCCTGTTTTAGGCACTGGATTATCCGCGATTTGTTGAAAGAATAATGAAATTGGCTGTTAGTGAGCTTAACTGTTTTCCAAATTTACAATATTGAATTCTTTCATGGTTGGCAGTCTAAATCGATGAAAGCTCTTTTTTAAACAGTCTGCTTGCACAATTTCTCCATTTCACGAGGAGTTGTATTTAGTGGTTTTGTTTTTCATTGACAATGCTTAATCTTCCTAAGTTAAATTGGGATGACAAGATTAGTACTTTGTATCGATGATTTAAGTAGCTCTGGCTCTGACGTCAGAGGTTGTAATCTTTCAACCTAGAACCAAGAAAAATTTTCTCCCTGACTGAATGATCAATGCTGTCTTCAAGCGCCAAATGCCTTGCAGGTTGATTACTTTCTTATTAAGTTTTGTTCTCCCTGAACTGAATTCTTGGACTCTCTGAATGGAAGTTTATGGACTCTCTGAATGGAATAAAACTTGATGAATTAGCCTTCACTGGCTGTTATACCCGTTTTTAAAGCATTATAAGGTACTATTTGGGCATAAATACTGAAAGGAACTAGAGAAGCAGAACGGCAAATATATAGTCTTGTCAAGACAACCAAGTTTATCTTATAATAAACAATCGAAACAGCCTAACTATTTTATCAGTATGATATAACCTCTGAATACACATAAGCAAAGTCTGCCTCATGCAACACAGGTTGAACACGGATATCGACTTCCTATTTCCACAACTGAACATTCATGACCTTTGTCAACATAATTTGAGGACTACTACCACTACTAACTAACTACTACCAGAGTTTAAACTCAATGCCTTAATAAATCTACTTAAAAAATACAGTTTACTGTTATACAATCTTAAGCCTTTGACGACTTTCAACGTACCAGTGGATCAAAACTGTCATTCTTTGAACATAATCAAAATATTATATTTTGCCCCAGTATTCGTTATAGCTTTATTCGTTTATTTTGGTACAATTTTTAGCAGTGGGCTTATAGCATTGATTAAAGAGCCCTAGCTAATTTTTTCTTTAACTCTTCTATAAGTAACTCCTCTCTGCCCTGAAATGGTACAGGAAACGTTCTCGCATATTTGGAGAGCGTTCTTCTTTTGTATAAGTTTTCTTTCATTCCCGCCTTTTGTTTTGTCCATAGATTCCGAATCATTTCCTATGGCTGATTTTCTTTTATGTATACTTTCACTCTTTGCTCAACATTGTTGGAGAGATAATGAGGTTTGGTGACAGAGTCTTCTACAAAGATTGGTGGTAAGTAATAAGCAATCAGCCTCTTCATAATATTAATTACTTATGCGAACTCTGCTGGACTGCAAAGCATTGCGATGTTTTATGGCACAATTACGTCATCAGTATCAGGTATTTTCATTAATGAAACTTTCGAGCTAACTTGTATCGAAATTAATTTTTTGAGTTTCTTTAAGACTCTCAGAACCAAGAGCTCAATGAAATAATTGCCTTGCTATGCTACGAATTTATTTTCCTTTTTATTCTTTGAGTTTTGCCATCAATTTCATTATTCTTTTAAAGACTCTTTCTTATTGACATTTCCTTTTTTTCTCTCATCAAAGGAATGCAAATACAGTGCAGTCATTTTGGCAGAACTGGAATATTCCTATCCATAGATGGGCGCACAGGTACGCGATTTGTTTCATTCACGAATATGTTAGCTAACTCGTAGAAATTACTGTTTATTGGTCTGTGATAAATGGCTCGGTCCTGCATAGGCCGATGGTCCTAACTTGCAACTCTGAGTTTCACGTTTAATGCTATATCAGGTAACTGTAATATGAGCTAAATCCCAGTTAAGATAAAGCTGTACAAACCTTTATATAACTAATAGTATAAAAATAATAATCATAAATATATGATAATAATGTTCCTTAATTTATAAGATCATTAGTTCCTGTTTAGATTCTTAGGTTCCGCTAAGGTCACAGGCCTATATAAACAAGATCGTTGTTCCACAAATTTTTACGTTTTATAAATGTATTTTTATATAAAGAGATTATCTGAAACACAGAAATTTCCAGCTTGGTCATTCTGATGTATTACGATATTAGGATCCATGTTCTTTTTACTTTGCTGGACCTGTCTAAAGTTATTACCTTATTCATGATCCTCTCTGCTAATCTAATCTTCTTCTTTGGCGATATAATCTTCTTTGGTGATGGGTTCAAGGATTTTTTAGAAGCTGGTAAGCAATCTCTGGGTGTCTCCCTTGAGACTCAGATTGTCATAACAGCAACCTACCCGTAGCCTTTCCATAGGTTCTTTTCTTTGTTTGATCTTGTATATATATGTATGCCTTTTGATATTCTGTGTTTGCCCTTTTAATGACGGTTGTACGTTGCATCTACGTGTTTAATGTTTAATTGGACCATGTTTAAAGCTCTGTTTATAGGGGAGTACTCTGTGACAGTCTGGTAAACAGAATTCTTCATCATATGTTTGTATATACTTTTGCAATGAAGAATATTTTACTATGCAAGAAGCTCAAGGAAAAACGGTCAAGTGCTTTTCAATATGTTTGGAATGCTTTTCCATATATGAAAATCATTGTTACTGAACAACCATATATAAAAAATATTTCTGGTATATGTATTATGCATATAAAATATGTCACAGAATTAGATTGTACTTAAAAGTTTTTGGTGAATGTCTTCATCAGTGAATATATAATGTATTTCATTTTATGCCTTGATGCATATGTTGATTCCAACAGGCATCTATTTCAACCAATGCTTCGTTCAGGGTACTCAAAAATCCAAGCAAGCCTGACAGTATTCCTTTTAAGTGCTGTCTTCCACGAGGTAAAAACCATACTGTTCATATTCAAGTGACATTGGGCGAGTTCTTTGTTTAAACCTTAGTTTTCAGAAAAAATAACCATGATAGAGAGAAAAAGAATTAAGTCATAATTAAACAATTCATTTGTCGGTTTTAGATCATTTTTTGAAGCTTGTAAGCTAATTCTCATCAAACCTGGAGGTTAATTTATCACTTATCCTTTCCAGGGCCATTATCACTTACCCTTTCCAAAAATTATGATCCTCTGGAGGAGGAGGGAAAGTATTCTTGTATAATGACTGAAAATAAACTGTTACAATGAGAATGGCTTGTACGTAAAACGGAGACAAGAAAAGTTGCGATTAGAATACGACAGTCTGAAAGGTTATTGAACATAAAGGAATCGCACTAGCAACATCTAGATCACACCGTGTTCGGTTAACCAGGGCTTCTGTCTGTTTTTTTTCTGTTGAGTCTTTTTTTGGAGCTATCGTCTTTAGGAGTATTAGAGTATTTAGGAGCCAGTTTCCATGTAAATAGCTTGAATAACGCAGAACAGATTTCATATGTAACAGTTAAACAGGATACCGTAGCAGCATTTCATTAAAAGTTTTCTTTTCTCTACAGTTGCTTGTGAGTGTGCCGTTAGGTATGATGAAAATTTGGGCATTCACTGGTATGATCATGCAAGTCCCGTATGCAGTGTTTGTTTCAAAATTCCTTTCTGGTAACTATGGCAACATTGCTGTGTGGATCTCACTGATACTTGGACAACCAGTAGCTATTTTGATGTATTACCACGATTACTTTGTGACACACTATGAAGGTAAGTCCAATTAAAACGGTTATTTGAAAGCTGTTTCAATAGGAAGCTCTACCTGACTCAAGTTATAGTCTCTGAACATAGTTTACAAGCCCGCTACTTGTATTAAGCTACATTGGAGGTTTTTTAGTAGCACTTACAGTTGCCATAGTATATAATGTAATTTTGTTGTAATGATTAGAATTTTTCTTGGACCTGAGCAATATCAAGGCTACCAGTGTTTGGAGTTTAACAATGCATCCAATTTTCAGTTTTTTCGATGTTCTCAAAATATTTGGTGACGTAATGAACTTCGCAAAGCAATCCTGTTTTCTTACAGCTTTATAACTGTTGATGGTGCAGTCCCATCTCTCTTCATGTACTTTCATTCTCTATATATCTTTCAACGTGATTTTAGTGTCTTGATTTAAATTTTTTATTGCAGTATCAAATTCAACTTCGAGTGCCTGGTCATTTGTTTACAGAGAGTAAGAACGACCCTTTTGCGTGATATTGAGTCACGGGATGTTACTTGTTTTAATACGCAAGAATCTTTCTCACAAAAAATTTATTTTATTTATTAGATAGATTATGGTTTGTACTTTTGGTGCAAGGCTGTACTGTTTGAATTCGTGGATAAATATGAAATTTAGTGAGTTGTTGCTTTTTCCGTTTACAACACAATTTTGTTTTCTAAGGAAAAATTGCAATACAATACTGCATGGTATGATATGAGAAAGTAAGGATTATTATACAAACTGCATTGCAATACTATACATTACTAAGTGCAAGGCCATGTAATTCAAGCATTTGGATCTAGTACAATACAATATGGTACAAGGCAGGATAATACAATACAATATGGTACAAGGCAGGATAGTATAATACAGTTAGATACAGCCTGATTAATTAGAAGTCAATATTGTACAATTTCATACTAAATTACATTAAGATGCAATATAATACATTGAAGTGGTCTATATCACATGAAATATTATCCTGTACTACAAGAACCAGAAAATACGAATGACCATGATTGGCTACTGCTAAAACGATACATTATTGGTATTTTCCAGTGCTGCACAAAATACGTAAAATATAGGGTACACAGAAGCAAATCCAAAACACGTTTGCAGTCCACTGTAGGCTCTATGTTAAGAGAGAAACGATTTGCTTCTGCATATTTCACAGAGTTACGTGCGTCTACAATATTGAAATCTTTCAAAGTTTTGAGCTAATCATTATCTTAAAATCCTTTTAAAATGTCTCGAATGTATGCTTACTACCAGAAGTACAAATCATTATTGTCAGATAATCTTTATTTTAATTTCTTTAAATCTTAATGCATCTTTGTTTCATAATAAGTGATTAGTGTTATAACCAAGTTCATTACCGTAAAAGCTCTATTAAGCCGCGGGGGGGGGGGCTTATTTATTTTTTCAGTCCTAGAGGGGGGGGCTTAAAAGAGAGGGGGTTTACTAGAGAGGAGGGCTTATTAATTATTCAAATTAAAACATTATAAAAATGTCACAATTCTCTGGGATTTCTTCGAAATAATCAACATCAGTATCCTCTTGATTTCTGAGGCGCACAACGAAATCTTTTCATGGGCCGTATTTGATGCAGATGATCTTATCATCATCACACCCGTCAAATTTTCTTCATTTGACATCAGGGGCTAAAGAGGGTGGGGGCTTAACAGAGAGGAGGCCTTAATAGAGCTTTTATGGCATTTTACACATTTCGAAGCACAAAAAATCGTTTGCATCCAGTTCATACGTACGGTGACTTGTCAGTTGCTTTATTTGACACTTTTGTGTTCTATTTTTAATTGATAATATTTCGTACGCAATTGCAGACTTTTTCCCGTTAGTTAAATATAGCTAATTGACGTGATTTATTTTGTTTTATAGTCTCTATACTTATTTGCATTTCTCTGACTGCATCGCTACCGCCCCTATACAAACGTAATTATTTCCATAACATTAATTGACACCAACATCCACGAGACCCTATCGTTCACAGTTCCTATCTTTCGCAATAACCAACATCAAGGTGTAGCTGAACAGCATATTATGCATTAGAAACCATTACGCATTGTTTTGACTATTAAAGTTAATCGTGAGAGTAGATCTTATTTTGTAGGACGTTTAATCACTTTATATCTATTATAAAATTTAAGGGGTTAGAGTAATTCGGAATATTTTAGTGTTTTTTTAAGTTTTTTGCTGTTTCTTTTATTGATATGAAACATGATGGGACTAGACAAAAAGCTGCTGTTTTTCTTGTTTCTGAATTAATCGTCCCGATGTCTCAAGCTACAAGTCTTTTAAACGGTTTTGCAACGAGCTATATTTCGGATTTTCGCTCCTATATTTTGTTAAAGATGTTAGATTCTTCTTTCGTTTCGAATATCAGCAAGCACCGCGGAGCAAGGGGCTGGGGGCTTTACTGTTATGCAAAATAAAATGCAAAATTTGTAAGATTTATAAAATGCAAAATGTTAAGAAGTTAACCACCAGTAAAGTCTCTGTTTATTCGGTTTTCGCCCCCGCACTTTTCCCTACGCTCCGCGGTGCTTGTTATCAACTACCCCAAAAAGGTTCACAGAAGAGTTTTACTGTGCCGAAGAAATGGTAATTATCAGCTCTCATAATTCGACAAAGAATGGCAACGCATCTATTGCTCTTTGCCTTGATATTTTATGCAGTATAGTACACACAAAGGTTCTAAGAGACAAGATTCATTTTCTAATGATAGATTTTAAAAAAGTGGCTTTCTATCAAAAATTTTCAAACGTAATGTGCAATGAATACCCATGCAATAGACGACGCAAAAGGCTTAGAATTTCTTGTTTTCAGCTCTGTTTCAACTATATGAAAATTTCAAATGCTTTTTTACTTTATCTGGTTTTTGTCTAGAGATGTATTGATCTATTTTTTCTCAAAATTTCCAATTTCGTAAATGGTCCTCTAGATGTGATAAGAAATGAATAGACTTTTCAGACACATATTTCCTACATTTTCTACAAACTGTATTTCAAAATGCATGGCATAGTCAGCAAATAAAATCCTGGATATACGTCAAAAAAAGAATCAATAAAGCGAAATATTTAACATATAAAAAAGACTGTATTTGCCAGTTCAATAAATGTCTTTTTCTTGTCTGTAACACTTAGCCTGTTAGTTACCGTTGTTATAGTAACAGCGTCAGCACTTTCTGTTATGATCCTCGTTTGGGCGCTCTGTGTCGCTAATCCAAAATGGATGAAATGGCCTCAAGTTTGCTGGAAATATGAAATATTTCTATGGCTTAAGTTCGCTTGAGATGCCGCAAAGTGCGTAGAATAATACGTGTTTCTTCTTTTTGAACACAATTTAAAATGGCGACAGACAAGAGCAGAGGTGCATTTGGAAAACCAAGCAGTAAAACGAAGTCAAGAGTGGTTGCTCCTCGCAATCCGAAACTTGTCAGAGATGAAGTCGATTTTGATAAGGTACTTTTTAGTTTGATTCTAAATCATGTTTGTATGGTGATGATTATTCAAACAATTAACAAGCATAAGAATAGTTTTATACATGACATGTGAAAAGGTGATAATTGTGGTTTACATTACACACCGGACTTGAATGCCGCCTTGCTTCCTATTTTCTTGTGACCTATGAAGAGCAGCTTTGCCCCCAGTAAGAAAATTTCTGCGTTGCATTTTGGCTTGGCTTTGAGCTGGGCCTAATATGTAGAATTGTATGGCCTTGGATAACAAAGAAGAACTTTAAATATTGTGCATAAAAATTTTGCATAACAAAATTGAGATGATTAATCTTGTGCGTTTTCTGCATATCATCAAAAAGGAATTTGCAGCGTAGTTTAACTCCTCTTAATCAGAACCTAAACCTAACTTTTCAACAAATTGTCCTCAAACCCATACTTGAAACTGATCCTGATCACAAAAATTACAGGCTATTCTATAGCTTTTTATAAATATTCAGTATAAAATTATCCTTTTAGGTTATAGGCCTAGTGGTAGCATATGGAATTTTCAGTAAGGGGGGGGGGGGGGGGTCAATAGTTAATAGTCAAACTCTGTTAGCTGATTTTCTGGATGACCTTTTGAATGTTTACATTGATAAAACTCTCCTTCATAGCTGAAATTGATATCACTTGTATGATTTTGATGTATAATTTACTGAAGGGTCTTTGAATTGGGCTTTTCCTAAGTTGTTGATTTCTTAATGAGGTGTTTGTGGGTATTCATTGACGCATACATTTTAGCAAACACCATCTGCATTTATGGCTGAAATGGCTCTAACCACAGAAGAACGGCTAAAAGAAACCCATGAAATGAGGATACCACAAATTGTTGAGCTACTTGACATGTCAGAGACAACACATCAAAAAGTAAGTTGAAAAATTTTGAAACTCCATGTTTCAAAATTTCAATTTCGTTGAAATAAATAGGCATTATATAATTTTATAATTTTCATTCTATCTAAGATTTTCAATATTATTCTGCATGTTGTTACAGGGAATAATGCTACCATTCTTATGTCAAGAGCATGTACCTTTCTGTTTTACAATCCCTAAAGAAATTGTCAATAAATGGTTTGGTTACAATCACTTCCTGTTTTATTTGCCTCATCCAAACTAACAGGGATTTGGTACCATATTATAATAAACTTTTCCAAATGATTTGAGATGTTGATGGTAATTTTAAATAGCCATACTTTAGTAGTTTATATTATGTTTATGTCTGAAATTCCATTTTGAATTTCATTTCAATTTTAGTTTACGATGATCGACATAGAGATGCCTCTCTTTCAACCATTTCCATCGGAAATTGTGTTCCAAAATTATGAGCCTTTTGAAACACATACAGTTCCTTTACGCCTGCGTAACAATGACAAGGTCAGTTATGAATCAATTCATAGTTTTCTTAGGTATCACCTGTTTATCTTTGTTATTCAATCTTAATTATTTTGACTTTTCATAAAATCATATGAAGATTTATTAAAAGTTGAGTCTTCATTCTATCAGAGGGGTATCATGACTAATATTTTTAATGGGTTGGCAGACTTGACTAAATTTCTGGCAAAGCTTCTTTTAGTAACATGAAGATGTAGCCCTTTTTCATGGAAAAAAGCAGAGCCTGGAGCCTTGATTGAAAGCCTGAAAGTGTTCTGAAAATTATTGTTAATAAAAAATAGTTAATTCGTTTTCATTAGGTTGCCAGGCTTGTGAGAGTTACCCAAGCCGATTCACCCTATTTCAAGATTATTAGTCCACCTGATGTAGGACACAAAGTTGCTCCTGGAATGGATACAGTGTTTTTAATCAAGTTCACACCTGATGAGAAAAAGGTTTGTAGATAATGGGGAAATGATCTATCAAACCAATTTAATTGTATTTTTTTTTAAATTCATTTTATACTTTGAGATTGCCACTGAAAGAAGTGATTGTTAGCAACTGAAAATCTAGATTATAAGAGGTATCAGAATTTCAAGAATCACTGAACAAGACATATCAATTAATAGAATTAAAGATTTTGAAACAGAAGCTGGAAACATATCATAAGTTGCATTGAAATAGAAACTACAGAACTTTGTTATCCTGTTGGCTTCACTTATTTACACTACTAAAGCAGTCAATCATACAAAGATATGTAAATGGGTTTTAAAAAGCATCAAAGTCAAGACAAAAAATCTAGTTTATTTATTCGTAATTTGTATGGGGATTTTTATTTAACAATTGATTAAAAGCCATCCAGTGTCCAAATTCATGCATCTAATTTCATTATCTTTTGTTTAAAAGGATTATGATCATGAGCTGATATGCATTACTGAAAGAGAAAAGTTTCTTGTTCCTGTCAAAGGAGTTGGTGCAAGAGCAATACTTGACTTTCCAGATGACATCAACTTCCAGTCATGTCCAGTCAAGGTAAGCTATTCACATAACTGTTCTTCATCAATTAAGAAATCATTTAAAGTATGTAATCTGTAGTACATTGGAAGTATATATCTTTATACTGGATGAACAATGAAATATCATGTATACAGCTCTTGCAGTTCATGTAGCTGCAGAAAGCTCAATGGCTGTTACACATAGCTCAATCTTGAAGTATATGTAGAATGTAACAAAATTCTGAAAAAAATTGGGATTTTTACAGGGGTATACACCTGATCAGCATAAAATTATATTCTATTTTATTTTTGATATTTGTAAAAAAATTGCTTAAATTTACATTATTTGATCAATTGTTAGAGTGAGTGAGATTCAAGTTCCATCAACATTTTCTAGCAACTAAATCATGTCATCTGATGTTGATGAATTTTAATTGAATATATGGCATTTTCTTTACAACAATTCTATACCTCTGATCATCATTGATAAATGATTTCAAAGTTTTTGGAAACTAATAAAGTTCCTGAGTTGAATAAAACTTTTTAATAAGTCTATTAATTTTCTGTTTCAAGTATGCTTCCACAAAAACTTTGCTAGTGCGAAATGTTGGAAATCAAACAGCAAAGTTTCAGCTTTTGACTGAAAGGTAAAAGCGCATAACTCTCTTAATTTGGTTTTTTATTTTATTTATCTGGGTTGCCTTAGATTTCAGATACCCTCCAGTTTTTTATGAGTTAGTTGGTATAATTTTCACTTGGTTCTCAAATCATAAGCTAGTTGTAAAAATATCAGATGGGAGGTAAAGCAGGAAAAAAATTATATATCTAATATGTCTTTGTCAGTAAATATTACTTTGTGTGCCTCTCATTAAGTGTAATCACTGAGCCCACTGTATGCTTCATTTTATTAAGTCCTGTATTTTGTCAGTTTTTGTGAAAATATGTACTGTTTCAAGTCATGTTTTATGTCCATAAACTGTCTCTAAGCAGAATCCTATAGCTGGCCAGAAAGCAGATCTGACCAGACCAAGACTTTAAAAGATTGTTGATATGGTATTATTGGATGTAACCTCTTTGGTTTTTCTTCTCCCTTAATAATAATCAATTTTTTCATTTTTATTGCAGCCCCTTCTCAGCATCACCTGACAGCTGTGTTTTGGGTGTAGCTGATAGTATTCAGGTAGATATACTTTTTCATCCAATGAAAACTGGTGATTTTCAGTCAAATATGGTGATTTCCTATGATACAGGTAAGTTTCCATTTTGCATTTCTTATAATTATTATTCAAAAAAATCTCTTATTGAGGGAGTGTTCTTCTTTTAAACCAGTTAAGTAGTCACAACAACTTTTTGAATGCTGTAATCCAAAATTACCTACTAGGAAGTTTCTCGCCCCTCCATCCCTCCATTGCCATTATCTACTTCCATGGCAAAGCTCAGGACTTTAGAAGTAAGCTAAGAGTAATCAACCAGATGTGTTGGCCAGCTAGTCAATCTGTTGTTATAAAGCATACTCTCAAGTTTTGCTTTATTAGGAAGTTTCTAGGAAGTTTCTCGACCCTCCATCCCTCCATTGCCATTATATACTTCCATGGCAAAGCTCAGGACTTTAGAAGTAAGCTAGGAGTAATCAACCAGATGTGTTGGCCAGTTAGTCAATCTGTTGCTACAAAGCATACTCTCAAGTTTCCTAATCTTGACACATTTTTCTCTTCTGATCCAAGTTCTGTTAAACAACATCCGTACATATCCATGGATTCTCCATCAGTTTAGAAAAGGTTGTTGTATTTATCCATAGGTGAGAACATTTATGTCACATTGTATGGGGTATCAGTTGATGCCAACGTAAGACTTGATAAAAACACAGTAAAGTTGGAAAATACATACATAACAAGTGCGTCCCAGAGGTAAGCTTCAATGTTTTTTTGCCAAATTTACTATTGATGGAAGCCATTTTGCTTGGAAAGAAGACCCTTGATTGTGCCATGTATAAGCTTTAACTTACTTGTTGGCATTTTTACAAGCTACGTAGGCTTGCCCTTAACAGTATAAACTATGTTTCCGTCAGTATCATCTAATGCTTATTTGTCTGCAAAAACAATCCACGTTCCTTTCAACTAATCTTCCAGAAGATTTTAATGTTCTAATCTTGAAAATATAGTAAAAGATTCTTGACGACCTTTTATCGTTAAACTAAGAATTCTGATGGGATCCCCCAAGTTAGTTCCGAAATAATAAAAAACCCTTGAACTGAACGACCGGATTTTGTATTTGAAGGTCAAATTTCACATACCAATGCTTTATTTCATTTCTGATGACAAATGTTACGTTTTGTACAGTGTAAAAGTTTGTAAGAAGAATTTGTTGACAAACCTTTCACTTCCCCCGGCTATAGTGTTTCCAGAAACCATGGCTCGCATGATATTCCTTTAATTTTATCTTCATGTAAATCCTAAAACACTTTCTGTTTCGCTTAGAACCATCTCAATCATGAACCGAAGTGACGTCATTGTCCACTTTGAATGGAAGCCTTTGGCAACTCTTGGCGAAGAAATGCAGCAAAAACAAAGGTTGGATCCCCTTACTAAACCTGTAACTAATATATTTGATAATCATCTTAACTTTCATTATGCAGCTATCCCAAAACATTGGATTCGCTATAGGAGTTGCAATGTTTGTTATCTTGAACCTATAGGACGGTCACGGTACTTTCAAAGTGTCCCACAGAAAGTGTGAGTAGTTTGGAGGGAAAGAGGATAGGTTTCTTTAACTTATGAAGTATAACTCCTTTGTTGAGGCCAATCAAAATCTATAAAATAACAATTGAAAAAAAAAGAATTGTTCAGTTTTATAAAGCTACGTCCTGAACCAGGCTATTTTCAGCTTTGCCAATGTTTACTTTATACGAAGCACACAGGTGACAGCATTTTTGTTGGGTATGATTCTTTGGTAGCTTATCTTCAAACCTAGTAATAAGTCTTTGCACAGGCCATCTACTGCCAACTGCACATATTATTTTACATTCAATGCAGCTTTTCATGATTACCTTTTACTTTCAGATTTTATCACGAACTCAGCTTCAAAGAAGACGAGCAAAAGAACAATTTCCTGGAGGAATGCATTTCTGATCCAGGTTTGAGAGACAAACTGTCGCTTGTAACGAGGTCTTTCAAGAATCGAATCAAGGTAAACGAAGTTCTTTTTGTGATATGACATTTTAGACTAAGATTTTTACTAAGTTTTGTGTTACACAAAGATTTACTGAAACCTTGGAGGATTGTTTATTGTTCATTTAGACCTTCTTTGTCATACAAGGTATACAATCATTTGCTTGAATGGGTTTTTCTGTGGAAATTTTTATCAAACATTTGTCAAATTTCTGTGGAGTTTGGGTAATGGCCCTTTGGGGAATGCAATTGTGAGGAGTCCTTCAGCCGCCAATCGTAATGTGAACGGCAATTCTATTTCATCCACGGATTCCCAGTATCATTTATTGAGAAACAATCATGAATGTTTCAATTTTTACTCAGTTATGTGAAATAATTTCAAATTTTGCAGGTTGCTGAAGGAGAAAAGATGCTTTACACTGATGACGTGATAGCAATAGACCCAGTTGTAAGTCGACTTTTCAATTCTTTTTTAGACTGCTACTGTATCTACTTTTGAAAGTAGCTTCAAAACTTCAAATTGATATCTGCAAGGCATTCGTAACTAAAAACATTGGCGATATTTTTCCTTTTCTTAACAACATCCACCCACTATGAGAATTCTCTTTTTACTTGAACTAAAAACTAAATTGGACAGATCTGGCAATCATCATTGCTAATAAAGCCTAAAGCAAGTGTTTATTTTTCTAGCCCCCAGTTGCCTTTTATAATTAGTTAAGAATGCATTACTAACGAACTGTGACCAGGCACTTTTGAATAATTGAACACATGGTTGTCAGTTTTACTACCTTATGTAGAGTATTTTCAGCTGCAATAATAGAAGTAGTTGAATAAAATCGCAACACTTGCTATGTTTATGACATTATTCATTCATTCTTTCAATGTAATGAAAAATAGCTTGGTATTTGAAAACGAGTTTTAAAAAAAGGAGGTATGAAAGATATGGTTCTTTATGAGATGTGAAATATAGTTTCGAAAATCAAAGCCTTGTCCAATCCCCTATCAATCTATTGACATTCTCAAAACAAAGAAATATTCTCAGTGACAGTCACACTTTTATCTTGTAATCTCAAGTCGAGAGAAAAGAGGAAGAATTATGGAACCTTGGTTTGTATTTCAAAATGCCCGTTGCTCAAGACAGAATATCAAAGACCAAAAGGTGGCCACTTCTAGGAATTCTATTATGACTAATAACTTGAACATCTTTAGTATATGAATAGACCCATTAGTGTAGAAATAGGCACTGTATTATGAACACTGTCTCGTGCTCTCCATCTTTTTGTAGCCTAGTCTCAAAAATCTTGAATTGAGTAAAATGTATGTTGTTTTTAAAACAAACCTTCTCATATATCTGCTTTTTATATTAAGGAGGGGGACATTTGGCCAAACTCGCATGCCGACATCAACATCGTGTTTAAACCAGATGAAGCCAAGAGCTACACGCGGACTGTTTATTGTGACGTCACTGGCAGAGAGAGCAGACTTCCTCTTAAAATTCGCGGAGATGGAATTGGCGCGAAAATCCAGTTTTCTTTCGATGCTCTGGACATAGAGAATGTTTTTGTGAATTCAGAGCACTCTTACGAGGTAACGTTTGTTAAAAAAGAATGATGTCTCTGACATTATAAAGTCCAAAACATCCTTATCTTCTCTCTTTTCTCTGTGTTGCTGTATTGTTGTCATGAACGTCGAGGTCTGAAAAAATAATTTCCAATCCTGATCAGTTTTCGAATAGACATGTAGCAATAGAGATTGAAGTCAGATTTTTCGACTTTCCATGCTCAATACAATAGCCTTCATTTTTTAACCTACGATTTTATTATTTTAAGGTGATATTGAAAAACTCCGGAGATATTGATGCAGTCTTCAGCTACGTCCAGTCAGAGTCTCTATTTGGTCAACAGTTTGAGTTCACGCCCACAGAAGGCATCATTGTCCCTGGAGGATACCAGGCTATTCAGGTAATGATACACAAAAAAGATGATGTGTCCTCTTTGCAGGTATTCTAACATTTCTATAAAACGTTGTGTGCTGTTTGCCTTTACAGAAATAGTACAATTTTTGCATATCGTATTTCTGAACCTTTACCTTTTTGGCGGCGTACCAGGATGCATGGCGGTAAATGCAGATTTTGTATCTTGTTTGCCATAATTCACCTGTGGGATATTCTTAAACACTCTAACACTCACCATGTGTATATCGTTTTACCTCACAAAATTGATGTAGGACAGGTATACACATTAGACGTCTCAGAGATCAAACTTTTATCCATAATCGAAAAGCTTTATCTATAAATATCAGTGCGTTTGGGGGCTTAGTCCCCTAGCCCCCTAGCCCTCTAGCCCCCTAGCCTCCTCTTGACCTTGGGCCTGTTTTAACATGATCTTGGCAAGACTGCAAAGTGTTTCGAAAAGTTTTATGGATTGAATTTGCGGAAGAAACTCTTACGAGGGGAACTCGTTCCACGTGCATACCCAAACATCGCAGGTTGGCTCCTGGTCGCTTCTTCGATAGGTCTGCTTAATAGACAGTGGGCGCTCATTGGAATCATTATGTTGTCTGTCGCCGTTACCATGTCCCATAAAAGCAGCCATTTGATCTGTGTTAGAGAAAGCTCTCCTTACGTATTTGTTTATTCAAGTGAAGTGAAATTCGTAAACTCCTTTCAGATTCATTTCACTTCTCCTTATCTTGGTGAGTTCAACGAAGAATTTGTCTGGGTTGTAGAAGGATCACCAGAAAGCTTTCAGTTCAGAGTAAGGTAGGCTACACAGCTTTCCTTTATATATTACACAATTGAACTTAGTTTCATGTAGATTTTGCCTCTACACAATTGAACTTAGTTTCATGTAGATTTTGCCTCTTATGTGTCAAAATTTCCTCTTATGAATAGATAGTATTTAGGACAATACTTAAACTAATTTAGTTGTGAGATTATATTGTAAATGAAACTTATTGATATGGAACTAATTACTTTTTAGATATCTTATATAAAACTTTTTAAGTCAGATATTGTATATAAGTTTGATCTAAGTTTTACTTGCTAGATAATTTCTCTCTACTCGCATACTAAAGGCTTGTGTCTTGCGATTTTCCATTGCATATCTAAAACTGCTTGATTGTTTCTCAGCGGCTGCGTGATTGGGCCTACGTTTCATTTTGATGTGCCGAAGCTGAGGTTCAATACAGTTTCATACGGTTAGCTTTCTCTACATCTGCTTCAGCTTTTTACAGTTTTCTGCTTTTGTAGAACGTTTTTATATAATGTTTACACATGGACTTTTATGCGTTGCAAAGATTCAAGATTTCTACCTTGTTTTCCAATAAAAGCCATTACAAGCAGTAGATGTAGCCAAACTTAAAGCAATAATTAATAAATTGCCAACGAGGCCATTTTAGACTGATACTTTGCAAAGGTTTTAATGAGGTTCCTGTTAGGCGTACGTTGAAGACCACTGTTGATAAAGGACTATAATTTCTTTACTTGAATACCACATACTAACTTAATTTTTGCTTATAAACCCTGTAACACCTCACTAATTTGCCGAGCTTACATCCTGCGTATTATTAACTTACATGACTCTACACAAGTATTTCATTTTCGCGGTGCTTTTGTTCCAGGTTTCACACACATTGCTGCTTGCAAATTGATCAACACATCTCTTATTCCAATGACTTTTTACTTACGAGTTCCATCAGATGGCATGGGTCCGAGTGCTGCCTCGATTGCAGGGAGTTTTCTCGATGATAGATACATTGACGATATCCATCCGCACGATTCTCCAAGAGAATTCGAGATATATCCCAGCACTGGGACAGTTGGTCCTCAGTCAGAAACTGACATACAGGTGGGTAATGCGACGTGATTATAAACAAATATATCAAGTCGCAACACAACACCACCATTTTATAGCTCTCTCTCTCTATCTCTCTCTCTCTCTCTCTTTCTCTCTCTCTCTCTCTCTCTCTCTCTCTCTCTTCTTAGACTTTGTATGACAATTCAGTTGAGTAAAGAAAACAACTTTCCAAAAAGTTGCAAGATCGAAAATGACTATCCAAAATGACATGGCAAATTCATTCTTGAGACACCCTATTTTAACATAATTGATTAAAATATAGTACGTTATGACGTCAAAATTGTTTGTTTAAAATTTTTGTCAACTATACGACACACATTCTTTAAAAAGTCAAGCAGGAAATCAGAATTTTTAACTGACAAAAATAGATGGGATTGAATAAGTATTTGTAAAGGATTTTAAACCTGTTTCAATTTCGAAGTAAATTATTTTGATTATTTCAAAAGGTTTTATAATTTACAAGGATTTATTTTGTGTGCTCTTGTTGTGACAGGTGAATTTGACGTCACTCACTGAGCAGAAATACGAGACGTACCTCGTAGTGGATGTTGAGGGTGTGGGACAGGAGATACTCGTTCTTCCCATATCTGCCAGGTAAATCGAGCAATTACTGTCCATGCCTCTTAACGATATAATTCAGTAATATCACTACTATTGTCTTCAGGGGACTTGTTATAAAGTTGTAGCAATCAATTTCTTCCAACAAACGATCCCTTTGTTGCCTTGTATTCTTCCTATGGTACTGAAGCTGTGTTGGTTTCGCCATATGCCTCATTTATATACCGTATCGGGCTCAAGAGGCAGAATCCTGGTAATTCTTGACTATATTTGAGTGTTAAAGTCAAAATTGCCATTCGTTTTGCGAACGAGTAAAATAAATCCACAAAAATTCTGATACCTGTTAAGGGTTTAAAAAACTCAAGCGAAGATTTGGCGTCTTTATTTTTGCATATTTCGGGCTATTTGTTTCTACCAAGCATCCGAAGGACGTTTTTAGGACACTAAGACGTTATCACGCAGTGTACCTGTCCTTCCCCACCTCATGGTTTCTACGTCTGGACTTACAACAGTGTTAGCGACTCTTCCTACTTTAGAAGACAGATTTGTCAGTACAGGAACTCGAACCCTAGAATCCTGAATCTAGACAATAAGCCCGACTCCCCAACCCCCGAGCTATTTTCACACCCCTAACATTCTCAAGTTGCTGCTGTCACCATCCAGTATAAACAATAAGCTTTGATTCACAAGATGTATGGCAATTGTTGCATTACGAATGTTCCTTTAAACTCTGTGACCATCCAAAGAAACCTTTTGGTTGCATGCCTCTCCAATTGTCCAGGAAAGCTCACAAGAAATGCCTAATCCGCAAGATTAGGAGAGCAGGCACTATCCCAGAAGGTCTAAAATCCCTAGGTTACGACAGCCCTGCACACTACATCGATCTACCGTCTTATCATGTTTCTTTTGAATTCTTGTTTTGATCTTTCCAGGTGCGTCGTGCCTGGCATAGTCGTGGAGACTCCAATCATTGACTATGGAAGGTGTTTTATTCGTTATCCTTATGAAAAAATGGTTGTATTGAAAAATGAAACAGATTTGCCTGCCAAATATGAGCTTTTGCCCCAGGTTTGTATTTAATAATTATTTTGTTAGAGAAATATGTTGGTTGCTCTACTTGGTTACTTTTTTTGATCAAGCTAAGCTTTTCTGCCTGCGTAAAATCCACTCTGCTTTCTTTAAAAAATTTTCAACCCTTACTTTCAAATTGCGCATAAAAGACCAACCAACCCGTTTAGGTTAGTAGCAAAGCAAGTTTATCACTTGAATCAATTAAATTAATATTCATTGCAACTTTTGTTGACTTAATTGGTAAAAAAAACTATTTAAACTATTTTTTTCAGTTTACCACCTGTAAGCATTATAATACCTTTAACCTCGAGATTGTCGTCTTTCTTTCTCTGTCACGGTCATATAGACATGTCATTAATTACATCAACGATTTGACAATAACAAGAAAAAATTAGATTCCTGTCGAAATGATAAGGTAATTCGTCAAAAAACTAGATTTAAAGATCGTTATGATCAAGGGATATTTTCTAATAAGATTTATTGTAAATTGATAATATTTGTAAGTTTCACAATTTCACGTTTATGAATTTTAGGTTCAAGAGGATCGCCTGACAATTCGCTATTCCACCAGTTACTTTAAGGTAAAATATTGAAAAATGTGTACTGTTTTTAATTGGCTTATTTATCAAGGCTTTTTGTATGTCCCATATCCAAATAGTTCTTTGTTTAAATCTTTGTTTAACTCGTTGATATACAATTGCTAGTTTATAGTAATCTGTGTATTTTGCATTCTAAACCCAGCATCTATCAGAATGTTGCCATTCCTCGGACAACTTTCTATCTCTAAATTATTTCACTTTATAATGTCTGATGATTATATTACGCCTGAGCTACAGAGTCGGTTTACAAGCTCAGTCAGCATTAATGTGCTAGTATTATAATGAGCAGCACAAGTTGCACTGGTTACTGAAATGAAATAATTATAGGATACTGAAAAATTTTCATTTTGAATTAATTTTTGCCTTAAAACAGAATTAAATTTCTCCTGTAAAACATTGAAGGATCCACTTTATTTCCTTAGTAAGTTTTATCTCTTTTTATAAAGTCCCTGCATTTTTGCTTTGTTTATTTGCTATAGTTAGTTATTATACTTTTAATGGTCTTTTCAGCGTTTTCAAAGATAGTACTTGTCTATCTTATAACTGATTTTCGTCAATAACCATCAACGATTTGAAAATATATTGCTTGACATTGTAACAAGTGACAAGTTTGTTTCTACAGGGCATTATACAACCCCAGTCTCTCATTGAAATACCACTGCAAATAAGTGCTCACGGAATGGAAAGGCTGGTCACCATTGCATACTTTATGATTTACGGATGTAATGACATCCCGATTGTAAGTACTCTAATTTGTTGCTCTTTAAGAATGGTTTATGTATTATACCTTTTTTGAAGAATATCACGTGCTTACAGTTTTTAACGTCAACATTAGAAAATTGTGTCATTATAGAACCTTTATAAAGTTGAAAGCAGAAGTTTTCAATATGTCCATCAAATTTGGAACCATCTAACTGTAGATCTGGTCAAAAATCTTTCTTTCCAATAAGTTTGTCAACAATGGTGGAAGATGGTTTCTGCAAATCTTCTAATTTTTGTTCAAGAAATTCATATTTCATTTCTAACGAAAAATCTTGATTAATTCCACAACTCGATAGCTGTTCTTATTCAAATTTATAAACCATCAAATAAAATAACTATTGTATTCGTGCAGCAAGTGCAGCTAACTTGCATAGGTGAAGGCCCAGTCGTTCATGCCAGCACATTAGAGGTCGACTACGGTGCCGTTCCTGTGCTAGAAGATGTTTCAAGACACATCAAGCTCTCCAATGAGTCACTGATTCCGGCGGAATTTCATTGTGAAATGGTAAGTTGTCAACGCCTGACGAGCAACTGCATCTAGTAACGTCCCACAATCTCGGTACATCGCGTAGGCCTTATGCAGTCATTCTCTGCAATATTTCGGCGTTGATTTTTTTCGTATATCATTTCATCGAAAATGAATAGAGGAGTACCCTTTTGCATGTTTCAGCTGGGCTCGAGGAAAATACCGCACCCTGAGACCATTAGCCGCTGATAAACTTAAACTGATAGAAAACTGTTGATAAGAATGAAAATACTTTCTCATATAAAGAGTCGAATATAATTCAGATGACAAACCAGCAAGCTGTATTGCTATCTCAGATTTTGTTGAATTCAACATGAGTTTCTTAAATTCCAAATTTTCCAAATTTTTAAGTCAATGCCTCAAGTATACAACAATCTGAATAAAGTTCAGCTAAATCTGGAATAGTGAGTTACAAACTTGACAAAATCTTATGGTTTCATATTGATATTCAAAAGTTTGTCGTCAATACATTATTTCTTAGTTCTACCGCAAATAACCTGATAAGTGGTATAAAACAATTTGTTATCGTTATTGCTAATATATCGTACAGAAAGTTGCTAATGTCGTTAATAGCGATTCAACAAGAAAAAGAATTTTGGCAATCTTCTGTGTGATGGATCATTTGGTTTAAGATTTATGCAACTGAAAGCATAATTTATTCAATAACAAGTGAAACGGGTGCGATGAAATAATCTAAAGATGACAAGTTATTTTACGGCATTATAGAATGCTTCCCCTTGTCAGATTTTTTTGCCGAATCCACTTTCAATCTATATCACAGAATCTTTTGTAGTTTCTTGTGTTTTGATTATCTTTCGAAACGTGATTGATTTTGCATCTTATTTTACAAGTTTAGTTTTGCATCGTATTTCATACTTGTTCCTTGGTATGTGTTACCAATTTAAAATCTTATTCCCCCTGTCATTCTTTTAGATCTAAGTAGATTTTCAGTCGATGATCATGATAAAAATGACGTCATTCGTTTCCAGGTACGTCCAAATTCATTGTTTTCCGTTGAGCCAGCTAGAGGCATTATACCAGCAGAGCGCACTGCTTCCTTGACTGTCACTGCCAATGTTGACGACTGTCTCAGGTTAGTATAGCATCAGTGACCATCTCCCTTACTTCAGCAGTATCTGAGTGTGATACACCTTGTCTTATTATTTATACTTTCAGGCGCCTTTCTTGCACCGAAATTTCTCTACGTCACTATGACGCAAAACATTTCAAAATATCTTTATTGCTTGACTTCTTTTGCTGGATGTCTATTAACCGTTTTCAAGTAAAAGAGCAATCATATGTACCGCAAATTTATATGCACATAAAAGGCTTCTAAATATGACTTTGGTCTTATCAGAGTTTTTACAATAATTCTCTGCTCGAGGTTACTTCAGCTGAATTGACAATTTATCCTGATAGGTTTCAAGATAAGCTGAAGATTGCAATAACTGACGGTCAGACACATACAGTACTTTTATCAGCACAAGGAACCGGGACGACTATCGTCAGCGAACCAGCAATGCCGCCAGTAATCAACATTGGTGCTACGTTCAGTCTTCGTCCATGCACGCGAAAATATCGGCTTATTAACAGAGGAAGAAGATCGCAACAAATATTTTGGTCGACAGAAGGATTTCCGTTGGTGCGGTCGAAGAAGAAACAGGAATACAACAAGGAAGATGTTAAGTATCAGGTAGAAAAAATTTTTAATTTTGATGAATCGGGATTTTAAAACGAAACATTAATTGCATTGTGTTTATCATTGTTTTGTCTCTTGCTACTATTCCAAGGATTGGGTATTTTCATTTCTATTAAGATTCGTCTTTAAGTCATTACTTAGCTTCATAATCTCCATCATACCGCATTTGCAGATTGTGAATTGAATTTTAAACTGGAGTTTTTTCATTTCCTATTATATATAATCAAGTTTTTTCTCTTTTGCTCCCACAGAGAATGCCCCCACCTCCTGCTCCTCCGAGACCTGTGTTCAAACTGAAGCCAGACAGAATGTCGCTTGCGCCAGGGCAAAGCCAAGAGGTCGTACTCGAAGGCTTTTCGGAAAAGTACGAGTTTATCAAAATGTTTCTGTTACGATTGCTAGTCCAAATAATTTCAGTTGTCTGTATATGTACATTGTCTGCCTAAATTTCAGCTAAGTATATATAAAAGTCTGTCTATCATTATTTGATGTCATTGAAAGTTAGTCATTTTATTTCAGTTCCTCGCAGGCTAATAATATTACTTAATATTGTAAATCTTGATATTTTCTTTCGAACTTGCTAAATCATCAAAAGGCTAATAATGCAATAAGTAATATAGATTTTGATATTTTCTTTCAGGCTTGCGACATATTCGGAGTCTAATTTGTGTTCTGCGAATATCTCCATGTTTTATGTTTGGAATAATGTTCCTTGCTACCTTTTAGATGTCAGCAGGTACGCGAGAGAATGATTTGCCATGCAATTGTCGGGAGCAATACTGGCAAAGATAAGATTATGAAAGTTGACATAGTGGCTGACTTTATCGAGCCCTTGTTGCGATTTTCAGAGAGAAAACTAAGCTTCTTCGTGCTCAAAGTGAGTTGATGGTTTTCATTTAAGTGATTTGCAAATAACATCTCTTTACTACATCTTTTGATATATTTGTGGTATACAATGGTTGTGCCTCTTTGATTATAGAGCATTTTCAGCAGTCAATAGAGTCATAATTCTTATTTGTTTGCGAACAGCAATGGGAAGTTCATTCACAGCATTGCGCTGTTAAAATTCTTACAAAAATTAAAGTAAAATAAACAGAAAACATTAATAGTTCCACCGCCCATTCTACCCCGCCCCTGCCCCTTCCTCTTCCTTTGTAAGGGGGGTCACAACGTGAAAAGCGTGAAAAAATATTGAATGATAGGCGAACACGTGACATGGTATATGATTATACACACGAGTCCTACTACACCCCTGCCAGTCAGGATGCCAATCAGAGTACTCAACGGCTGCTTGTAAATATTTACTGGTATTTGTTATACAAACCTTTAAGCTATACAACAGTGTGTTCGGGGTATGGGAAGCAGAGCCGTTGACCTGAGAAGGTACTTTTAGCCATGAATCATTAGAAGCTTAAACAGCTAACGTGAGACTTTTTTAGTGATCTTTTTCTATTTTTTTTACATTTCATTACTTGACATTATCAAAACAATTCCATACAGCACCCACAAACAGAGCTCTGCAAAGAAATGAAAGGAATCTTACTGGGAAACGTCTCAAAGCTGCCTTTGCGAGTCTCGCTTGACACAGAGTACCCATTTTCTGTCCACGCTGATGGCATGGCAATAGAAACATGTCACATGGTAATTTTAACAATTTTTCATAACTGTTTATTTATTTGATACTTTGTACATTTATGATCATTAGTTGGAAATTGACAATTCGAGCGAAAATTCATAAATTAATAGCTCTCCATATACGACATCAAGCACAGTATAGCTTTCCGGTTAACAATTATAATTGTTAATTCAAACTTTTGATGATTGGAACATAGTTGCTTTCTCCTGAAAATTAAGGTAATCAGGCTTTGAATTTCAATGACAAGTTGGTTTCTCAGCCAGTGCTTTTTCGAGATGACCTATTTCGTTTGTATGGTAAAACCAGAAAGGGTATAGATTTTATAAAAAAATTCAACTTTGAAAAAATATTTGACAATTATCTTTATGGCTAAACAATTCGATTTTCCAGGACCTACAGCTCCAAGTAAATGAAAGTGTGCCACTCATGGTCCAGTTTGATCCTGATTACAAAAATGACAGATATTGCAGGACCGCCAAAACTAATCTTGAGATCACATATCATGATCATCCAAATACTGTAAGTAATACGTTAATTTTCTTTTAGCAGCGATTTAGGGCTACTGCTTTACTGAACTATTAAACGAACTGAATAAAAAGTGGCCTAAATGTTTCCTTGAATGATTAGAATCACCGATTTGTCGCTTTTTGGTTCCAGACGATGTTTGACAAAAGAACTCCCACTGGAAACTAAATAGGAAGCTAATTAGATCCCTAGAATTATAAAGAAGCGGAGACATATTTTTGTCCCTTTTTTAACTCTACTTCTTGAACCCTCTTGTGAGTATTTTGTGTCTCTCTTCTGTTTTACTCCCATGTTTTTCAACAGGACTGTATCGAGTTGACTGGCGATGTATATTATCCGAATCTGCACTTTGAAGCAAATGTGGTAAGCAGTGAATATGTTTTATAGGTTTATGTTTTTGCTTAAAAACTTATATAATTACAATAGAACGAAGAGGGCCTATTTTTTAAAACAGCTTACATGCTAGAATGTTGTCACTGTGTCTAAGCTTGTCTAAGCATGTTAGCTCTGTGTTTTTCTTTATCCAAATAACGAGTAAATGCTCGAAGCGTCGTGTTTTTAACAGTCTGTTTCATTTTTATGTTTAATCAATTTACTCGTTATATTTCCGTTATTCATAGTTTTTTTTAGCATTTAGAAAGTAAGATTTTTATATGAAAATTAAAGTTGAATAAGCCCTTTTGTCCATCAAAGCATTATCAGACATGACTCCAAATTTACACTGTGTTTTGTAACTTCTCCCTATGTATTACTTGATGTCTCAATGGCGCAGCAAGCGTGTCCGATGTTTGCATGAACGTAGAAATAGGGTACGGAAATTAATCCAACATTAACTAGGTACGGTGACGAAATTACTCCAAATTTTGTCATCGTTTGGGAAAAATTATTTGCTTGTCAGAAATTCAATATTTACCTCTTGATTTTAAGGTTGATTTTGGGTGTGTCTTGAATGACACAGAGCACGTGAAGAACGTAACCGTCACAAATAACAGCCCTTTGAAGGTGATTTTCAAATGGAGCTTTCAGGAGAATGCTATCAATTTTGAGAGCAAAGAAGACGATGAAGGTATTTCTGTCCAAAGATCTGCGTTGTAAATGTTATGATAATTTTTAATTCAATAAAGTAATTTCATCTCATGGTTTTTGAGCAAACCTTAATTAGAGTTCACACGCCCTTCACGGAAGTTTTTATTGTCTAAATGTGTTTGGTTTTTCATAGCGAAAAAGGATGTTATTCCTGAGTACGTTGTAGAAGGGGAGAGGCCGCTCTATCAAGTAAGTCGGAAAACGCAATGTGCTTGGGCCGTCACTCAAAGGGTTAATTCCCACCACGGCTGCCAGTATGAATCATTGATGTTTTTGGAAGATTATATTTTTTAAAGTGTTATGTCTTCCAACAGGCTTGGGAAAAGATATATCCGATGGCGAAGAAGACCTGGAAAGTAAATTCAATATTCTTTCAACACCGCAGAGTAACCAGTTTGGCGATATTGCCTTCAGGCCAAAAACATCGCCAGCAATAAGCCATTTGCCGATTCAGATGCGGCCTCAAACAGCCCCAGAATCAGTTGAAACGAGCCGTCAAACACCAGCGTTGCCCTGGCTGCCGCGAGGCTCTGCTACGGAAAACATCAGCATCCAAGAGGTATTTTTCCTCTATGCCTCATTTAGCTAATGGCTTTGGTAATGAATCTTTAGCTTTGGGTAAAAAGCTGTTGACTTAGCAGGCAAATTAGTCTGTACCTTCTCGATAGACAGGTCAGTCTGAATATGCTCCCTTTTCTTAAAAAAACTGAGATATATTTTCCTAAACAAAAGCCATCAGTTACAATTAGTGTTTAAGCAATCCTCGCACATATGAAGCAACAGCTTCCGTTGCAGTTGTTTTCAATGTTTAATTTCGTGTCCTCCCTAACGTTATAATTAGCATTCAAATACTGTATCAACATGGTCTTAAAGATGACACCTGACAGCAGCAGTAGGTTTGTACGCTAGGTGTTGCACAATGGTGCTGATCGAATTAACTCGTTGATAATTTGCGTTCTGGGTTTTATTTTTGGCCAGTCATTGCCGGTTACCCTTGATTTGAGCTTTATAGACAGAAATCTAAGTCTTTCTGTTTACTCAATAGAGGATATCTTGTATAAAAGTAGACCAGTTCCTGAGAATCGTAAATGAAAATATGGCCTAGCCTAAACGAAAGCTGGAAGCATGTTCCCGTTGTGGATTCCGAGCCTTATTAGTCCCAAGCTTTTTAAGAATACTTTTTACGTTGGTGTCTAGATGTTTACTGTTCTTAAGTACAATGCGAGTTGATAAGCTTGTTTCCCTTTTTGTGAAGGTCTTTGATGTGCTGCCGCTGTATGGAGAACTTGAACCTGGTGAAGTGCAACAATTCCAGTTTACATTCTATGGCCATTCGCATGCAATGGCGGAAGCTGTCGCAGTTTGCAGTGTCAGTGATGGGCCTGATTACAGAATACTTCTAAAAGGACAGGCATCTCTGCTTCAGTATGGATTCAACACTACCAATATTGAATTGGGAAGACAGGTTAGATTTTTGTACATATAAAACTATTAGATATTTGCACTTTAAGATGAACATTCTAATTGAATGCATCGATGGTGCAATCTTGGAGCTGTACAGAAAATCACACCACGGCAAAACAAACATGAATCTTGTAAATGCAATAGCAAATTTAATTGAATTATTCTGTTGGAAATTTTCTTTTAGAGTTTTATAATTTGTTAATTATCATTATATAAGTTATTAAAAAAGAAAAGAAAGCAAGAATTAAAGATTTTAAGTACTTCATCTGTTGACCTGACTATGCAATATTTTACTGTACAAGTTTGCGTCTCATCTGCATTCGATTCCGTAAGCGCAATAAACGTAGCCTTCTTAAGTTTCTTGAGAAACACACTCTTTTTGCATTATACACCAATTCGACTTACGGCCTCATTTTGAAAAATTCTTCAAATTCTTTTGTACAAAGTTTTTGACCTCAGATTCGGATTGACAGCAATTATTTTAGTCTACTTGTAAGTTTTTATTATGATATTGCTCACGATATTGATTTTATGACGACATAAAGATAAAAACTTTATAAGGGATTTGACTGTGATTGGCGACCAGGGGGGTAAAGTTTCCCCCCGAAATGATTTTTGCGGTCAAATCCCTTACAAGTTTTCAAACTTCATTTCTCGGTAAAATCTAAAATACAAGCTCAAACAATATGAAAAATGGTATCCCGCCTAAAATTATGACGATAAAACCAAATCTGTGCTTAAAAAGTCGTATAATTAAGTTTGGAGAAATTTCCAAAACTAGGTCGTAAGTCGAATTGGTGTATTCCAGTGCTACACTGTTATGTCACTGCTTATTTTCATGTTCAAGTACTTAATTGATTTAACCTGCTTCTATCCAATGCATATGATCGATTTTCAGAAGAACTAAGTAGACCGTGCTTTAATAACCCCCTAATACATCTTCAGCGCTTCCACTTATGTGGGTTCACTTCAACCTTCAACCGACATTTCTGTTATGAGTGATGGAAACTGTAACCAGTACTTGGGATGAATCTCTCTTAAACAGACACTCGTGGATCAATGGGTATGCTAACTGTTTTAGCAGTAGCATTTTGACTGACAAGTGGAGATACTTAATTAAACTTATATTAAGTACTTAATTATACTTAATTAAACAAATATACTTAATTAAAATGCCTGACTGTTTTTTCCAGATATATGATCATGTGGTGACAACAGAAATAGTTCTGTTCAACAGAGGAAAGGTGAATTTTGACTTCACAGTGCTGGACACGGACAGGGGCACGAGTCCACTGCCAGGGGGAATCACTGTGTTGCCAGCCCAGGTATGTTTTGCTTCCTGGATTTTTGACTAAAGTATTAAATGCTTCCTGCATGTCAGTGTTATTAAAAGTAACTTATTATCATGGATTGGAAAAAGCATGCTGTGAAATTTTTTATGTGTTGAATTAATAGCTAGCGTTTGTGATTTAATTTCCTTTTTAGTTCATTTAAATTTTTCTTGCCACGATAACATAGCCTGTTGCATGTGGCTTTTAGTTCAATTTATTGTATTTTAATGGTTTTTAAGTTGATATTTCTAACGTAATTTTTCTTGTGATAGTATTCTTTGAAGCTTTCTTAGCAAAAATGATGCCCAAAAATAATGCCCAACTAAGGAAGAGTACTTTGAAACAAAAAAAATTCATTCAAAGCTTCGTGATTGTCAAATATTCGAATCAATATATTACAATATATAAACAAACCTTTCTAAACAAATATATATAAACAACTGTTAAGATAAAAAGCGTATTTATAAGCCTTATCATATTTTTGCATCTTTTTTATTGTTGTTACTGTCTATCCATTTCTTCCTTCAACAGGGTATAGTTGAGGCGCAACAGTCACTGCCACTTACCATTCGGTACATGCCTGGATTCCCTGAAGTTTTTCAAAAGCAGTTCCGTGTACGTAACATGAAGCATCTACATACTTCTCTTGCTATTTTTATTTTTATCACCCTGTTGACTTTCTTAGTGCTGCTGTGACCTAGAAATAAGACTGCGTTTGCGACTAGTGTAAAACTTCATTTTTTGCAACTCTGTACCTCGCGTATTTGGAAAGCGAAAATTTGATAGGAGATGCAGTTTTCTAACAGAATCCTTATCTTCTATGTCAAAATATTTGATGTAGAAATTAACAAATCAACAAATCTAGATTTTGAATAGTATATTACGTATATCTTACAAATGTTTTCTTGAATGAAATGACAAAAAATTATTTTTCAATCAATCAGTTAGATGTTTTTAGAAATGAATCACTAAAATTGAGGTTTCTTCTCCTGATAGGTTCGTGTTGGCCATTTTGAGCCTGACGTCATCACGTTAACTGGTGAAGGTATTTTTCCAAGAATAACATTTGATCTATTTAGAGACAGAGACGATCCGCGATACTTGAAGTACCTAGAGCAGGCGCAGAAGCTTCAAGAAGCATCGTTGCAGCTAAAAGCTGTTGATAGTGCAAAAAGCCGTCATAATTGGGTTAGCATTTCCTTTTCATTGCATGGTTGTCAAATTTCCTTAATAGAGTTTGTATTATTTTGCTTGCAGTTCTCCAATATGTAGGACAGCTTAGCTCAGCTTTTGGTTATCTCAGTGCTTAGGCCTTGCTGCCAAGATTCCAGCCTGATACTAAGTCGAGTCATTTCCTTACACCCTCTCCCCTCCCTTTAAGGTCCGACTTAAAGCGATTCAACTGTAGAGCTGCTGACTACAGGGAACTGCCAGTCAGTGGCATGCCGAAGTAGGGGTGTATTGGTGAGAGTGAAGAACCCCATTTCTGAAGAACCCTTTGTGGTTTTTCGGCTTATCGGTAGAAATTGAAATTAAGGCCTTAGCTTGTCCCACCACACTTACAAACCCTTCGACATCCCAGTGTTTTTGGTAGCTAGTTTGTTGCGCCAGTTCATTTGTTTTTGTTCTTTTATCTTAATACAATTTTCTGCCTAATCGTTACATATAACGTTCCCTCTTATTTTAAGATTATTTTGTAATTCAATTTTTTAAAATGTGTATTGTAAGTATTTCAGCAAATAAGTAACTGATATGGATATGGCACTCTATCCTAATTAGGGGACAGAGGTTTCATAGAGTAAGGAAGGGTATCTTCATTTCTGGAACACAATGTTTTCTAAAAACTTGCTCGAAATCGGAAAGATGCTGGTCAAAACATTCCGAAACTATTAAGGCCTAGGATTGATACGGTATTGATTTTCTGTCTGCTCTTTTTTATTTGATACTCTTATGTTAATGAATTGCGTCGGTGCTAGATTCCCTCCTCCACATCAATTTCTTTTGATTAAATATTTTAGATTCCAGTAGCTGAAAAGGATTTCCAGGAAGAAGTTGATCGATTACAAGTGAAAGACTTCGCCGTTGAGATAATTAATAAAGAGCAAGACCTTATGGGTACGATGCTTCATACGTCATCCACAAAAGGAACAAGGAAACTCAAGCAAAGGTAATTATCTTGTATTTTGCTTTCTTTATCATATTTAGCAGCTGTATATATTAAATACATATTTTAGATGAAATGATTCAAAAGAACAAAAAATAAAAATCTAATTTGCTAGCCCTATTTTTGATGGTGTTTGGAAAAGAACTTTTTTATGGTGAAGGGGATTGGAATACATTTTTAAAACGATTTACACACTGAGTTGACTATGTTTGCTTTATGGTTGATCGAATGCCACCATACTCTCCTCAAGGTTTCTACTCCCCTTTTATCTTGACCTAAGTCGTCTAATTGTTACATGACTAAAATTGTTAATGAGTAGCAATTTTTTGCAACCCCCTCCCCTTTTGTATAATTAAAGTTCTACAGAGTGAAGTTCCTTCTCGTTTTTAACACAATATTTCCTTTTACAGACCACAACTGTCCGATTATGTAATGGATTTTGGTTTTGTCAATCTTGGAACAGTGAAGACTAGCTCATGCATAATAACAAACCCAAGCTGCATGCCAGTTTCTTTCGTTGCTGAAAAACAGCAGCTTGCTTCAACTGGTTTCACCATCGAATTTGACAAAGTTAAGGATTTGCCAGAAGGAGAATCGATTGAATTTAGCGTTGCTTTCGATCCAAAAGCAGGCAATCTGTCCCTAGGACCAGTGGAAACTGTTTTGCCTATCAAGGTTTTTATATATTCTGCTGTAATTTTTGAACCACTTATCAAACCAGCCATATAATGTGAAGCAACATTGGGTTACCTCAGTAAAATAATGCAATTTTAATGATAAATTGGATTGCATTGCCAAAATATTACCAAACCAAAATCAACTTGTATTATGCTTATAAGATTTGTGTTATTTATGGTGTGATAAACGTACATAAATGGACTTTATTAATAATAAATGGGGCTAGTGTTTTTATTTTTTAGTTAGACATTTTTATTCAGTATGATTCGTGAAGAGAACAGTTTACCGTGAAGAGATAACAAATGCACATGGCATAGATCTTGAATGGCAAGAAAGGCTGGATTTTAAAGGGCAAGAAAGTCATCCAGCTTTTTTTTAAATGTGTTATTGAAATAATATTTCACAAATAAATGCTCAATATTTGTTGCAATTGTTTTCGTAGATCACCAATGGCCCGAGCATCGGCTTGAGACTCAAGGGTGTTGTCACAATGCCTGACATCCAGCTGTCTTCTGAAGCGATTGATTTTGATTCTGTTATTTGTGGCCAATGCAAAGTCGTGACCGTACAAATGCATAACTATACCAAAGTCAGGTCAGTGTTTTTTCTCTTAGGGTCTATTTCTTTTGCAAAAGGATCCATCTTTACACGATTCTTTGCGACAAGCCAATATCCTGGCAAAAGATGCTGAGACACTCACAGATAAGCAAACTTGTTGTAGATCATCCAACCCCCGTCCTCCCAGCCCGCGTTAATCCCCGGATATTCTATAATCATCTCATCCAACATTGACACTTGGGGAAGGGGATTTAGGTATTTGTATTTGGTGCTACCTAGCATCCGAAGATAGTTTTTAGGACACTGAGAAGTTTATGCTTATCCAGCAGTGCCCTGGTCCTTTGTCCTAGTCCTTCCTCTCAATGTGACCAGACCTCGTGATTCCTACGCCTGGAATTACAGAGAGCTGGCGATTTTCCCCACTCTGGGTTAAGGTTAGTCATGCCAGGGACTCGAACCATGGACCCTTGGGTCTATAGTCAGCGCCTCTAACAACTGAGCCATCCTCGCACCTAGCGATTTAGGTCAGCAGCACGTTAAATGTAAAGATAAAGCAAGCTTTCTAAGATATGATAAACGCTTCTGAAAGTTGGCTTCCAACTTAGCAGTGCAGTGGCCTTGGTCTTAATTAGATTTGCTCACTGAAAGGTATATCCACTGAGGCTGACTAAAATTTTCCTTTCACTATAGATAAATGGAATAAATAACAACAAGAAATTTTTTCTTTACTTTGAGCAAATAATTGCTAATTGTCCAATCATACGATCACTTTAGCTGAATATGAAGGCTACTTTTTCCAAAGGTGTCAATGGACCGCTAGCGTCTACAAGGAAGACAAGAGAAAGGTAATTTCCACAGACTCATCTCACTGTTTCTAGTTCTTCAATTTTATCTCCTTTTTAAGTTGATTTCTTCTTTCCTTATTCAAATCTTGCTTCGTGGGTTAATCGAAATAGTTTCTATTCCTGAATAGGAAAAGTCTAAGAACTTTCTTTTATTAGGTTGAATTTTATTTCAGTCGCGAAGAGAGCGAATTCACAATCGAAAGAAGAATGACAAGAATCTAAAAGATGCCAGGTCATTTGAAATGATGCCACCGACAGGTATGCTGTACCCAGGTCAGCGCGTCAATGTCCAAGTGAAATTCATGCCGACCGAAGAGGTATGATTGTTGCAAATAATAGAACTATTTCTTTTCATCAACTGTCATCAACTTGTTTTCTCTGTTGTTTTTATTAAATTTCCTTTTTCTTCTTTTTCTTCCTCCACCTTTCCTACATGATCTGCACATTCTGTTTTCATCTGCTGTTTTTTCCTTTTTATTTTCGTTTTCTTCTTTACCCCATCTTCATCTACTGCTCCCTATCTGAATCTTGTTCTTCTTCTTCTTTGTCTTGTGCTGTTTCTGCTTCTTCTTTCATTCTCTGCCACTGCCTCTTTCTCTTCTTCTTTTTCTTTGCCTGCATCTTGTTGCTGCTGTTCTTACTCTTCTGCTTCTTCTTCGGCTCTTGCTTCATGCTTTATCATGCTTTTTGCGTTCCGAGGTATTCTGAATAGTTATATGCTCTTCCGTGTTTTATGTACATCATAATAGCATTAACGATTCCACTGTTTTTTTGCTCAGGAATCGTACAATCAGAAATTGGTTATTTCAATGCTGCAAAGCACCAACAAGATACATTTGGCCTGCAAAGGGCGTGGTATAGAGCCTAAAATAGAATTTGAAAAATTCATGGTTAACTTTGGTCCAGTTTTGCCGCATGCAAATGGTGATGAACAGGAGGTTATAGTCAAAAACCCTTGCACTTTTCCTACTGAGTTTTACTGCCTCGAGTTTGACAAGAAATACCTCGAAGAGGAAAAGGTGAGTTCGACTTATCCATCCAACATAAAATGCAAACTTTAACGGTAATTGCATGCAGAAGAAAGGAAATGATATGGTGTACTCCTCAGACGAGTAAGTTTTTGAAAGAAACATTTTGGCAGAAAAAGTTATACTTATTTTAATGTGATTCTGAATAGTGGTAAATTTCAGTGCATAGCTTATACTTGGCTAATCGAAATCATATGGAAGTAATTTTGATTTACATGTGCCGACTGTCTGAGAATTACAAGCTTCTGATGACTTCTTTTATTGATGTATCAATTCTTAATTAATATACAAAACTTTTTGTGATTCTGGTAGATGATATTTCTATTGACAATTATTTCCCAATGTAAGAAACATTTCCAGCCTTTCATGGCTGGGCATTTGCTGGCCAAAATTTCTACAATTATGTTTATTTCCCTCAAGTCCAAAAATTTTTCAATCTTTAATACCAACATAAGTATCAGGCTATCCTTTGCGACTTGTTAACTTTAAGAGTATGTTCTTCGGTGTCTGCAACAACCTTTTTAAACCTTCATAGTGAGAAATTTATTTTATGTCACATTTCTTTAACAATGTACCTGATGTGTGTTTTACCTGCATTAATAGGATTGGGTTCAATTATGAAGCCCGGCGTAAATAAGACACTTCCACATAGAAAATATTGTTAACAATTTTTCCACCTTTTTCGGTAAGACTGGTAATAAATATTCCATATATCCTTTAAAGGTTTGACTTTGAGCCACTTTTTGTAAGCCTCAACATCTCTTGTGAATTACAAATATTCTTCACAGATTTTGCGAGCAATGAAAGGCTATGACGAATACAATACGATTCTCTTGCCACCACGAAACGCAGGGGATGACCTCCCGAAGGAGCTAAATGAGGCTTACAATGAAATGACAAAAAAGAAAGAAGATGGTGCTGGAAAAGACGGCTCCAAACCAGAAGGTGAAAACGAGGCTAACGAAAAGAATGAAAACGAGGAGGAAACTGTTGACAACGATGACAATGATGTAGAGAGAAAACTAGAAGATACACCTAGCGAAGATGAAGCTGAGTCGGAGCAAGATGCTGGTATGAATGATTTAAATCTTCACTTTTTGTGTTTCTGTGGTTTCTAAGGTACTTGCCAAATGAAAATTTGTATAGTATTTTCTAAATGCATAGTATTAAGAATTTCACCATATTGAGAAATCGATGTGCTTTCAGCTGACATTCTCTACTGTTTTGTTGCAAATCAGTGTATCTTTCCATTTCCCTTGCCAACTTTATGGTCTGGGCCTGCCACTCACAAATTCTCTTCTCTCTCATTTTCTTCTCTTTATAAGAAATTATCTTCATTAGACGAGATTTTTCCACCCCTGATTGGCGATCTCTGCATGTTTTCTGAAGGTTTTCCTGTATTGTGCTACTGGAACCCCTCAAAGTAGCAACTGGCATCATGAAATGCATCTTCATTATTACATACGTTTATACAGTATCATAATTCTATTTCAAAAATACTCATTTTTTACCATTGCCGATGAAGAAGGGGTGAAATTCGGGTACAAGTATGATTATGGTTTGAGCATTTTCTACAGGCAATGTTGAATGGCTTGTTAGCAAGTACGGATCTATATTGTTGAAGTTTGGTAGTTTATTGACTTTCTTATTCAAGTGTTAATTGCTCAAATGGGAGATCAAAAGACATTAACTTAGTTATAGACTGTTAAAGTAGCTTTCGCTACCTTAACGGATAAAATTAAAAGTACTACTCGTTTTATAGAATTGGTTTAAAGCGTTGTTGCTAAAATGTCAACACAACCACCGTCTCCTTTATTGAATAAATGCTCGTACCATAGCTGAACATGCACTGGCTTCACGACCATCGCTACAATGCAAAATGTTACTCATTTCGTCTCTAATGAACCAGTAGTTTTTCTTAAGATAGTTTGAAATTGTTCCTGTTCCCTTGAACTTACCAAAAAGCTTAATTTCTAAAGTCTCTGCTTTAGAGTCCGATTATGGCGTTGGTGAACTAGAAATAACTCCGATTTCTGCCGCAATCGCCAGGCATCTTGGCATTGATTTGTCTTCTGAAGGAAAGGCGGCAAGAAACAGGCGAGGTATTGCCTTGATTGTGCATGGTGCTCCTTTATCAGGAAAATCAGCGACGGCCGCTGGGCTGGCGGAAAAGTATCGTATAGCACTGTTGAGAGTTGATGATATCGTGAAAGAGGCTATTTCAACAGGCACCTCTTCAGCAGGTAAATTTGTCTCCATTTTTGCTTGTCCAATTTTGATAAGTCGGCATTTCAGGAAGAAATAGCTTCGCTTCTTTATAGCATGTATGTGATTTGCTTGCCCGGACATGGCTGCAGATTTTTCAGTTGGCCGTTTCTTTTACATTTTCGCTAGATATTTCTTTTATTAAATTCAGCTGTTCGTGTTCGTGAACTGTCTTCAATCGCTGCTAAAAACGCTGCCGCTGCGCTGGAGACTGAGGGTGCTGCACAGCAGGGAGTAAGCAGCGAAGTTGTTGCCACAGCCTCGACTGCACATCAAACAAACGCACTGAGCGTCGCACCATCTACAACTGGGGTGCTTCACGCTGGATTCAGAGAGTCTAGAAAAGCAACCACCCAGCCAACAATGAAGCAACATAAAGCTGCTCACGTGTCTCCTCCTCCAACACCACCCCTCGGGCCTCCTCCATCGCGAAAGCTCAGCATCGTGCAAAGTGTTGGTGAGGGGGAGTTCTACAGCTGTATACTACCAGATGATCTCCTTGTTGAAATAATTGCAGAAAAGCTTCAGGTAAAAAGCGGCCTTATCTCTTACAACTGCTTCTAGTTGTCTGCTTTTATCTAAATCACTAGTCATGTATCACAAACTACTGACTTTACCCTAGTTTTGCCGAATATTTTTCTTGTATATCAAATAGCAAAAAATTCTATTTTACATGATATACTTTAGTTTAATATTTTTGTATTTCTGTAGTTGAAGCCTGAAAAGTTTTATTTTTGTTTGTTCTTTCTGATATGGCAATAAATGAGTATGCAAACGAATTCATTTAGTGTAAACAGCTTCCTGATAAATATTTTTTTTATATTTTGAAAGTCAACATTTTTCAACAACGCTCAACCCTTCTACAGTTTTTGGAATATATCAACGTTTAATATAAAAAAGTTTTATCAAATCAATATTGGATTTCTAATTTGTTGTTTGACTCGAAATGTACCAAAATCATCATTTTTAATTTCGTTCTTTCGTTATGTTAACAGTCTTCAGAATGCCAAATGGGTGTCGTGTTTGATGGCCTCGAAAGCACGTTTGCTGCAAACATGACGTCATGCGCCAACGCACTGCTGCGAGCCATTAACAACCGCAAGTATATATTTGCTGTGACGTTGAAGTTTAGCAAGGAGAGGTTAAAGTTGATTGATGAGAGAAAGAAAGCAGAAAAAGGTTAGACTGATTTTTGTTACCGGCTTGATCATAAGTTTTTATTTGGCAAACTAGAAAGCCTTGTGAAGAGTAAAGAGGAGGGAAAATTATTGGCTTACGTTAGATAATTATTGTTTTTTATCATCTGACAAAGAGATAAAAGCTTTCATGCTCGAATTAAGAGTTTAATAGATCAATTTTGTTTTCAAAAAAAATTTCTATGTTGAAGCTCTATGTGTCATATCACAGAACGATCACAAGAAGGACCCTAGTTAAATATTACGACCTATCAGCTTCAATACGAATTTAGATGAAATAGTTCAGTTGTAAGATTGCTCTCTTGAAGATTTTGTTTTCATGTGGATTGCTTCAAATTACTGTTGTAATTAAGCTTCAAAATACGTTTGTAGATTTTCTATAAACTTGATAGATAGGAAGATCGATTAAACTAACAATCTCGTTTGTTCACAAATTCAACTAGCTCCTTGATCAGTTTTGGTGGGTTAATAGATCGACTGGTAGTTATAATTTTGGATTCAATTTTTAGCAAAGAAAGAAAAAGAAGAACAAGAAGCAGAAAGAATACGACTTGAAGAAATGTCTGAAGATGAGTACGAAGCACTTCCAGTGGAAGAAAGAGCTGAGATTGACCGAAAGAGACTCGAAGCAAAGAAACTGAGAATGAAGAAGAAGGAGAACGATGAGCAAAGAGAGAGGGAGATCAGAGAAGAAAGACTGGCAGAAGAAAGACGGTTAGAGGAGGAAAAGTGAGTTATATTTTCATGTCTGGTGCTATCTTATTTAATTCTCAAATGAAATCTAACATAGCTTGGATTCCAAAAAGTTACATAACAATTTACTGTAATACCTTAACTACGCGCTACTTTACATACACTACAAAGACGATACCCAGGGGAGCACCAACTCTGTCTACCCCGGGGCCATAACATAGAGCTTTATTGTTGCTGAAGGATCTAGATGAATTGACAACATCCCCTCCTCTTTCCACTTATATTTAGAGATATGTAAGTACCGTATACTTCAAAAATATGCTGTTGCGGTTTTGTTTTCGTTCATTTGGAGGAGGTGTTAAAAAAGTCGCATTTTTCATATTTTACCTTAAAGAAAAAATAAGAAGAATACCATAGTTTCGATGCACATGACAGGCATTATTCGGAGATATTTCAAAAAGAGTTTTCGGAAAGAAATGTTTCCTGCAATTACATTGAAACTGAACGAAGAAGGTTTTTACCAAAAATTTCCTGTTCACAATAAAATGACACTTTCCGAGTTTTGATCTTTATTTTACCTTTTTTATCCGATAAATGATCCTTTCCTACGCGAGGAGTTATTTTCTAGGGTGCCTTTAAAGGGAGGCTTTATGCAACTTGCATTGTCAAAGGTGGTGTTAATCTGAAGGGGTGCTTTAAAAAGAATAGGGTGTCTATTACGGTCTCCTTGATTGCCAGTAAGAACCGTCTAGTGTAGGTGGGAAGGGAATAGTTCTGATGTAGCCTTGATAGCTTGATGAGGCATCAACTTTTAAGGATTGCTGTTTTCTAATCAAATGGCAGCTTGTTAGCTTGCAATTCGACAAGTGGGAAACGTTTTATGTGATGCTAATTGCTGGAGGATTTCTAGAGACGTTACTTTGTTCTGTACTTTCTTTAGAGCAAAGCCGAAAGCAAAGCGCGCCCCGCCTTCACAAGGAGGTAACCGGAAAGGCCACGAGAAGGAGACCAAAGAGAAGAAGCATGAGAAAAGCAACGATCGGTTGACTGTAACCAGAGAGGCAACTGGGAAAGATAGGCAACCAGAACAGCTGACTGCCAGAGTAGGGACGTCTGGGAATTTATCAGAGCGATCTGAGAGCATTGATGATGCTGATAGGTATGTTGATGATTTGTGATGTTGATCTTCTCTGGTGCAAGAATTATGTAGCAAATGTTTAGGGGAATCAAATGTGAGTACTTATCTAGCTTTTGTCTGTGCAAGCAAGCATGATTTTGGATTACCTTCCGAACTGATTTGTACCACCTTATGTTCTACTGAGATATTTTTTTGTCCTCAATGAAACTAATAATCTATAATAACAAGCAAATGAGAGGCAAAAAGAAGAAAATGTAGATCTTTGCATTTTGTAATTTGTACCTGGCTAGTTTATTGAAAAATTAATTATTATTAGGTGTTGTTACAAGGTAGGTTGCTATTGGCATCGGTCCTTTTTTATATATTTCTGCCAATGATAGATAGATGTGTGATTATCTTGTACGTCGCTCAAATGCACTAAAAATATTTTGTACGTTTAAACCTTGTCGAATTCTGTTTTAATTTGTGTAGAAGAAAGTTTGCTGCCAGTCGTGCAGGAAAACGAGACAGACCACAGTCAGCCACTGTACCGCCAAATGTGGAGGAGGTAACCAAACCATCGGAAGAAGAAATCAAGGAAAAAGAACTACATCAAAGGTATGATTTATTGAGGATTTGATTCAATTAAGACTGAGATTAGAACTGTTGTAAAATGATAACCATTTGTACTCATTGTGTATTATTGAAAAGCTACATTTTTTTGTCTGAAGAATGTTTATAAAAATAAGGAATAGCAAATTACAAAATTATGTTAAAATCCCTCTTCGAGTAATATTGGGTAAATTTTCCTGCTATTGAATAGATATCTTTTTTAATGTGAACTTCTCAAATAGGTTCCCTTCATATTTAAGACAAAAATTTTCTTTAGGTATTCTAAGAAATTGCATACAAATTTGTCAGTTTTTGACTCGTTATACAGACAACAAACATTTAAATCTATAGTTATTCATGGAATTTACTGCATGAAAAATGGCCATTACATCAAGAGCCGAGATGAAACAAAGTATTGTAAGGCTTTCTGCTAAGAACTTGCTTTATATTTTTGATAATCCCAGTTAGGGTTTCAGCAATTATCTTTGCTTCTTGCTACAGATTCCAAGCATTTGAACTGAGCTTCCGTGACATCTGCACGTTGTTTGAAGCATGGGACAGAACCACTGGCTCTGTTTTTATGTCAGAGTCGGAAAAATCTGAGCTTGAGCAGGATTCTGTGCCAATACCAGTGACAAAGAAAGGCCAGGCTGGTCACAAGAAAATGGACAAAGAAAGAGAAAAGGAGAAAGAACGAGAGAAGGAGAAAGAAAAGGAGAAAATCAAAGAGGTTGTTTCATTACTTAGGCACATCAATGTTGATTGTTTGTTGCTAATTTGTTTGAAATTAAAAATTTGCAGCCATTTAACGTTCATTTGATGGAGCCTTTCACATCACTGCTTAAGGTATACATAACAGAAGAGCTACGATGTTCCCTAAGCATAAATCACTTACTAAATTCATTCTTATTTTTTGGTCTGTTTTTGCCTTTTGGAATTTATTCGTTGATCACCTTGTCTCAGAGATTAATTATTTTATTCTTTAATTGTCTTATATCTTCCAAATGAGTTACTGAGCGCTAACTAAGTTTGATAAACTGAGCAAAGTTTGACAATTATTCTAAAATGTTCAGATCCCAGGGTCACCAATTTCTGCCATATCAGAGCACCCAGATCAATCCACTGATGACGAAGAAGCCAAGGCAAAGAGCCAAATCGGTGTCCCAAACGTTGTGGTCCAAGCCGTAAATGCCCAGCAGTCTATGGTTGATACAGTGCTAATGGAGCAAGTTTTACCTTCTCAAAATGAGGTACTCACACTCTTCTTTCTTACGAAGACTATCTGCTCGTTTACTTATTTATATATTGTATTAATGCTTTGTCCTAGGATGCTTTCTCAAATGCTGAACAACGTTATCACTTGTGCTGTAGCTCTCATATTTTCATGCAGGTTTACAGCAGAACTAATCTACATTTGTTAATATTTTGGATGAAAGTGTTTGGATTTTTCTTGTAGGTCCAAGACGGACTTGGCTTAGGCCCATCTGGCCCACCAATACCACCAAGTGCCACTTTCTCGGTCGTGCCGTATCCAAGGCGACGAAAGCCAGCAGCTGTGAATGAATTCGGTGCTTATTATGTATTTGTTGCAAATTCTCTCGATGATCCAAATGCTGTGAAAGAAGAGAAGTTACCCAAGACCCCGGAGACAGAAGTTGAGAAAGCTCCAGATAAAAGGGTACGCATCCTTTAATGTTTTGCCGTATTTTGAAACTCTTTTTTGTCATTCCTATAATGATAATTGAAAATTACACTTATTCGCCTTTCAATCATTAAAGTTGTATGTGATTTGCCTTAAGATTAAGACTTGATGACCCGGTGGCTCTAATGCCTTTGATGTGAAATCTGGTTTTCCTTTCTATGCTACCTAAATCTCTTTGACATTTGTCTGATAATTTGCATCTCTTTAGACTCTTTCTAACCATTGCTGGTAACAAAGCTTTTGTTTTTATAGGATCACCGGAGCAGAAGAGGCCGTGACAAGGATGAGAGTATCGGTGTGCGGTCTTCGCGCATTGATAGACTTCCATCTGGTACAAAGAAGGGGCGACAAAGTGTCTTGGCTTCTTCAGGACAACATGTTGCTTCACCACCTCTCATAAGTCCTTCAGGAGCAGAAGACGAGAAAAGGTAATTAAATGCCCATGCAACTTGTTTTGCATTTTCCGGTAAGCATTGCCGAGAAAGACTGCCATGCCATCGCTTTGGCCATGCTCTACCTTTTGTTTTCCCTCTGATAAGCTTACAACCATCTTTTTTCATCTAGAACTGTCCGCACTTTCTTCCACAATATTTCAGCTTTATTTTGATTTCCATTTCAGCACAAATGATGCAAGTGTCGTTGGTTCCTCTCTGGAACTTGTTCGCCATCGCTGGGTTGTCCCACCCGAGAGTGAAATTAAGCTAAAAATCAGGTTTTCTTCACCAGAAGCAGGCAGATATGACCAAACCCTGAACTTTGAAATCGTAGGCACAAGAAGAAGGTATCAGCTATTTTGCCGAGGCGTATGTTGTTTCCCTACAATCAGTAGAGAACCCCGAATTGTCTTTCCGTATCGCAAGAAATACCGCAAGCCAGATGAGGTTGTCCATAAAAAATATATATTGAGCAACAAAACATTCGAATTTGGACCATTGCTTGCTGGCAAAAATAGAGACAGGTACCGTGAAGGAAGGTATCCTGAAAATATGGAACAACTTTGCATATCAAACACATCGTTAATGGAAGCTGAGATATCATTGTGTTTTCAAAATGATACGAATGGATCGACTTTCCTTCTGGAGCCAGCTGCTCTTATTTTGAAGCCAAACGAGAGTCAGGTGCGACTTTCTGTTAACGTGTGCAATCGTTTTAAAAACAACTAAGATTCCTTACATTTATGTATCAAATGTTGCTTACAAGCAATAGAGAATGGCCTTTGAGGGGCAAAATACTGTTTGATTCTAGTATGAAGCTAAACTCACTTAGACAGAGAATGGTCATATTGAAGAATAACTTGGGTATTACAAAGACAGTGAAACACAAGCATGATGCACCAATGTAAAACAATATTGTGACAGGCACTCACTAAAAACAAAAACTGTATCCTGAATTTAAGGTTCAATTGATATGCATGACTTTATAGCTGCTCTAATTTATCCTACTAGACACAATGCTGAAATTTAAAAAAAACCCAGCTCTACTTCCTATAAAATATTCAAAAACAAGAAGCTTAGTTTGTTGTGCGTCATTGAACGAGACTTGATATATTCTAACGTAAATAGGAACTTTATACATGGAGTGTGTAATTAATGCGACGTTTCCAGTACAACTCTCTATTTGGTTTTTCATAAATGTAAACGTTGCCGTCAAAATAAGAGAAGGTACGAAATAGCTCTTTCAAATGGCTTTGAAAAAAACAAACATTTAGTAAACTAAAGCTTTTCGTCTGACACTCTTCAGAGTTTAAAACGTCAGAACAAAGATCGAAAACTACGAAATGTTTTAAACTCTGAAGAGTGTCAGACGAAAAGCTTTAGTGTACTAAATGTTTGCTTTTTTCAAGGCCATTTACAAGTTTTGTACCACCAAAAGATTGTTTAAATAGCTCTTTCTAGCAGAGATTGCCTGCTCCAAATCCAGCAACTTCTTAAAGAAATGTTTTTGACAGCGTTCTTATTTCCATTGTAGGTTCTAAACATCTGGGCCTACCCGAAAACGCCTGGTTTGTTTGAAGATATGATTGTTGGGTGCATAAAGGAAAATCCTGAACCGGTAATGTTCAAGGTGTCATGCCATGGTGTTCGACCTGAACTCGAACTTGATAAACGCATTCTGCAGTTTGACAGAGTCTTGCTTTACAGGTTCGTCTGTTTCTATACATACATATAATATCTTGCATATTTGAATGCCTGTACATAAAATGCTATCTAAAATTAGTTTATAACACCGCAAAAGTCAACTTTAAAAATTGACAAGCCAAGGATTCGATTGTCAACCAAAGCTATACAAGCATTCATCTAATTCCCCCCTCTTCTTTCCATACTGGATTACTTAATCATTGGTATAAGTACGCCCAGTGTCACTCACAGTTTCACAGGCAATGAGCTTTCCAGCTATTAAAATTTACCAACATGGTATTGGAGGGTCGGGGAACAGCTTTGCGAAACAGTGAAGATTTTGTTCAATTCTTTCAACAATGTTGTCAAAGATTTTAGTTCCATTAGCGGCTCAAAACTCAAGATTAGAAAAGTTACGTTTACTAGCTGAAATACAAATACCCTCAGTTTGCCAGTAGATTGTTTAATCTTAATTTGTATTATTGCGGATATCTGAAAATCTATTCTTTGCTTTCTAGAACGGAAACAAGAACAGTATTCTTGCGCAACAGCACCTTGCTTCCAATCGCCTGGAAGCTCAGTGGAATGGACAGTCTTGGGGACGACTTTTCTGTGCCGGTTGACAATGGGATAATTGAACCCAAAACAGAATATGCTTTGCAAATGGATTTCAGAGCCATCCGTGCTACGAATGTTAAAAAGATCGTCCGGTTAGAGGTGAGGCCTAGATTCTTTGTGCTATGCTCTTCTGGCATTTTTTGAAGTTTTTATCTAAGGTTCTTTAATATGTATTAGTTAATTCAATTTTATTCATCTTGTCAACTGCGATTCTTCAAGCAATTCATTCACAGTTAATTCGTAGGTAATGCGGAAACTTTTCGAAAGCGTTCTTCTGGGGCTCTTTGTGCGATCCATTTCGCATTCTGTTGATACAACAAATAGTAAATTGAATTTGCACGTGTTATAGGTAGCCAAGTATTTTGAAGATGTCTCTAATGCTGGGACATTAACTATCTTTGCCAGGTATCTGATGCAGCAAATATAATGGGTCTTACGCATGCAGAAAACATCCAAGTTCAAGCAGAAGCATACGATGTTGCCCTTGACATGAGTTTCCCTAAAGGTACATATCGTGGAATTCTTCCTTGCATTTATAACTTCATGGCTATTACAAACGAAAATTCCTAACGAAGAAAAGCCACTAGGGCACATCAAAGACGATGCTGTGTATTTTGAAAAGTAGAGTCCAGAAAATATTACGATTCCATGACTGTGAGCCGGAGGAAAGTTTTCTAAAGAAGCAGAAGGTTTTGAGGAAGGCCAGTGCATAACTAGCAAACTATAAATGGTTTTATTTCAATTCCATTTCTACATTTGTGTAGAAAAAATAAAGCTAAATTTTGAGCAAGGTAAACAGGGCTATTCCGGATGAAGGTTGTGGCGTTTTCTGCACTCTGTTTAAAAGGTCTCCTTTAATGTTAGAAACATTAAAGTGTTGACAGCTTTTTCAGTACTTTCTTCCGGTCTTTCCCTCCTTAGCAATTTCCCAGTGCGTTTTTAGACACTGTAAGTTAAAGTTTTGTGTAGAGGTATTGCCTTTGCCCAATTTGTCCTTTCTAAGCTGAGTTAATACCTTCGTAATGATGAGCCACCAATAAGGAGTCACTGATTAGCAAAAATACTTCTTAAATGTAAGGCATCTTCATCTGTATTGTTGTATTGATTGTCTTCTCTACAATTCCAGGAGCGGATGGTGGGCTAGACTTTGCCACGCTTCGCGTGTTTGATGAAGCTAAGCTGTCACTTTCAGTGAAAAACAAAGGAAGATATGAAATCGGATTCACCTTTGTTTTCGAGGCATCAGAAAACTGCCCCAATCCTGCCGATCTATTCACTGTTGTGCCTAACAAAGGAACGTTAATACCAAGTGATAGGCCTACACAAGTCCAAGTTGTGTTTAAATCAAAAGATGAACTCACGATTAAAGATGAACCTATCCTGAAGTGCCAGGTAATGTGTATGTGTAATGTTAGAAATCATTTGTCCTTTGTAAGTTAGTTTGATTAATAAATGGCCTTTAATTGATAATATACCTTCTATTTGTAATTATTCACTTCTTTTATGTGTGGAATTTCCTTGTAATGATCCACATATTTGTGGTATTTCCATGCGCTATTATTTCATTTACATTTGTGAAGCTGCTACCATCAAATAATTTTCAAAAAAATTTGAAATGCTCATATTGCTATTTCAAGTCGAAAATGTTTTAATTACCTTTTCAGTTATAAACATGGGAGCTATCTTCTGCTACTTCTTAACTTACTTTTGATTCTATAGAAATGAACTACTTACCTTTATTTATCCTGCTCTCTTCACTCATCCTAGCTTTTCATGGGTGCTAACATCTGCTACTTCTTAACTTACTTTTGAGTCTATAGAAATGAACTACTTACCTCTATTTTATCCTGCTTCTTTAACCCATCCTAGCTTTTCATGGGTGCTAACATCTGCTACATCTTAACTTACTTTTATTCTATAGAAATGAACTACTTACCTCTATTTTACCCTGCTTCTTTTACCCATTCTAACTTTTCGTACTTTTCAAACTTGTAGTAACAGGACCCACATAACATGTATTTATCTCTGTATATCGCATGTCTTGAATTGGTTATCCTATATAGGCAATCAAAATTTTTCTTACGTTCTCCATTCTAGAGTTTATGTATTTTAGTAAACTCATTTGTATAATCCATAATAGTTTAGCCATCACTAATAAAGATAGAATATTGAAAATCACAATGATTGTGATTGAGGTTGAGAAAATGCCTAATAAATCTGTTATGGTTCTATGAAGATGATTGTAAGGATTTGCAGCCCTGCTGGCTTTGCTAGAAACCCCAAACCTTATTTATAAAGACGGTCCATCATTGTGCATCAACTGCTTAACAAGCAATTTTTTGTCTACAGATAATAGAGCCAACATTAGGGGACATTGGTGAAGTCATTGCTGGCATACCAGTGAAGGTCAGTGTGCGCTCAGTATACAGCAAGTACTCCATATTCCCTGTGCAAGATATCAACTTCGGTGCCATTCTTGTGAACACGAGGAAAACAAGGACCATATCGATCGAAAACAAGGGAGAATTCGATTTCAGGTATTCGATATTTAAAATGCTGCATAATGCATTGCCTGCAAGACTGAAGCAAGGTATGGTTGGTAAGCGATCCAGAGATGGTTCTGCATCGGGAAAATCGCAGCTGCTTGGCCAGGGTCAAATGAAGCAGAAAAGGACTGACTCTGTCAGAGGGTAGGTTGCAATACCTTTCGCTGACCAGTTGTTTGGAAAGTCGCACTAATTTTGAAGGACTTCAAAATTTCTTAAATCCACGCTTACTTACATGATTTCAATAACAATGCATGAAATCCTCCAAGTATGAATTCTTCTAATATTCTGTACCTACACAATGGACCACTAAATTTGTAACAAAGATTATTCCCTCTGGCCAAGCCTATAAGAGACACAAGCCTGCATCAAGTTGGCAGCCAAACAGCTATCTCACAGGTCCCACAAGTGCCCGTTGTATTGAGTTTTTTTAGCATTACAGAGCATTATAGCCCCATTTTCCATATTTGTGAGAGCTTCAATTTTTTTAAAGACTCCTTTGTGACATCTTTTTGTCAATGACTGTAGGACTTGTTCCAGTTTTTCCAAACACTAAGCTTAGACGAAACGCTTTCAACCTGCCCGAATTATTTAAATTCTAAATAATGACTGGATTAATTTTGTCAAAACCCTTTATTTGAATCCTCTCTCTTATCTTCTAGTCAAGATAACTCCACCATTGTGACAAATAACGCTGGCACTGGTGCCACTGGAGGTACGAATGCGATTCGCTTGCAACTCGGCATGTTCACCATTTCTCCAGCGAGTGGGGTCGTCTTGCCTGGAGGGAGCATACAGATCAATGTCGACATGTTCTCTGAATTGTCATCCGTATGCGAGGAGGTTAGTATCCCTCATTTGGTCAAAGCTTTCTTTACCGTGATATTTAGGGAAACGCCTGTCATCTAGATGTAGAGGATTTTTTCGACAAAATGTGTTAAATAGTAAGATATATAGTAAGATATAGAATTAAGGAACATAGGAAACAAAATTGACAGCTAGTGATGCTAGAGTTTAGAATATATACTTTGGTATTACCCTTGCAGTTAATGATCGATTGGATCCATTCAGAGAAAATTTAAATTGCCTCTTTCAGCATTTGTGCTTTTAGATAGCAGACTGAAATGAAGTTGGTTAGTGGCAACCAAGGATCAAGAGCAGATTAAATGACATCATCGAGACCAGACAAATGCTTTTTTGTTTGATCTTTCTCTTTGATGTTTGTTATTAAGTAGAAGTGTTGAATTTTGAAGTGTTGAAGTGTTGAAGTTGAGCAGCTAATGATGAAAATTTCTTTTTGATTTCGTGCAGCAACGAGTCAAGTTTGCTTTAATTTTGTTTTAGGAAATTGCAATCGACATATCTGAAAGATCTCCTCTTGATTGCCCGGGAGGAATTGAGTACAAATTGATGGGGGAAACATGTCTGCCGAGTATTTGCACGCTTCAGCAGAATGTTGCATCAATATTTGAAGAGCATAGAATCGTAAGCAATTTGAACGTCTTCAGGTACCATTCTCAAGATCTAGAGCCTGGATCTGGTGTTTATGGTGAAGAAGAAAACAAGCTTGTTTTTTACAATGTTATTGTTGGTCACAAAGCGAAAGCCAGGATTAAAATATCAAACCCAAATAAGGTATGCCTTATCTAATATGAATACTTTATCTAATTATGAATCTTAATTGTGTATTTATGCCAATTTTTTCTGTACGTTTTCAGTTATTACACGGATGCAATAATATATTCATTTTAGCACTGCATTACTTTGACATCTCGAAAAAATCTTTGTTACGATTAACTTGAATAGATTTTTCTTCAATAGCGTTTATCAAAAGTAGCGAATATTTCAAAAACATTTTTAAGGAAAGCTTCTTCTCTTCACCTTCAGGAACCGTCTACTATCATGTGTAGCACCTATTCCAATCATCCTTGTTTTGTCTTTCGCTACACAGACCTGTCATAGAGCTTCGAAATAAAAGCTTAAATATTCTTCACTAGATGTCACAGATTAAGGCTTGTTGTTCTCAAGCTATGCCATCTTTGCAGGTCGTTTGTGACGTAGTATTCTCAGTGAAGCCAATCTCAAATAAGCCTGCTGCTCGATGGACTGATGTTTATGACGTTGAACCTCAAAGAGCCGCCATTCAGCCACACAGCTTTTCTTACGTAACGATCACGTTTCACCCACCCTCTATGCAGGTAAGTGTTTTACTGATTGTGAACTCTATGTTTACGAAAATTTTCTCTAATCCTGCAGTGGCTTATGTGCGCATGATAATGGGATGGAAAAAAATTCTTTTTTTTAATCATATCCCAGCTGCATTTTCTTTTGTTTTGTGCTTCCAAAAAAAATTTATGTTACTGATACACGGAAGGGGATTGTCGAAGGATGGTCTGTCTTACAGCGCTGCTCAAAGAAATGTCTCCTATATGAATGAGGATAGCATACTATTATATTCCTTCTACAGGTGTGTTGTGTTGACTAACCCTTAGAGTTTCAGAAAATTTTCTTTACAGAATTAGAAAATCGAAAATACATATGCACATTTGTTAGAATAGAGTTTTTTGTGAGTTGCGTGTAAGATCGTTTGAAATTAGAATGTACGACTTAGCGTCTTCTCTTTGCAGAGCTACTCCGCCTTGTTTGAGGCTGCTGTTGACGGACTCCCAACCGCCATTGCCAAAGGTCGTAATCTGTTATTCGACATACAGGGTGACGGAAATCTTCCAAGAGTTTCTGTAATCAGGCCAACATCAGTTACCAAGAAAGGCAGCCCTCTTTTGTTGTTTAATCGGCTGCTGACAAATAGAAGCCAGACATTGCCCATGGTTTTGAAGAATGAGGGAACATTGCCATGCAAAGTTAACATCACTTTGATTGACCCTGAGTGTTGCTATACCGTTATGAAGGAAATTAAAGCTGTGAGTATAGAGGAAAGTAATGGGATGCCTTAAAATCATATCAATGCAAATGCGTTTCTTATTGTCAACGAAACCAGATCTTAGCTCTTTGCGTCTGTCAGAGTTAAGTACTCTTTTCTGTAAAGGTCTTCCTAAACTTCTGCATTAAAACATTGGGAATGTTCATAAAGTGCCTTTTGATATTGCAAGCCAGTATTTATTTTGTTTAATGCGTAGAAATATTTTGTCGAAAGTGTTTCAATGTTTGCCCATATCATCCAACCCAAGTCTCCTTTCAATAAAAATTTTCTTCCAAGATTATTTCTCGATTTTTCAGTAGCCAAGCCTCTGAATATCTGGTAATTCTTATCATTCGATTTTTTAAAGTCGTTTATTAATAGAAAGGACTGTATTGCGTTGCGTAAGGTCTTAAAATTTTGAAAGCCAAAATACCTAATTTTGCATGCAAAGGCATGCAACTAAAGGAATGTTTTTAAAACCTGTAAATTACTTTCAGTCGGAAGAAATACCTGGAGAGTTTGAAAATGCAGAGGATCAGTTGAAGACTGTTTTGGAATGTACTTCTTCCAAACCTGTAATGACATCCCTGGATTTTAACGTTGAAGATGCAATGAAGTTTTTGGTTGAGTTCACGCCAAGCGAAACGAGAAAGATAGCCGCAGAAATGAAACTGTCCGTTGTTGATAACCCATTTGAAGACACGACCATCCAGTTGCTTGGTGAGGGCTTTGAAGAAGAGGTCACTATTGACAACATACACGGAGGAAACGAGGTTGTTCCTTTAGCCGATATTGAGGATGAGAATTATGCTGGTAGGTATAAACGATGTTTCTAATAACGTTGCAGTAAATGTTAAATTTAGCTGGAATGTTTTTATAAAGCAGATTGCCAGAATTAACTTTGATACTGCTCCTTCGACCAGGAGATAAAAAGGATATGAGGTGAAGTCATTGCGAGCAAATCTAGAATAATATCTTTGTGTTGCAAACAAATTTTATATTTCAAAATAGCACGAAATAGTGAAAGAGCACACAATCACTTTTTGGTTGTATTTTGAAACTTTTTTGTTAGCAAAATCTGAGTTACAATCTTGGTTGACCTACCAAAATACTAGATTTCAGTTACAAATTCTGTCTGTTTACAGATGATTATCCCAAACAGTTTTTTTTCTTGAAGCCTGTAATAATGTTGAAAGAATCTCTATTGTCAATTGCTTCACCCTATCTTTGCATCACCCTGCATCATTCCATCAAAGTGTATTGGTCCCCCCTAGTCTATGTTGTACCTACCAAAGACACTCTTCATCCTGTCATCTACTTTTTTAGTTCCAAGAAACAACGTGATCGATTTTGGGGACTGCGCTATCAATACACCGAGCTATCAATCCTTCACGCTGACCAACCATTCAGAAAGCGATGTTGTACGCTTCACATGGGACCCTCCTCCACAGCTAACTTTCTCACCAAAGATAGCCCACTTATTGCCTAATTGTGCCAAAGATATCAAAGTGACGTTTCTTACAGCTGAGCCAATCAAAATGGAATCAAATGTCATATCCTGCAATATTGCTAAAATACAACTGGCAAAGAAAGCTGCAAAGGTATTTGTATCTATGTTCTTTGTAAGACTTTTGATTTTGGCAGCACTATATGTGGGTAAGAATGCATTGATTACCTATTTTATGACGTATATATGACGTCATGGCTTTAATGGCTACACAACCCTTTACTATATTGTTTGATTCGGTTTGTGACTACATGGTCTATAGTTTTTGAATGATATGCCAGTTGATGACATAGTATTTTCGTATTTCAAGGCTGGAGGCTGGGATGATCGAATGAAAACCGTGAAATGGGTTGATGTGAAGATTGATGGTGGTGATCAGAAGCCTGATGATGAAAACAAGCAAGTGAAAATGGCAGTTGATGCTGTAGCACCCCCAAGACCAGCTAAACACAAGGTCATTGAAACGGAGCCTGAGCCACCATATACGTTGATCACTGGGACTACATCTGAAATACAACTCGTTTTGAATGCTGTCGCCGATTATGCAAAATATGAGCTGAACATGAGCAAAATATTCTTCAAGGACACGCTTATGTTCCAAACAAGATTGTACAGGTGGGAATTAGTAGCAGTATCGCTTGCGAGTTCATGCTGTTTCAGTTGTTGCACTTTTGAGATTTTTGTCATTATGCAAGATTTATAAACAGAGGTTGACCTATGTTTGAAGAGCTTTTTGTCTCGAAAGTTGTTTAAAGACAACTAAATCTAAAGCGTATACTTTTATTTAATTTCGTTGGAGGATATAAGAAAGGCACTAAATGTTATCAATGCCTATGAATTTGTGCTGATTGATTTGTGAAAGTCTGTTCTGTGCCCAGCTGGCATAGAGGACCTGCCTTAGTTTAGATCACAAGTTCCTCTAGCGCTACTTCAGTTTTCTAAGATTACTGAGAAAACCCATTTGTAATCGTCTGAAAGGAATATTAACATATAGCTTCCGAGAAGAGACTCAAGTCTACGACTTATCATTAGAATACTTCTTGTGTACACCAAAATATCAGATAAAACCAAAACATCGTTCCAAACAACGGTCGTTCCATTGCCATTAGTTTGATTCTTGATGGGAGATACCTCTGTATACCAGTTTGATCTTGAAGTTTCTTTTTGTCATCATCTCTTTTTGCGTATCACATTTCCTATTCAAAGTTTTCATATGTGCATAAATCACATTTCTTAATATGTTTTCAAAGTACAGTGTCAGCTTCAATTAGTAGTTGTGTGCTAATTCAGACGTAATGTTCTCTCTTTAGCTTTAAAATGAAGAATAATGGCGATGTGCAGCTCGACTACAACTGGGAACTTGAACCAGGATGGACAAAAGAGCCAACAGAAATCGTCCAGCCCCAATCAGAAGAACGAAATGTACCTCCACCCACCATACCCACAGCCCCTGTGAAATCTGCCAAGGGAAGTCGTGACAGCTCAAAATCCCCAAAACAGCCAGTCGCTGCACCATCTGCTAAGTCTGATGGTCGACCCATATCAAGAGTTGCCGGCAGCTCCACAGAGCAGAGCACCCCTTTGGCAAGTGATGCTCGTGCTGCTAGCAGGATGGCTTCTGCTGCGGACGGTCGCCCTGCTACTGCTATGGCCCTGGCCTACGAAGCTGGCAGTGTCTTTGATGAGCCAATTGGGAGTGATGCCTTGCCATTTACGATTGAGCCAGTGACTGGAAGCATAAAACCTCAAGAAGAGGCGACGTTCACTGTGAGATTCTCGCCGTTGGATACCAAGATATATGGAGGCACTCTTTTTGCAAAGTGAGCCGAGTTAAATTGTTAGATTGCAAGACAGGCATAGCTTTTCTGTGTCCTAAAAAACTAACTTTGAAATCTAGGCATCAGATAATACATATACATATACAATGTATCTGATCTCATTCAACATATCGAGAAAATAGTTTCCCTAATTGTTTTTGTATAATAGTTTTTTGCAACCTAATCATTGTAGTCTTCCATCTTGAATATACCGTAAATGGTTTTTCTCGGAAATCTTCTGTTTGCAGTTTCTTATTTTTTTGTCAATTTCAGGCCTTCTTTGAGGTTCGTATTCGTCTGTCTTCTTCTTTTCTTTAATTAGTTGTTTCTTTGAGTTTCCTCCCGCTGATTTACTGTTAAAGGGATTTTTCAGCAAAACTCATTTATTAAGTAGAATAGTAATTTTATATCATAAATATTATATTCCTTTGATTGGATATTAACTAGGCTCCAGCTAGGTTTCTGCTCTTGCATTTTCGAAAACCTTAGTCTTGTTTCTTCAGGAATAGGTCTGTCCATATCCGAATCAAATATTTTTATAAAAGCGTAATACTTTTGGATTTCTTCCTTGCAGTATTCCAAACCTCGAACTTGGTGCAACTCCTCCGGTACTTTTGCTCTATGGTCGAAGCATGTTGCCATGGTGCCATTTTGAGATCGAGGAGTCGAACTACATCACAACGAGGCGCAATCCTGAGCTTAAAGGACCCGGTGGGTCACCGCCTGGCTGCACGTTGGATCCCAATACAAAAGTTATCGAGTTCGCTTCTTGTGGCATAAAGACAAAAGCTACAAGGTACGATTTGGATCTGATCCTATTTTTAACGGAATTTTTGATGGAACTCGATATATTTGCTTAGTATATGTAATGTGGTTTTCATTTCCAAATCATGGTATTTAGACTTTATGTCTACAATATTTTATTCTGACCCAGGTTCCTATTTTCCATCTGGAATTCCTTTATCTCGAACTCTCATTTCATAGGCAGAATTTTCCCATCCCCGCTCCTCTACAGATTGGCAACTCAGCCCATGTTTTCTCGAACAATCGCTACTTCCAGTAAGGTGTACTCAATTTTTAGAGTTTTGTTCTAATAAACCTGTTGAAAAGGTTATAACTTTTGCAAACAGGCGCTTCTTCATAATGAACCCAACCAACACCACTTACACATTCTCGTGGACCAACGAAGATGCTTCCGATCCAAGCAAACAGCTTTCGAATACACTCTTCAGTTGTCTAACACCAAAAGGAACAATCGAATCAGGAAAGAAGTTCGAAGTTGTCTTTGAATATATGCCAGACTCAAACGAGCTACAGGAATCTTTCTGGAGATTCTACATCCATGAACAAAATGTTTCTGTGTTGTTTTTACTTGTTGGCATGGCTACAGACCCTGCAATCTCATTGGACAAGTCACATCTTAATTTCAAGGAACTTTTGATAGGTTGGTTTTCTTTTTTCATTGATCTCAAGTGTCCATTTTCGATAGATCTAAGATTTTTCTATGACATTAAAAAAAGTTTGCGTTTGTCTAAGAACTTTAAGCATTAAATTTTCTGGGCTTTCGTCTTTATTAAAAAGAGCCTCAATATTTTTCAGGAAGTGTGTATCATTCTCAAAACATTTTATTTGTTAATATTTCATTCGTCATGCATCTCTTGTTTTGTTAATAAAAATCTCCGATCCGTATCAGGGTCATATTTGATCGACAACACACTTTCTAACTGCCTCATACAGCCTACTTTTTCTACCTATCAAAAAATCATTTATTTATTTCGTTGTTTCTAATACAATGTACCATACAGGTCATAGAGGAGTGCGCACTTTCAACATAATGAACGATGAAGAGAAAGCTTTCCAGTTCAGCTTTGTTAAAGAATCTTTGTTTGCACCTGGGCGAATAGCCTGCCTCAAGGTCACTCCGATGGCTGGTACAATCCAGGCTAAATCCAAGTGCGTCAATAGAAATATTGCTTGTTGTGCCTACATTCTTAATCCGTTCATGTAATGTTTGAATCTCTTACACCCTGTGATCTTGATTATTTGTTTTCTGGATATAAGTATATGTTGAATAATTGTTTTTAGCTTTCACAATATGCTTAGCTTATTTAAGGTCATGTGATGTTTATTTTGACATTCGAAAAAAACACTTGGAGAATTGAACAGCAAGAAATTTACAGTAATGTAATTTGAACACATTTTTAGAAGCAAAGTCCCACTGAATTTTGAAACCTACTGAAATACAATAACAAGCAAATTTTGGCTATTTAGGTTGCCCGTGACTGTTGAGTTTACACCTGAAATTGCACAAGAAGTCAACTTCAATCTCATCTGTAAAGTGAAGAAGAAGACCGTACCACTTGCAGTAAACATCAAAGCTGAAGGATTTGACGTTGATTGCAAACTAATCTGTGAAGATTCGCAAGGCAAAAAAGTCAATCTGTTCTCTTCTGGGATGAATCTTATCAGCCTCAAAGAGGTAAGTTAAAGGCTTTTTTTGAGCTTGGCTGTGAGATTTTTAAAAATTGGAAAGGGAGGGATAATTCTCTAGATACAATTTCAGTCACATCCCATTAAATCGAACTTTCGAGGAGGAAGAGAGACCTTCATAGAGATTTTTAATAAGTTTTTTGCTGTCTTTTTATACCGGGCAAGTATATTCTTCATGATCCCGCTTTCCTTGTTTGTGAGCTTTCATGTAGTCAAGGGTTTGGCACCTTCTTTACCAATCCTTAGTCATTGCACCTTATATTTCAAACTAAGGAAGCTGGCTCTTCAGATTTGTTTTCTACAGATTTCCATTTCCTTTTCTTTAAGATTAATATGTTTCAAGTAATTTTGAAATGCTATCCATGGTAAAAGCCTTGCAAAATTACCTTTAGTTTATTCAAAAAGAAATCGAAATATCGTTTTTCTTCTCTTGTAGGTCGAAGTGAATGAAAAGGTTGTTCGTCAGCTGTTCATTGAAAATTCTGGGAAATTTAACATTGATTTCAGCTGGGAGTTAACGCAGCCACAGAAGCCAAAAGGAATGAAGGATGCGTGGTCTAAAGACAATCCACCAGTTTCTATTGTACCTGATAGTGGCAATGTACAGAGTAATAACAGGAGAAGATGCCAGTTGTCATTTTGCCCTCCTCGCTCTATGGTTCTTGAGGGTTGTCACTTGATTTTGAAGGTAGGAGCTTTTGTCAAGCACGTCCTGATTGTTTCTGAAGCTGAAAAAGGCTTATGTCCTTCAGTATTATTTATGTGCTCTGTTTATCGAAAGTGATTGCAAAAAACACTTTAAAAAGATATTTCGGTTTTTAGAAATATTTCCTACACCGTAAGACCGAGTGTTTGTGAGTCATTTGAATAAAGTGCTTTTATACAGCTTTCAAATCCCGGGCCTATCTAGAAATCCACCCAGAGTTAGTCACAGCCTATCAGCTACTTGATGAGAAAGTCTTGAAGTCGGGGAGTTTAGATCGAATTGAGACATGTGCTTTTTCAAATACGAAAGTTCTTACACTTTTTTATTTCATGAATCTTTTCTAATTACAGATCGCAAATGGGCCTCAGTATCACTTGGAAATAGCCGGCAGTGGAACGACACCATCATTAAACTTCTCTTTCGAAGCTCACGACTTTGGACCGTGTTTTATACACAGGCCAGGTCTACCTGTTCCAAGAAGAACTCTTGCGATTGAGAACAGAGATATCAAGGAAGTCGGGTAAAGCGCTTTGGTTCTTGTACCTTTGTCCCCAACAAAGTAATTTTGCATCGACGAACCTTGAGCCTTTTGTAACCCATTATTTTCGTCTTATTAATTTGCTATTAAGCAACGGCTAATAATGAATTCATCATTGTCTTTCTTCATTTTGTAGAATTGAATGCCTGTTTAAAGATACAACCATATTTGAAGTTGTAGCGGAACCAGGGATAATTCCCCCAGGTGGAAAGTTTGAATCGGAGATCCTTTTCTATCCCCGAGAGATGAAGAAATACCATTCGAGAATACCTTTTGAGATTAATGGCCTCTCCACGCTGCACGTAGATGTTAGTGGTCATGGAACCGATATGAAGGTAAGATTTTCACCTCTTTGTTTAATCCCCTCTTTACGGGTTTGTTAGGGTAGGGGAAACCTGGGACAAGGGTCCACCTCCCCTTTAGAAGGTTGATTTGACTTTTCAAAGCTTTGCACTATCCAGCTGTCCCTTCTCTAGATATTGCATCTCTAGCCTTGAATTGCTCTACCATGAGTGACCATAATAAGTTGTTTTTATGAATGCTATGGCCTAATCTGGCCATGTACATCCATTTCATAATCTGTTTATCGTCTATTTCATAGAATTATTGCAGATTCAATTTTTTCGAGTTTGAGAATAAATAACCACTCTATTTCTTTATAAAGATTATAATTTCATAAATCTTTGTTCTATTCTTATCCAATTTAAAAAAAAATCGCATTCACGGTCCCTTTTTTTATCTCTTAATGTTAAAAATTTAATAAGATTACAATTGTCCTCTACGGATTTTTTTTTAATTTTCCCTACATTGCCATTTTATTCAGGTTGAAGTTGTGAACCCAATGGATAAAAAAATCAACCTTGGTGCTATAAGAATTGGACAGAATTCTAGCCGTGCTGTTAAAGTCGTGAATAATAGCTTGGCCTCCATCGATTTTGCTGTGGCCATTACACCGTCATCTCAAGAACTGCAGCAATCGAACATTTTATCCTTAGCACCACTTTCCACCATACATCTGGACCCTCAAGAAACAACAGAGATTTTGCTGAACTTTGTACCGAAAGGAAGAATACCTCAGTTTTCAGAAGAAGTAAGCATAACGAATACATTATCTTTCCAATGCTTATTCAGTTAGGTATCTTTCAGTTGAAAACTCAAAGTTGAAAAAGATTTGCAGAAGGCTGTTTTCGAGCTAAAGAAAAAAAATTATTGCAGATCTTTTTTTCCGGAAAGCTTCCAACAGCAGAAAACTATCCTCTCCAGACATAATATCAAGGGACATTGGACTATTACAAACGACGATAGTTGACAGAAACTGTTGGTATCAACTTGTTCTTGGAAAGTCGCCAAAGAGCGAGTGGTATTTTGTAGTGGAAATTGTAGTGGTTATTTTAAGACATTTTAGGAGGTAAACCGACAGATTTTCTGCAAAGGCCTCAGGATGTTACTTTGGCAACCACAATTCGAAAAGCAAGTGAAAGCCATACATTTTTTTTATCATGCTATCCATTTTTAGTTCATTCTTCTTCCTGCTCTGAATCTACCAGAGTTTATTGCCAGAATTTATATATAACCGTCTTTACTCACTGATAAATGTCTACACTCGTTTTCAAAGGAAGCAGTGAAGTATGTGGTTTTAGCAGGATTATGACCATGCCTTTAATGTATTGGTATATCAAAGCAATTTCAAGTCCCCCCGTAGAAAGTTAGATTACGTATCATCCATCTTAACGTTTCTATCCAAGGTTATTCTTGAATGCGCTGGCATATCTCAGCCTCTGTTTGTCGTCACCGGATCTTGCCATGGCCTGGAAGTGAGACTAGACAGTGACGCTATCCCTTTCGGTAGCGTAACAATTGGAAGCAGCAGCTCAAGGAAGTTGATCATGTATAACACTGGAGACATTGGCGCTGCATTTTGCTGGAACGGGGACAAGTTCAAACCCGACTTTACAATTACGCCGGTTAAAGGTTACATTGCTGCTGGCATGGAGGTCACCTTTGATATTACATTTACTCCAACTGCAGTGAACCAAGACATTCGCTATGACGTAAGTAAAGTCACTCTACTCCGAATTATGCAAAATCACAGTGTTGTTGTGATTTTGCATGATTTGTTGATAAAAATCGCCGGCCGTACGTTAAGCCCTTTCAAAGGCAAACGGCAAATACTTACCTAAGCCATCTATCAACTACTGGCCAATCAATAAACGTGTGAGTGGCATTACGCGAATTTATTGGCTAATTTTGATTGACAGATAGGTTAAAAACATTCTGTATCGGTAAATGGTCTTTGAAGAATCATTTACGCTGATGTTACTTAACTTATATGCTGCATGATGTATTTTCTCGATTTATCTAGATCTTACAGGTTTTGAGCACTTAGGATTACATTTCTGCATATCTGTTTGCATGTTCTTATAATTGTCCGTAGCTAAATGGAGAGTTGTATTTATGCAGGGCCTGCGTTGTGCAATCGAGGGTGGACGACCATTGAAATTGGTATTGACAGGAAGCTGTGTGTCTCAGCTGCCAATGAAAGAGGTATCTTAAATATAAAAACATCATCTTCTGTTTTACCCTTGAATTATAAAAATCCATAACAATTTTTTCTAGATGTACTTTTTAAATATATTGAAGTTGTCTGTATCTCCTTTTAGGTGATCCACTTCCAATCACACGTGAGAAACCGTGATGTCAAGAACTTAATGATTCACAATAAAACCAATCAGCTGTGGTTGCTAAAACCCGTCATTGATGGAGAGTACTGGAGTGGACCAGATACGATCAGCATAGAGCCTCAACAAGGAAAAAATTATGAGATAGTTTATCGTCCATTGACCATGACTTTGGAGAACAAAAAGCATACGGTGAGGAGTCACTTCGATTTTATATGCAAAATATGTCAAAACTAGTTCTCACCGTGATCACGTTTTGGTCTCTCGTGGTTTAGAATTCAACTCTGGAATTCAACATAGCCTCTGGGTAGTGATAAGAATCTCGTGTAAAGGTCTCTTGGGGTCTTAAATCTTCTATTGAAAGCCTCTGGGAATGTAAACGATCTTCCCCAAACGTCTTTTCATTCATTTGAGAATCATTGCAGATATCTATATCTTACACAAATGGCTATGAATTTTTTAAACAATTTCATCATTCGCAACCATAATTTCTTAACGTTTACCTTTTCCAGGGAACTATATTCTTTGCACTGCCAGATGGAAGTGGTCTCCTTTACAATCTTACTGGCTCCGCCGATGCTCCAAAGCCCATAAGCAATATCCAAAGGGACGTGCCCTGCAAGATGCCGTATACCGAAGTGTTACAAGTTTCGAATTGGCTCAGAAAACCACAGAGGTAGCAACTTTATTTCTAGCTCAACAAATAATGCTTTGTTCGTCTTCTGTGAATTTGGTTATATAAACTTGTTGTGCTGTTTGTATCTACATGCAACTTATTAGTAAGATGCTTCGTAATAGATTCTGATAAAAATAAATAAAATGTTTTTTGTTATCAATGTAAAGTCTAGGCTCACTCTTATCTCAAAAAACCTCTCTGTTTTGCACGACTATCATTAATTATGATTCGATGATGATCAAAAGAAGAGGCATCAAAAAGTTCTTGCTTTCCAATGCTATGTTGAAGTTTAAAATTTAGGTATCTCTTACCTACGTACAAATTGAGTTAGAAAAAGGATTTTCACCTTTTCCTCTTAAAGGTTATTCAGGTGAGGCACCGATTTCCCTACCTATTTACTTAGTTTGGGAAACTTCCTTTAACTATTTGAAAACTATAATTCTGAGAATTTAGTTACTCCTTGAGCTTTGAGAAAATGTGCATTCTTTGCAAGCTCGTCTAGGCGCTTCATTTCTATTGACTTGTCTACAACGCACTTCATCTCTGTGCAGTGCTGTTTTCACAGATGATCTTATAGGCGTTTTTTCTTGTTCTAGATTCCGTGTTACTATTGAGATGTTGAAACCTGAGAAACCTGACCCGGCCACCACGCTGAAGGGACTAGAATATGCAGATGTTCCTGGTTTGTCGAAGAAGGAATACAAATTGAACTTCTATGCTCACAAGGAAGGGACATTCAGCGCTAAAGTAAGATAACTGCACCTTCTATCAAAAATAGGCATATTTTGTACCGTAGGAACTCCACCAAGCAGAACACTTTGCTATTGGATAGTTTGTCTTGCCTTGAGTTAAACACGCTGAAACAATTAGCAAGTTACATATCATGACAGCACTTTATACGTTGCAACACATAATAAATACTTAATTTAACAAATTTGCTGAATTTAACATTGATGAATGGTGAACGTGGAAGGGAGATATCAGTAGTGTATAAAGTCGTTATGTCACTCAATTGATTCAGTTCTAATAGTTGCATTCGCACGCAGACCTTTTTAATCTGAATGTTTGCCTCTTTATAACATTTGTTGGCTGTGGCATCAAATAATGGCACACAATTTGCATTCCTCGCACCTCAGTCATGGAAACAGTTTTTGATACCCAGATTGGCTTAGAGCTTCACCAAAAATCAAAATGGCAGCGATTTCAAATCTTCTAAGCACACTGCTAAAGGCTCAAAATTTTTGATCTAGGAATCAAAAAATTTGTGGCACGTATAAAGTAAAGCTTGCAAGAAATTTTCCCATCTTCTACAGACTGGATTTAAATGGTGAATTTTATTAATTTTATACTTTGCATAATTTTTTAACTATTCATAATTCATTGCAGGTAACATTTAAAAATGAGCAGACTTTGGAATATCAGTTTTACTACGTCCAGTTTAAGGCAACCTCTCCTGGTGTAATGGCAGTGATAAACCTGAGCACACCCGTCCGCCAGAGTGTCTCTGAAAGTCTTACGGTGAGCAACCCCCTGCAGACACCAGTCACTTTCCAACTCAATTGCAGTGTGCAAGACATAAGTTTTCCGCCGCAGAGGACAGTGCCTCCACAATCTGAGGTACACGTCAATTCTTTTGTGTGTTATTTTGAAGCTTTTGTCTTCATGCTATTAGAATTTCTAAGATTTACTATCGTTCCAGAGCAAGCATATTCTCATTTTCATTTTTACTGTCTGTCGAGAGGCATAGAACTCCACGTGGGGCCTAGAACTCCCTTAAGTTATCAACAACATAGATTCTCAACTCTTTTATTGCTTCTTTGCAGCAACAAATCACTTTTGAATACCTTCCAATGAAAAATGGCGAAACAACAGCTCGTCTCTCACTTCAAAGTTCCGAGCTCGGTGTCTACTTGTATGATTTGAACCTGAGTGCAACGCCAGCCAACCCGGAACGATCAGTGCATTTCATAACAAACCTTGGCATGAACCAAACGCAAACATGTAGATTTATAAACTATGCGAGAAGCAAAGTAGAATACGCTTGCAGGGTGAGTCGCGCGAATCATTTCATTTACAAATTAAGGGTTTTATATAACTGAAGGTTTACAGAGCTGTTTTACAAAGAGTACCTTCGTTGCCTTCCTACTTTTATGATTTGTAGAGTCATTTCAAAGACCTTCAACTAATAATGTGACAGTAATTTATAATCGTCGTAATTCGCTACGAAATAAAGAACAGTAAAGGTTTAGGAAAACTATAACCTTTTCTTTAACCTTCTTATTTTCTCTTTCCAATTTTTGAAAATATGTTAGAACTCTGTGAAGAATGTAAATTTTATTCAACATATCATCCATTTTATCAAGAACAAAATTAGCTTTTGAAATCTGAGATGAAATTTCAACATCACTTTTTGTTTCCTTTTGGTCATTTTCCAACTAATCTAATTCATCAATAGTTTAACGTCAAATATTAATGTAATGTTTTTTTAAAGTACTCACATCTTGACATCAAATCTTTTTAGATTGATAACCCCGAGTACTTAGTTGATCGCTCAGTTACAGCAGCCTCTGCTTCCAGTGGAGGCAGCGAAGTCGGAGTCGATGTCACTTTTGAGCCAACAAAGATCGGTGATTCGAAGGGACTTCTGACTATCACATCAAATGCTGGTGGCGAATATGTGTTCCCCCTTGTTGGTCACTGTTTAGTACCAAAGCCACAAGGACCTTATAGCATTAAGGCAGGGGGGACTACCTCTATACCCTTCAAAAATGTATTCCCGCAGACGACATCTTTTGTATTCCTGGTGGATAACCCAAGTTTTACAGTGAAGTCTGGCGAGACAATCAGAGGTAAAAAGACCCACAATATTTCTGTTGGATTCGAAGGAAACCAAGGCGAATCGAAAGCAGTCAGGATGGGAAGGCTGGTTGTTTCATGTGTCAGGAGTGCTGGGGTGAACAATAATCTCACCTGGACTTTCTATCTCAAAGGAATCACTCCTTAGACTATACGTATTAACAATGTAACATAATGGATGTAGCAAATCGTTCTACATTTATCAGGGATATTTGATATAAATGTAAATTGGTTTTTAAGTGACGGAGACTTTGATTGCAAGGTAACATGGATTCAAAATGTTTATTAGTCTGATATCAAGTGCCAAAATGCCAAATAGACTTCTACTATGTTTTAAGTCTGAGCAAATTTGTATTAAAGGTGTTTCTTTAATGATATTTTTGATAAAGTGCTAATGACATTAATGATATAATGGTATTGATGCTTTAAGATATTTTATTGCAAATTTTATCATACCTAAATATCAATGCTCCGTTGCTTTATCTTATTTTATCGTTTTCTGTAAATAATCAGCTACTACCCATGTTGACAATCCTTTTGAAAAACTTGTTTGTTTTAATACATTTAAATATCTGCTTTTTACACATATTATACATATGCTAAATTATTTGTCTTGTTTGATTTTGTTTTCCTCTGCCAATTTCAAATCGTAGATCTAGATGTTCACATACAATAAAATGGATCGCAGATGGATAGAGTATGGAAATATCCAACCATGTGTTTTTTCTTCGCACGATCGTGAACTTCCAGCAGAGTACATGTTACCCTGGGTGTGTCAAAGCCTCAGTAGAAGAGTAGAAACATTTTGAAATTTGCTTTCAGTGACTTGTCTGAATGACAGTGATTTGATGGTGAAAGCCTGTAAACGTGTGGCCATGTCTCAGCCAATTTGTAACGTCTTTTGCAGATCTTTTTGGGGGCTATGTGGTCCAATTTCAACAATATTAAATTCCAAATCTCCAACCCCTTTACCCTTGCTACCACCATCACCACCGCGTATATGTCAGGAATGTTAGGGTGAACAATAATCTCAGTTGAACTTTCTACCTCTTGGTTCTTACAGTGTTGCAAAGGAATCAATCCTCAGACAAAACATAATCGTTCTACATCGATATAATGAGAATGATATTGATGATTTGTTGTAAGATCCTAGTATGAGATCATTCATGAGAAAATTGATGGGAATTAAGTCAAACAAAGAATTATACAGGATAACAAAACGTGAAAAATGGAACACAATGATAGAAAGAAGAGTCGGCTGGCTCGGACATTTAAATTAAATCCGTGCCAAAATGACCTGGGTCAGCACTGCCACTCAAGACCTGAACAATTTTGGTTTAACGTTCAGTGAGGCTCAAGAACTAGCAGGAGACAGAAAGGAGTGGAATGCGTTGGTAAAAAAGGGGGAGTTTAGTCAACACAGAGGAGATATGTTGATGCAAGGGGGCGACCCCTGCGAGGGAGCTTTCCAGAAGAGGTAAATCGAAGTGGAAACTGAGCTACTTTGATTATTTGATTTAGGTATGGACTAATGCAACTATGAGCGGCTGTCTTAGAACTTTTAATCGACTTCACCGAACTTTCTCAACATCAAGTGGCATCTTTCGTAGGAAGAAGCTGGTTTTACTTGGCACTGGCTGGGGCTCTTACAGTGTTTTAAAGAGTATAAATAAGAAAAAATTCGATGTTGTTGTGATCAGTCCCCGAAACCATTTTCTGTTTACCCCGCTTTTGAACAGCACGACTGTAGGCACTTTGGAGTTTAGAAGCATCATCGAACCTGTACGAAATACGAGATTTCGAGATGATAGTCATTTTCAGCTAGCTAGAGCAACTCATCTTGATGCTGATAACAACAAATTAACTTGCACAACAGACATTGGGAAGCACAGCTATGAGCTTGATTATGATTTGCTTGTCATTGGGGTAGGTGCATTGAGCAACACTTTCGGCATACCTGGGGTTTCAGAAAATGCATTTTTCTTAAAAGAAATTGCAGATGCAAGAGCTGTTAGAAACAGGATTATTGCAAATTTTGAGGAAAGTCTATACCTTGATGTATCTGATCAGGAAAGGAAAAGACTTCTGCACTTTGTTATTGTTGGTGGAGGCCCAACTGGTATTGAATTTGGTGCAGAGCTTTATGATTTCATTACAGAAGATGTAACGAGACTGTTTTCGCAGGAAAAGGAAGAAGTCAAAGTAACATTGATTGAAGCGAATGAGATCCTGCCCTCTTTTGACCGAAAACTCAGAAGTTTTGCAGAAAAAAAGTTTAAGCAAAGAACAAATTACGATTTGGTTAAATCAAGAGTTGTGAAAGTTACCCGCATCATGTGGTGTTAGAGGATGGAACTGTGATGCCTTGTGGAATGGTTCTCTGGTCAACAGGCCTTGCACCAAGACCATTTATTGGTAAGAACTCTTAGAAAAGAAGTGTCTACCATGATCTTGTACCATCTGAAGAATGCTCTTTGTTTGTTTTCAGGTCTGAGAATGAGGCCCTTGCAATTCAATAAGATTAGGTGCTTCAGGGGTAAATCTCCACAAGGAATTTCATTTTAAACACTCTTGTGTCCAACAAATAGGTACTTTAACTCTGTTCCTGAAAATGAGCATGGCACATTTTGTGTTTTTGTGTCCCATGGTTCCTATATCTGTGACCTAGAGGCAAGACTGTTTTGTCAAGTATTTAGATGATCAGTGTTTTTAAGTAAAAGAACCAACAAGTGTTTGTCTTCCTTTCTACTTTGAATTTTCTTAAAATAAAAAGGAACATTGTGATGATGTTTGTGAATAAGCTACAGCTCACACATAAAACTATTTAAATGATTCCTAATTCACTTTCATCCAAAACCGACTGTTGTATTCCCAAGCATAACTTTTCAATTTTATGATAAATGTGTCCCTTGTACGAATGCTGCATCAGTTTCTTCAAAACAAGACATGCCAATACAAGGATATTGTCAAAAGTTCTCTAGAAAATACATTTGTTTGTTTTAATTGACATTTGTTTTAATAAAGAGTTCTCTAGAAAATACCTATTATCCTTATCTTTCCATTGTTGCTAATGCTCCATAAAAAATTTATGTCAAAGTTAGATTTTTACTGAAGGTTGATAGTGAGATTTGTAATTGTATGGCAAGTTTAGAAATATTCTTGTTACCTAGAATGCTTCTGAATTCTTTTTACAATTTTAATCATTTCAGAGTCCCTGCCTTTTCCAAAAAGTAATGCAAAGCAACTTCTTGTGAACAACTTTTTGCAAGTCCAAGGCATACAAAAGGGAAATGTTTTTGCTATTGGTGATTGTTCATACATAGAATCAGATCCTTTACCAAGTACTGCACAGGTGGCAGAGCGAGAAGGAAGGTATCTTGCTAAAGCTTTGGAGCTCTATGCTGAAAACAGGGCTAGTGAAGTTAAACCTTTTTCATGGAAGAGTCTTGGTATGCTTGCTTACATTGGGGAGTATAACGCCTTGGCTGATTTCCCGTTTAAAGGTGGCAAATTAACCGGTTTTAAGACATGGTTTTTATGGAGATCAGCTTATCTTACAAGGCTTGGTAACTGGAGGCTGAGAATGCAAGTCCCTTTTGATTGGTCTAGAACATTTATCTTTGGAAGAGATATTTCAAGATTTTGAGCTGATAAATTATTAACAAAACATCTCAGTTTCTTTAGCTGAATTGAGTCACATCAAATTAACTTTTATTTTTACCAGAATAATAGGTTCTGAATTATCATTCACATCTTTAATGCACATGCACTAATACTACTCTGTTATCAAAATTTCGAAAAATTTATCAAGACAAATAGCGATTTTAAAAATTTTGTATATTTTTAAATATTGTAGGCAAACTATCTGTGCTGAGTATGTATATTTTGCTGGTGAAAAGTTCAAATCTTGTATGACATGGTCAACTAACGTTAATGCAATGTTTCCTACATATATAGTTATAATCTTCGTCGAGCTAGTCTTGATGGTCACATGTCAAACTCCATGAATTTTACATTTTAATATATCTACTCAATAGCTGCATATTCTCATCACAAACATTATGTACATCTTGGTCTTCTTTTCTTGTTTATAGTTTCTAGTGTAAACAATCTTTTGGTGGTACAAAACTTGTAAATGGCTTTGAAAAAAGCAAACATTTAGTAAACTAAAGCTTTTCGTCTGACACTCTTCAGAGTCAGACGAAAGACTCTGAAGAGTGTCAGACGAAAAGCTTTAGTTTACTAAATGTTTGCTTTTTTCAAAGCCATTTACAAGTTTCTAGTGTCTTTGAGAAACCTTTAATATATAAAGTTTAGCTCCATTATAGGATCTAGAAATTTCTCCTGTAGAATATCAGGAAAAACTACCTGATGATTATTGATCATAAAACTAAGAGTGGCAATCCATGCTTCCAAGCTTCAAGACAAGGGACATCAAATTTTGGCAAAATAATTTGGGGAGAGCCAATAATTTTAGTATGATTTAGTTTCAAAGATTTAGGGCAATATGGTATTACTTCCTTTCCTGTCCACATATCTACCCCACCCCCTTTTCTGCATATTATATGAAAAGGTGGCAGTGTGTATAACTGGCATGGCTTTAGGCTTGGGTTTGTCAACATTGCTGGTTAACTCAGTTAATAGGGCAACAATGTTAGCTGTGGCTGGTTTGCTTCCTACCCTCATCATGTGGCCAACACACAATTTCTCCTACTCAGTATATTTTCACAAATCCTGGTCCACTTTTCAAGATTGTGCGAGGCTACACTTTTTTGTGCAACCATCAAATATACTCGTGAATTTTTAAAGTTCTGTTATCTTATCATGTTAGTTTTTCAGTCATGCAGTTTTAATATCGCTGAAGGAAGCAGGTTTTTTGTAAACAAAACTTTACAATCGAAGATAACTGTTAAAGACAATTTTAAAGACAAGGCTGATCTCAAGAAAACATGCAGTCATTCGTTTATTCAATAAAATTTGCTCGACAATACTCGACAAAAGTTTCCTGTGCCAAAGTCACTGCAAGCAGCTTGGTCAAATCCAATAGTTGTTGTAGTTGTTTTTGAGTTGTTGCTGCTGCGTATTGTTGTGGCAGAATGGGGATAAATTCTTTGGGGTGGATTAAAGATCAACATTGCCAGAAATGCTGAGTTATCGATAAAGAGTGGAGTGAGAAGAATGTATATTTCATTTTGGAGTGAAACAATTTGTTCTTGTGTGCTGAATGATTCCATAAGGCGATATCTATGAGAGTGTCGTCAATCTATGAAGTTCAGTTGTGACCAGCCCAGCAGCGGAAAAGTTTGTGGGTTATTTCTCGAGCTTGCAGCCATGATACAACGCAGCCCACTACAGGGAGAAGAGCATCAATAGTGAAAATAATTTGAGTTGTATTGAAAACTTTATCACTTTGAAGCAATATGAATATTATACAAGGACATGGGAAAATCGAGTCCCGAACAGTTTTCGTGGTAAGATTTTTGCATGTTTTTCAGTAGTATAGTAATATTCTTGTATTTTCGATTTTCTTCTCCCCTTTCTCTAAACTGTGAAACGAATACCATTGTACGTTATTATGTTTTGCTTTCCTATTTAGGCATTTGAAAATGGCATTTAACGATGAAGCATGTTTTTTTTTTATTTTTAGAAATGGAAGAGGAGATGGATGGTTTTGCAAGATAGGAAAGATCCCCCTGAAAAAGCGATTTTCTTGTTTAAAAGTGAAAAGGACACTAAGCACCCAGAAAAGGAGAAAATTATTCTAGTCAATGTAAACAGCATCAAAAGAAAATATTTTTCTGACAGTAAACATGTTTTGACTTTGGAGTACAAGGATAAAAATGTTGAAAAAATAATGTTTGCATCAGAAGCAGAGTTGAATGGCTGGTATGAGCAATTAAATGTTGTTTGTTTTGGATCTGTTCTTGGCAATTCACTCGAGAAAGTAAAAAACACTGCTAATGAGCAAAATAATCCTGAAGCTACTGAAGTAACAGAGGAAGTGGTAGCCAAAAAAGGTATGTTTGACAATCAATAATATGAATGCAAACTTTATCTAGATGTTGGTTAAAACTTGGTAAGATATACCCAATGAAATATTGGAAGCTTGCTAATGGACTTACCTAATTTTTGCTGGAAACTTTGTAACATGAGTTTGCAAACATGAGTCTTACATGAGGTTACTTGAGTGTTCTTAAAGGGCTTGGTGTAGAGCTGTGGGACAATGTTATTATGTTTTTGCTTGTGGATGGGATGAATCCGCAACAGCAACTGAAGTGAGCTTTGGTAGAAAAGTGAATCCCAGTACACTAAGAATATTTTAGTGTACTGCATTGGGAACACAGGAAAAGAGAGGGAACACAGAGCAGAAAGGGCTTTAGCCTCCCTAATTTTCTCAACACTTCACAGTGCCTTAAGAAGTAAACATCCTAACAGGCTGTTTGTCCAAAGGGACAGCACAGAGTTTGTCTGTGGAAGCCCAGGTTTTCAAACAGAAAACATTGCTGAAAGTTGATGGTTTAGAATGATTCAGACTTGACATCATTTTAAAGCATGAAGATTTCATAGCCTGCCTTTTTGTCACATGCTCTGCTTTGACGATTGGTAAACACAATCCCACCACCCCCCTCCCCCCCTGCAATCAGACTGTCTCACACAAAATATTTGTTTACAGTTACGTGACACAGCTCCTTTAACAATAAAAAGTGTTTACCAACCAAGTTCTTTTTACCTTGTTTGTAGCTCTTTGTCCCTTTCATTTTATCTTTTACACTTGCAAAACTTAGCTAGCAAAATATTCTTTCTATTTCATGTGCTTAAATTTACAAATGATGTTTTCAGATCGGAAGGGACTTCACTATTTCTGGCTTAAAATTAAAAGGCATGGAATATAGAGTTTCAAAAATGAAAATAAACATTGAATGTTTGATAAAAGAGCTTCAAAAGTTTCTTAATTTTTTACTAAGACAAGATTTTGTACCAGCCTAGAGGCTCTTATCGAGGATTTCTTATGTAAAGAAGTTGCTGACCTGTTATAATGGTTGGATTCACAAAGTGTAGAGCCAACACCAAATTACAATGTTATGTGGTTATATCTAAGCCATTTGGTATCATGTCTAACTGATTTTGCAACTTTAGAGGTATCGCTAAAACTCCAGCATAGCAAGTTGCACATTTCATGACTTCAATTGTGTGGAACAGTTAGTTTCAAATTTATTTAGTATACTTTTTGAGTAGGTTTAAAAAACTCTCCATTTCTGTCTACTGAAGCCTTTCATGGTGAAAGGGAAAAACCAGATTGTTTTTGTGTCTTCTTGTGGTCTGTTGGCATTTGCAGGTAGCAGAAAATATCTCATTTTTGCACTGGTGATAGAATAATTGTGAGCTTGCAACCATATTCACTGTTTTCATTTTATGTTATTTTTATTTTCATGGCCACTTTGAATTCATTTCAGATTTGTTCTCAGTCCACCTTCAACCATCAGCAAAACTAAGTATATCTGGGGATTGTGAACTTGAAGTTTCAACAGAAGAAATCATACTCTTTGATGTAAAATGCTCAAATGTGAAACTTGTTTCATGGCCAATACCATCCTTACGGCGGTTTGGTTTTGATGCCACTAGGTTTACTTTTGAGGCTGGAAGGTAAGAAAGCAATATTTTATGTAATGACAGACACAAAATATGTCTTAGTTTGGTTATACATCTTATATTTCATCATCATTCACATGCTCAAACTTTCTGACTTGGATCCTCTTTTAAATGCATCTTGTAAAAAGCTGTTTTGTTACCTTTTGATTTTTGGAAAATCCTGCTTACTATGATATTACCAAGTTTATTAGAATAAAAAATACAAACTTTATAAAATTACTGTAACTTACTTTAGCATTTCTCAAATCTAAAACTAGGAGCATACTTACCATAAATTCTTAAATAATGATTTCAAGTGTTTATGGGTTATTTATGTCTTTTTTCTGCAGACGCTGTGACACTGGGGAGGGTATGTTTGTTTTCAAGACTAAAGATGGTGAAAGAATCCATCAATTGGTGCAAAGCTATGCACACCAACTAGCATTTGATTCCAGTAAATGCTTATCAGCTGATGACAGTGACAATGACAATTGCATTTTTCGTCCACTTCCTCCAGTTCCAAGTGAGTAGTTCAGTGCACTTATTGAAGCATTACAATAGTACTGTCAGAAGAAACCATCAAGTGACCAGATACAGCTTTCTACATAGCAGTGCTGTATCACATGAACAAGTTGTGTGTGTTTTCTCAGTTGTCAATACAGTTGATGTCCTCTTTCTCAATCTCTCTAGGGAAACTTCCATTTGTTTGAGTTAGCAAACATTTGAAATAATAGATGTCCCTTCAAAATTGTGAAGTGTCTTTTAATGCCCCAACTCATAAAATACTCAATTATATTAGAAAAATACAATTCAAAGTTCAGTTCTAAAATATTTCTGAGCTTGAGATTATGCTTGTGTAGCATGTCTCTGTACTCTAAAAGCAAACCATACTTGGACACCATCTCCTTCGTCGCATTTCTATAGTCCTCAATCCTCCACCTCCTCTATGGCAACTGCTCTTGGCCTTGTTATAGTGTCATTCCGTATAACTTCGTATTACCTCATTATCTCAAACCAATGTTCAGTAATTATTTTTTATCCCTTTCCAACATTCAGGAGATTACTGGAATTGGGAAATTTTCCAAGCCCTTCTTGCAGTTCTTCCCCATTTTTCATCAAAAAGATTAAGTTATTTATGGATACTTAGAGCATAATTCTCTTGGCATGTTTCTTTGTCCAGTGTTTGAAACAATGTCTCTTTTTGCTGATAGTTGATGTCAACTGTATTTATCCACAGCACTGCATTGATATCTAGTATTCAATCCTGTTGTTTTACTTCTTAACTCAGCCGGCAGTGGATTTCAGGTAGGACCTTTCTGGGCAAAAGTAAAAAAATATCAAGCATTTAATGCTGAATATCTTGTATTGTGAAAATCCTATACAGTGTATTATATTGAATGGAAAAACTGCAAACATGATCCACATCAAAACCAGTATTTTGCATGTTAATTTGATTGATAGATATTTTTTTGAAATAGTTTCAGTAGCCATTATTGTGCTAGCTCATTTAATGTAGTGGTAAGCTTGATAATTTATGGATGTTTTTAAGCAGAAATTAGATGAAATTCAGATGTTCACAATTACTTTATAAATGCAACGAATATGTTATCAGGCATAACCTTTTCTACTTTAGTAAGAAATAAGCACATATCTTGTATCTATTGTAATTGTGTGGTATGCCTCTATTTGCAAGTTGTCTTAATTCGCAAGTTATTTCTGGTTTTGGCCTTCCGTTTCCATAATCTGACAAACTTTCAGATAGTTTGCCAATAACAGAGGGAACCGGTATCTTGCAGCAAAAATGCTCTATTATTAATCTATGACATTTTGATTAAAGTTTCTTCTTTGGAAAACTGTTTCCTGTTTTCTTTAATCTTAAGCTCAAGCATTGAAAATTCCTAATCTACTTTTTGCTTGTTTGTTCTTTTAATGCTCGAATTTTGAACTTGGCACTTGGTTGTTACATTACTATTTGACCTTGAAAGCATTTAGACACGACAGCCTTTTCAACCGCATCCAAGGACCACGGGGCAACCACCACTGTTAATCCTTACTTTATGCTTTAGTTGGCAGTCATCAAACATTGCACACATAGGCCTAACCCTGATGAAATTGTCAAATACTGTCTTTTCAAGATGATATTCACTGTAAGTCAAGCCACCCGTATTGTAAATAAAAGATATCATCTTAATTTCTTTTTCAGCCACAAGTAGATATGTCAACACCCATCCAAAAGAAACTTTGGTCATAATGATTGAAAGTTTCTGTTTATCAGTTCCGTTTTTTGCCTTCAAGAATTCTCTGAACAAATACACAGGCATTGAAAATATAGATAAACCCTCATATGCCATGATTTTCTCTACTACAAAATTCATATTATGACAATATTGTTGACTCTATTTCTTCAACAATGTTCATTAAATAAATCAACTTGCTTTTTAAATTTTAAGGTAAGTCATACCAATTTATGCTACTACGACCATAATAAAATGGTCAATTTTGTTTGGTTCAATTTTTGGTCCTTAATCAAAATTAGTTTTATAATCTCCGCTTCTCTTGGCTTCATTTCCCCAAAAGCTGCTATCTTCTGGCACATTTTTCTACGAAATAAGTACAAATCATATTTAATGTTTAAAGGCTACTAATTGCAGCACTGTTTTCAAAGAGGCGCTATCGGATAACTAACTCCCGTCTGCGTGAAACTTGTACGGTGCAGAATGACAAAACAATGAATCTTGCTTGAATATCAAGGCTTCTTGAGCATTTTCCAAATACGCAGCAATTTGATGAAAACGGGCAAAAGAATACCTATCATTAGATTTGTCAACAATTTCCAACAATCTAAGAATGGAAGGTTCTGTGTTGTTCTAATTGCCTAATATCTCTTTTACCAAACAAGATTAAATGATATGTATTACTGATAGAAAGTTTTTTTTAAGGGACTGTTATATGGCCAAAAAGCAACAGCATCCTGAACTTCAATCCTAGCCAGAAAAGCTAGAACAATACAATTATCTCGGTCAAAAGATCGCCATCCCAGGATTTAACTTCATCTCCAAGTCATCATTGCTGTTGCTCTATTCTCCCTCTCTCCTCACGTACAATTTTGTTTCCTTCATTAGAAGTGTTTGTGCATCCAGTCTTAGTTAGGATGTCACTGACAATCATGTAGTAATGAGCAAAACTGTAATGGAGGAGGGGAAGAGAAACAACTTTCAGATCTATGCTTCCTTTTTTTTGGTGTTCCAACAATTCACCTTTCCGAACTGGCAATCATATTTTTGCGGCCCGTTGCAACTGTCGCTAGGTCGTCAATACTCTTTTTCTACCCATCGTAACACAAATAAACATGACAGATGACAGAACTAAACTTACCAAATTTAAGTTTGATTCAAGTGCCTTGGTTTTCCCGTCAGTACTGTTCAATTTTCCTTCATGCTCAACCAATTCTCTTGTCATTTCGTTTTCCAATCTGTCACATTTTTCACTCAGTTCTTTTTTCTCAGCAGATAGCAAATCAACCGTTGCTTTTAAGCCTTCAAGCTCATAACATGCCTCATCATATTTGCCGCGAAACTTTATCGCATCGGCCATTGAAACCGTGTACACATTCTCCATTGCCCGTAAATTGTTCTTTGCTTTTCGCAGCTCTTCATTTAGCGACTCATTCTGCTCTTCCAAATTCACAAAGCTTCTTAGACGAAATTTCAAATTGTCAATCTCAACTGAAAGATCAGCTTTTCTTAAGTTTAAAGACGAAATTGTTCCACGTTGCTCTATGGACACCTCTTGAATCAGTTGGTGTTCTCTTTCAAGGTGTTCCAACTTGACGCTATAATCGGAAATTTTAGATATTAAACTGTCATTTTCGTCTTGTGCCTCCAATAGCCTTAAATGTTCTCTTTCCCACTTCTTTTGTAGCTGAAATATTCCTTCTTCAAGATGTGTTCTCTCCTCATCCTTTTGCTTGACAATGTCTTCGATCTTTGAAAGCTCAGTCAAACATTTTTCCATCTCTTCTTGTGTTTTTTTTTCTTGAATTTCCAATTCATTTAATTTGAAAGACTTGACCAATAGCTCCTCATTTTCTTTTTCGAGAAGCCCAAGTAAAACTTCATCTTTATTTTTATTCTTCATAAGCTTATCGGCTTGCAAACGAAGCTGCTCATTGTCGGTCTCCAGGTTAAATTGATATTCTTTCATACCTTTCTGCATGTTGACTTCCTGTTCAAGTTGCTTGCTTAAAACTTCCACTTTTTTACAGAGCTCTTCGTTCAATAAAGCCAGCCGTTTGTTTTCATGGACGACATCTTCCTTTTCCACTCGCTGCTTTGCTGCACAATGCAGGCGCGATTCTAATCTTTTGAATCCATCGTCAACATAGTTGAAAGAACATTCGATTTCTTCAAGCAATTTCACAAATTGGTTGCAGTTTTTCTTAAGCCTTTCAGCTTCTTCATCATACACAGAAGTGCCAGTCCTGGATAGTACCACCTTGTCGTAGGGACCGAGTTTCTTCGATAAAGCTGCGTTATTCCCTGCAAACAGAGTGAAACCATAGTCAAGATTTCCTTTCTCGTTTTCTGCTGAAATTTTCATGCTAAATAGAAATACGCTAGACCGATTGAACCAACTGTTTTCTCTTTAAATAATTATTTAGCTAATGGTTATAGCGTCGATTTATCATGAAAGTCAAATTTGATTTGGTTGTCTTGTTTTTACCAATCAGCAATCGTTCTCACAAAATTGAAGAGTCCAAGCGAGCAAATGTCTACATCATAACTCTAGTAAGGGGAACTGTTTCAGCCAATCAGGAGTTTTGTTTACGTTATAGTAATTTTGCCTTCTAGAGGATACAATTCGAGAGTCGAAATTTCTTTGATAGACTAAATATAAAATGGCTTTTGATTATACCTGACGGATATTGCTTCTCGAGAGAGCCACTTGCGAATTGTTCCGATGATGTGGAACCTTCGTCACCTTTTGGCACAAGTTCTTTTGATGTTGGAATATTCCAGTAATTGATTGACAATGACTTTTCTTTTTCTTGAATGACATTGTTATTCCATGCGCTTGCCTCTTCCTTATAAACAGGCACTTCCTGCTTCGGCTTTTCTGATGGATCTGAAAGAATTGCAAAAATTGGAGGAAATGAAGACACCTTCATCTGCTCAATATTTAGAAAACAGTAGGTTTTAGCGCTCCATGAAAAGAAAAGAGAAAATGTGCATATTTAAAAAAAATGAAACATAACGTACAAGACGATATCTGGTTTACGTCAATTGGAGCAGATGAAGAGAAAGCTAATGGAGGTTCCAATAAAACCGAAGGCTCTTCTTCATCCTCCTCAAAGAGAAGATCTGGTATCTCTTCTGCAGGTTGGGGCTCTGAAGTAAATCAAAGAACAATCAATAAATTCGAATAGGAAGAGATGAGTAATCTCAAAGATCATTAGAAACCATTTAACATTACATTCTATTGATGCCTAAAAAAGAAGTTTCTCACATACCTGCAGAAGTCAGTTCTGCTTCTAGTTGAATAAGCGATGGGGTGACTTGTTCAACTTCGGGCTGGTTGGAAAATGTGGTTTCTACGTCAGCCAAAACCAACGAGATTTCCTGTTCAGCAACGATCTCTTCTCTTGAATACTCTTCTTCATCCTCCTCAAAAAGAAGATCTGGTATCTCCTCTGCAGGTTGGGGCTCTGAAGTAAATCAAAAAACAATCAATAAATTCGAATATGAAGAGATGAGTAATCTCAAAGATCATTAGAAACCATTTACCATTACATTCTATTGATGCGTTAAAAAGAAGTTTCTCACTAAAAAAGTTTATTACATACCTGCAGAAGTCAGTTCTGCTTCTAGTTGAATAAGCGATGGGGTGACTTGTTCAACTTCGGGCTGGTTGGATGATTGGGTTTCAAAATCAGCAAAAACCAACGATACTTCCTGTTCACCAACAATCTCTTCTTCTGAATACTCTTCTTCATCCTCCTCGAAGAGAAGATCTGGTATCTCCTCTGCAGGTTGGGGCTCTGAAATGAATCAAAGAACAATCAATAAAATCGAATACGAAGAGATGAGTAATCTCAAAGATCATTAGAAACCATTTAACATTACATTCTATTGATGCCTAAGAAAGAAGTTTCTCATATACCTGCAGAAGTCAGTTCTGCCTCAAATTGAACGAGTGATGGGGTGACTTGTTGAACTTCAGGCAATGGCTGGTTGGATGATGATGTTTCAAAGTCAGCCATAACCAACGAGATTTCCTGTTCATCAATGATCTCTTCTCCTGAATACTCTTCTCCATCCTCCTCGAAGAGAAGATCTGGTATCTCCTCTGCTGGTTGGGGCTCTGAAATCAATGGATTGAGAAATACTGGTGATTTATTTTGAACTTGGAATAATGAATTTTTCAGTATTAGTCTGTTGTGTTAAAATAGGTACCTTGTTTTTGAATGATATATGATTCTATTTCTGCTATTGTAAGCATACTTTTGAAAATGAGTGATTGCCTTATCCAAGGAGCTAAATGATTGTAAACAATCTGGAGGTACCTAAGAACTGACAGAATACATGAAAAAAGGAATGAAAAAAGCTATAACTTACCGATGTTAATGCACATTTCGATGACTTCCTGAGATTCTAAGCTTACAGAGTTATCAAGTTGGTTACATCTGTCAATTCGCCTGCTTGATGACCTTAATTCTAGACCAGAATCATGCGAATTCTCGTGAAATGCAACGACTTCGTTGTCTTCTTCGTGCATAGCTGCATTTTCATTTTCTGTTACATTTCCATCTTCATTTGTCATCAATGACGACTTGATGTTCAAGAGATTTGGATCTGAAAGATATTTTTCAATCTTAAAGACGTAACTTATTTTATAACCAATTCACTGAGGCTATGCGAGTATGGTGTTTGAAATTCTAATTATTTTAGGCAAGATTTATGTCTTTGGCTACTGCAGAAAGGTACCCAACCTTTGCTTCAGGAAATATGTGACCGCCGCGAAGGTTAAGCGTTTATTTTGAAGGTGTTAGTTACGTTTTTCTAATTTTTTCTTAAATCCTTCATTTTTTTAATGCTTGTAGATTCTTCAAGCTTTAATCCTTAATTTATTCTTTTATTCTCAAACGTTTTGCTTCTGTGCGAGTATTACTTGTTGCTCCCTGGAGTTCCCAGTTCGTGACTTCAAATCAGACTTTTCAGTCCGGTATTTTGAATCCACTTTACCAAGCTTGAACAGTTGGGCACCTTCGGCCATAAAGAAAATATGGGACGTAGCTCCACAAGGTTTTCTAGAGATGGGGATTTCACATGTGGGACGTGGCTCCACAAGGTTTTCTAGAGATTGGGTTGTCACTTGTGGGACGTGGCTCCACAAGGTTTTCTACAGATGGGGTTGTCACTTGTGGGACGTGGCTCCACAAGGTTTTCTAGAGATGGGGTTGTCACTTGTTGGACGTGACTCCACCGTTGGCACTACCGTTGTTTACAGGTTCCTGATGTTTCAACTCTTCCGTTTTGACCAACAATCCTTCAATCTAAATCATTTACCCATTTTGAAAGCATGACCTCTTATTGTACCCCGACGAATCTTTTTCATTACACATTTTTAAATATATTCTTCAAATTAGGCAAGAATACATTACAGATATATGGAATAGCTTTTAACAAACCTACCGATGAATTCAATTCTCCTCTCGTGCTTTGATCTATAAGTCTGGAGCATTTCATATATCCTAGAAAAATGATTGAGATTGTATTAGTGTGGGTTTGCTGTTCTCTTCCAAAACGATTTTATGGAAAACGGCTGAATTTTACATTGGTTGCGTTCACTATGAAATTGTCACAAAAGCTTAGAGAGTTTGTTTTTTACTACAACTAACAATTCACTCCTCATTAGAACCTTAAACTTAAGATTCTTAATGCTAAAACAAGTATAGCTTTGTTGTTTTACTAGCTCAGCCCTTTGACGATCGCCAGCAACAAGGGGGTCCTGTGTTGAAAAAGCAAAATATCAATTATTGACATTTCGTTACATATAACTTTTACATGCTTTCTTAATATTGCATCATTAGCAATACCAATTTAAATAATTAGATAAGAGCCCTTTTTAGATTGGCTAAATGATGGGGAGCAATAAATCTATGTATTGAGGCCTTGTGCAGTGTTGACAAAGTCAGTTTAAGTATGCTATTTTAACGAACAACTACAAAATTCATTTCCATAAATCCTTTAAAAATTTATTCAAACCATACTTACTTTCCGATCATCTCTCTGATTTCTGTTTCTGCTCCACTTTTCACTAGCAATAAAACCACATTTGGCAACCCAGCAAGGACTGCTTCGTGCAGTGGCGTAGATATATGCTGTGAAAACCAAAGTTTTATGAGTGGGAGTTCTCAAGTATTTATGAATGCATGCATTCTTTACATCAATCAATATATGAATGCTACATTTTAATGATTTTTAGACTTAGAGCGTCAAAGATTCAGCATAGGTTAATGAGTAAGAGAGGCTCGTAAATCATCATCTTTATTTATAGATATCTTGCGCCATTTCTAGCTGTAGCCTTATTTTTTTCTGATTATCCTATGGTGTTGATCATAGAGTTCTGTAATCGATGTGTTGACTTGCTCTGAAATCTTGATCAAGATCGTTTGTGATTAAGCAGTGTCTCATTCTTGATTCTTGTTGTTGAAGCTAATTGCATCAATAATGCAAGAAAGAACTTTTTTAGTTATGTTGAAGATCTTCTAATAACAGAGTAGAGGCTTTCAATTATCACACGCTTTCTATTTCGGTTGTCTTTTTCGGGTGTACTTTCAACCAGCGTACAAGAATAAACTTATAGCAAGGTGACTTACCATATCTCTTGCATTCACATTCACATGCACTTGTTTTACCAGGTATTCTGCAATCTCCATTTTCTTTCTGAAAATGGCGTAATGCAGTGGCGTGGTCCCTGCGTGGTCAGGTCGGTTGAAGTCAAACTCTATTCCGTAGAATACTTTGACTATATCCAAATGTCCGTTTTTGATTGCCTGTTCAAAAAGAATCGTCATCAGCATTGGTGACAGATTACTACAGAAGGAAAGAGATCAAATTCCGCCACTTTCCTCTCGACTTTAAAAATGTTGGTTTGAAAAAGAAAATGATCTATAAAGTTGCCTGAAATTGTTACTTTAAATTTCAACTATGTTTAATAGCAGTGAGGGGTGCCAACGTGAAAGGGAAGGTAGGTCGCAAAAATTGACACCAATGATCAGGACCATGTTTAAAGAGAGATATAACTTACCATAAAAACAGGACTCCTCCCAAATCTGTCAATAGTGATTTTGCCATCAGCATCCAAAATGAGCCGTACCACTTGAATTCTGCCGGCTAGGCATCCATAATGCAGTGCCGTTCTGCAAAATTGCAATATAATTTATGCAACCTTTATCTATAGCTAACTCTAAAGACTAGAGTTTTTCACGAAGAATGCAAAACCTCAAGTCGCCACATAAAAGATTAAAGTATCAAAGAAAATAGTAATTCTAAGTTTTTAGACCCTTTTAAAATACCAAAATTTCACAGATTTCTTTCTAGGAAAAATAAAATGTTAAAGAATAGAAATCAAATTTATTTAAATATGAATTGTCAAAATATCTTGAAAACATTTCAAACTACTGTATTCTGCTTTATTATCATTTCATTTATCATAAAGAAAATAAATTGGAACGAGGAATAAATAAGGCTGATTGCCAGATAAAGTTGAATTAGATATGTCTTCTTTTATAAGTTAGTTCTTTTAATATCAAGACATTCTACTGTTAAAAACTTTTAGGGAGAACTTACCGTCCTTCGACATCCTTCTTGTTGATATCAACTCGTCTTTTCTTTAAAAGACTTTGCAGTTTCTGAATCTTGTTCTTGTACGCGGCTCGGTGTAACCTTGGAAGATCCCAAAGGTTTAAGCCGTCTTCATTCGTACTCGCTGTTGAGCGGTGAAAAAACTTCGACAACATTGTCAATCCTTCACAACCGACGTTCACAACTCAACTGATTAAAAATGTTAGCCGAAGATGATAAGTTACAGATTGTTCGTAATTTGACGTCATATCAATGAAGGATTATCCATCGTCATAGTTGATTTGGAAGCGAAAAGCCTGGTACCTAATTTGCGTCTTTACAAAAAGCGTTTCCAAAGCAGAATTTGGTAGAAGGGCGAATTAAAAGAAAAGAAGGACAAGTCTTACTGCTAAGATGATCAAAAAACCTTTCAATCATGGGTGTTCATTGATAGACTGTGTATTTATAAGCATCTCAGATTGTTAAAGCAGACAGTTTTCAGATCTGACGTCACTTTTACCGCTTGAATACGAAACCTAAGTTTTATCCAGGAAAATTCTTCGACCACCAGAAGAATCGCTTACTTTTCGATTTTTCACAAACAAAGTGTTTTCTTTGAAACAACAGAGTACGGGGAAAATTCCCATTTTCGATTCTGATAAGAAAAAACCTTATCTTGTCGATAATTCATACAAGTGCATTTTTAACAACTTAGAATTACTATCCAGAACAAATATCTACGATAAAATGTTCACAGGGAAATCTCAGAAGCCATTTCGTTTCTAAACTCATGGGGGAGGAGACAATTAAAGAATTCAACAGCTCGTTATATTTTCCATTGCCAATGAATCATAAAAAACATTAGAAAAATAATCCAAAATAATTATGAAGCGTTCATAGTAGGATCAGTACAGCACATAGAGGCCCCATGGAGAGCTTGGATTACTCGGGTGTAAAGGGCGAGAGAGAAAAAATAATAGTGAACTTGAGATTCTGTTGGTTATTGATTAAGGAGAACCAGAAACAGTAAGGGATACATATTGCATGTAGAAAATGCATAGAAAACGAATGTTGCTCCAGACATTGAGGTTTACTTTCAAGTTAGGGGTCTGGGACACAGGCTACATTGTTGAAGAGCGATCTTCCTTATTCATATGAAGAGCGACCTCAGACATATGAATGAATGAAATGGATAGATTAATAATGATGTATCTACCGAAAATTAATTCAACAAAATTTTTAGATCAAACAAGGGGTTTTTCGAGTCTGTCCTTTTCAGGCAGAGCTGCTGAGAAGGCGGGTTGTCGAGGAGAACTCTCTCTCACGTTGCTACGAGGAAGTGAGGCTGGTGAAGCCAGTTCGGCAAGAACAGATCGAAAGAGCACGCCGGAAAGATCACATTTTCACACTAGAGAAATATTTACGCTGTCATTGTGACATATCCAAGGCATCTTTGGTCATTGACAGTAAACAACACACCCTTTCTGTTGTTTAGCAGTGGATTTGAAGGGCCTATCACTTCACATTATGGCTGAACCAAAAGTTCTTGTTCTCGGTGGATGTGGTTTTATTGGGCGCAATTTGGTTGCATATTTGATAGAGAACAACCTGGCCAGCATGGTTCGTGTAGCAGACAAAGTGCCACCCAAAACAGCATGGCTTAATATCCACCCAGGGGCGGATCTATGTAGTAGGACGCTCCCCAGATCACATGACCTTTTATAATCACGTGACAAGTACTATTTAATCCGAAGCTTTGTAAAGCGTAGTTGAGTTTTCTTCGTATCCTCGTTCAGTTAAGTTATAAATCTTGAATGATTATCAAGATATGAAAATGTAAAGAGTGTGTTTCCTTGCTCTACCATCTCAATAATATAAATAGAAGCACCTCTCACATCTAGGGGGGGGGTGCTATGGGTGCTGTTATATTTTGAAATTTCAGAGCAGGCGGACACTAAATCAGAGGTTTTCATTTGTATTCCGCCGAGAAAATCAATTTCTGTCCCGTCTATTAGACTACGCCTCTAAGTCTAACAGTTTGTGAGTCAACGAATAACTTCATAGGCAATCAGTCTCAAATGTTTAATATAAAGAATATAGAAAAGCTAAGAATAACAATAAAAACAAAGCACTCACGACCTTTAGCTTGCTTGCTTTAGTATTGGCGACTTGTGGCGTCTCTGAATTAAATACTTCGAATGGCAACAGCGAAGTCTTTCAAGCGACACACGCTTCGACTTTCATCGGGAAACGGCGGCCACGATTCTTTTGGCAAGGCGGGAACGCCCACAGTAAAAAGCCTCCTACTCTAAAACAGGCAAGCTCCTTTATACCCTTTCTAAAATACAGCTAGCCAATAACAAAACAGAACATGATAACAGCCAATTAGATACTAGAATAGAACAATAGTTAAAAAGCATAAAAGTTAATAAAAGGATGTTCACGCTGATAACCACGTGGACCAGCACGTGATAGAAGTTCGATCTTCGTACCGTAACACGTCTGAGCACTTCTAGCCCGCTCTCTGTATTTTCAAAGCCAGTTAATTTACGGACCAGACTGTGCAACTTATTATCGTTGTAAAATTTCCAGCACCCCCTGGTCTGTGCTTTAGTCTCTCGCAAACTAACTATAGCCAATCGGTGATAACCTTGAGCTCCGGCGATTGTAAAGCAACCAATCGGCTTCTGATATCGCGGGTGCTCACTTTTGGCGGGATCACCCCCTATTGTCAAACGTAGTTCAAATTTTCATTTAGGCAGGCGGAAGAAGCATGTTGTAGTTGTTGTGTAGAAATGGCGATCGCCAGTCACAACAGAAGTGACGCGATTTCTTTTGAAATTTTAATAGAACAAAAGCGTGTGTAATGAGGTGAGGCCTATATTTCATTTTTTAAACTTGATGCGATGCAAGAGATCAAATTATAAACCTCTGGGTTTTTATGTTGGTGTTTATGAAACTTATATGAATCTCAATTAAATAGCCAAGAGCTCAGTCTTATCGACCTACTGATTGCCCAGAAAATTGTCATCTTCCCAAAATCATTAACCAGATATTAATTAGTACATAAACTGACAGAAACATTAATGATATTTATTTCATCTATTAAAAGTAGCTGTATTTTAAAAATGTTTATTAAGTAGTCAGAATGATGGAAGAAGAAATCAAATGTTTTATTTTATTTTAACCGAGAGAAAAGCAATTACAATTGTTTCTTAGTATCATTTTGTTGTATTTTATGTATCGGTTTCATTTGAAATAGCACATTGCCAGAAGTTGAGAAAATAATTGTTTTAAAATCAAATATTTAAAAAAACAGGTATTGACAACCCTTGCTCTTTGAATGTCCAAAAGAAATTCTAATCAGCATAAATTTTGAATATCATCACACCAGCCCCACCCAAAACTGAGCACCCCTCAAATTTTTTTCTGGATCTGCCCCTGGAGTCCACCATAAATTTTTGAAGACTATCGAGTTGTTCTCAGTCTACCTTCAACCATCAGCAAAACTAATAAGTATATCTGGGGATTATGATCTTGAAGTTTCAACAGAAGAAATCATACTCTTTGATGTAAAATGCTTCATGGCCAATACCATCCTTACGGCGGTTTGGTTTTGATGCCACTAGGTTTATTTTTTAGGCTGGAAGGTAACAAAGCAATATTTTATGCAATGACAGACACAAAATATATCTTTAATTTAGTCATACATCTTATATTTTATCATCATTCACATGCTCAATCTTTCTGACTTGGATCCTCTATTAAATGCATCTTGTAAAAAGCTGTTTTCTTACCTTTTGATTTTTGGAAAAAACTCTACTTACTATGATTTTACCAAGCTTATTAGAATAAAAAATACAAACTTTATAAAATTGTTGTAACTTTATCATTTCTTGAATCTAAAACTAGGAGCATACTTACCATAAATTCTTAAATAATAATTTCAAGTGTATATGGGCTATTTATGTCTTTCTTCTGCAGACGCTGTGACACTGGGGAGGGTATGTTTGTTTTCAAGACTAAAGATGGTGAAAGAATCCATCAATTGGTGCAAAGCTATGCACACCAACTAGCATTTGATTCTAGTAAATGCTTATCAGCTGATGACAGTGACAATGACAATTGCATTTTTCATCCACTTCCTCCAGTTCCAAGTGAGTAGTACAGTGCATTTATTAAAGCATTACAATTGAACTGTCAAAAGAATCGGATGTTTTTAAGCAGCAATTAGATGAAATTCAGATGTTCACAATTACTTTATAAATGCATGAATATGTTATCAGGCATAACCTTTTCTACTTTAGTAAGAAATAAGCACATATCTTATCTATTGTAATTGTGTGGTATGCCTCTATTTACAAGTTGTCTTAATTCGCAAGTTATTTCTGGTTTTGGCCTTTCATTTCCATAATTTGACAAACTTTCAGATACTTTGCCAATAATAGAGAGACCCAGGTATCTTGCGGCAAAAATGCTCTATCTTTAATCTATGACATTTTGATTAAAGTTTCTTCTTTGGAAAACTGTTTCCTGTTTTCTTTAATATTAAGCTCAAGCATTTAAGCTTCATAATCTACTTTTTGCTTGTTAGTTGTTTAAATGCTTGAATTTTGCTCTTGGCACTTGTAGTTACATTACTATTTGACCTTGAAAGCATTTAGACACCACAGGCTCTTCAACCGCATTCAAGGACCATGGGGCGACCACCACTGTTAATCCTTATTTTCTGCTTCAGTTGGCATTCATCAATCATTGTACCATTGCACACATAGGCCTAACCCTGATAAAGTTGTCAAATACTGTCTTTTCAAGATGATATTCACTGTAAGTCAAGCCATCCGTATTGTAAATAAAAAATATCATCTTAATTTCTTTTTCAGCCACAAGTAGATATGTCAACACCCAACCAAAAGAAACTTTGGCCATAATGGTTGAAAGTTTCTGTTTACCAGTTCCGTTTTTGGCCTCCAAAATTCTCTGAACAAATACACAGGCATTGAAAATATAGATAAAACCTCATATGCCATGATTTTCTCTACTACAAAATTCATATTTTCACAATATTGTTGACTCTATTTGTTCAACAATGTTCATTAAATAAATCAACTTGCTTTTTACATTTTTAGTTAGGTCATACCAATTTATGCTACTACGACCATTATAAAATGGTCAATTTTGTTTGGTTCAATTTTTGGTCCTCAATCAAAATTAGTTTTATAATCTTCGCTTCTCTCGGCTTCATTTCCCCAAAAGCTGCTATCTTCTGGCACATTTTTCTACGAAATAATTACAAATCATCTTTTAATGTTTAAATTTACATGGCGTTACAGGCTACTAATCGCAGCGCTGTTTTCAAAGAGGCACTATCGAATAACTAACTCCCGTGTGCGTGAAACTCGTACGGTGCAGAAATGCAAGGAGAATTCACGCAATGACGAAACAATGAATCTTGCTTGGAATCAATTTTCCAAATACGCAGCAATTTAATGAAAAGTGGCAAAATAATACATATCATTAGATTTGTCAACAATTTCCAACAATCTAAAAATGGAAGGTTATGAGTTGTTCTAATGGCCTAAAGTCTCTTTTACCAAACAAGATTCAATGATATGTATTACTGAAGGGAAGTATTTTTTTTTTGACTGTTCTATGGCCATAAAGCAACAGCATCCTGAACGTCAATCCTAGCCAGAAAAGCTGAAACAATACAATAATATCGGCCAAAAGTTCATCTCCAATAAGCTTCATCTCCAAGTCATCATTGCTGTTGCTCTATTCTCCCTCTCTTCTCACGTACAATTTTGTTTCCTTCATTAGAAGTGTTTAAATTGTCACTGACAATCATGCAGTATTAAGCAAAACTGTAAAAGAAGAGGGGAGGAGAAACAAATTTTAAATCTATGCTACTTTTGTTTAGGTGTTCCAACAATTCACCGTTGCGAAATGGCAATCATATTTTTGCGGCCCGTTGCAACTGTTGCTAGGTCGTTGATACTCTTTCTCTACCCATAGTAACACAAATAAACATGACAGATACGATAACACTAGTTAACCTAAAATAATATGCTAACACAACTAAACTTACCAAATTTAAGTTCGATTCAAGTGCCTTGGTTTTCCCGTCAGTACTGCTCAATTTTCCTCCATGCTCAACCAATTCTCTGCTCATTTCGTGTTCCAATCTGTCACATTTTTCACTCAGTTCCTTTTTCTCAGCAGATAGCAAATCAATCGTTCCTTGGAGCCCTTCAAGCTCATAACATGCCTCATCATATTTGCCGCGAAACTTTATTGCATCGACCATTGAAACCGTGTACACATTCTCCATTGCCCGTAAATTATTCTTTGCTTTTCGTAGCTCTTCATTTAGCGACTCATTCTGCTCTTCCAAATTCACAAAGCTTCTTAGACGAAATTTCAAATTGTCAATCTCAACTGAAAGATCAGCTTTTCTTAAATTTAAAGACGAAATTGTTCCACGTTGCTCTATGGACACCTCTTGAGTCAGTTTATGTTCTCTTTCAAGGTGATCCAACTTGACGCGATAATCGGTAATTTTAGATATTAAACTGTCATTTTCGTCTTGTGCCTCCAATAGCCCTAAGTGTTCTGTTTCCCACTTCTTTTGTAGCTGAAATATTCCTTCTTCTATATGTGTTCTCTCCTCATCCTTTTGCTTGACAATGTCTTCGATCTTTGAAAGCTCAGTCAAGCATTTTTTCATCTCTTCTTGTGTTTTCTTCTCTTGAATTTCCAATTCATTTAATTTGAAAGACTTGACCAATAGCTCCTCATTTTCTTTTTCGAGAAGCCCAAGTAAAACTTCGTCTTTGTTTTTATCCTTCATAAGCTTATCGGCTTGCAAACGAAGCTGCTCATTGTCGGTCTCCAAATTAAATTGATACTCTTTCATACCTTTTTGCATATTGACTTCCTGTTCAAGTTGCTTGCTTAAAGCTTCCACTTTTTTACAGAGCTCTTCGTTCAATAAAGCCAGCCGTTTGTTTTCATGGACGACATCTTCCTTTTCCACTCGCTGCTTTGCTGCACCATGCAGGCGTGATTCTATTCGTTTGAATCCATCGTCAAGATAGTTGAAAGAACATTCGATTTCTTCAAGCAATTTCACAAATTGGTTGCAGTTTTTTTTAAGCCTTTCAGCTTCTTCATCATACACAGAAGTACCAGTTCTGGACAGTACCACCTTGTCGTAGGGACCGAGTTTCTTTGATGAAGCAGCGTTATTCCCTGCAAACAGAGTGAAACCATAGTCAAGATTTCCTTTCTCGTTTTCTACTGAAATTTTCATGCTAAATAGAAATACGCTAGACCGATTGAACCAACTGTTTTCTCTTTAAACAATTATTTAGCTAATGGTTATAGCTTCAATTTATCATGAAAGTCGACTTGGATTGGTTGTCTTGTTTTTTCCAATCAGCGATCGTTAACTTAACTCTCACCATATTAAAGAGTGCAAGAGAGCAAATGTCTATACCATAACTCTAGTAAAGGTAACTGTTTCAGCCAATCAGGATTTTTGTTTACATTTTAACAATTTTGCCTTTCAGAGGATACAATTCAAGAGTCGAAATTTCTTTGATAGACTAAACATAAAATGGCTTCTAATAATACCTGACGGATATTGCTTCTCGAGAGAGCCACTTGCGATTTGTTCCAATGATGTGGAACCTTCGTCACCTTTTGGCACAAGTTCTTTTGATGTTGGAATATTCCAGTAATTGATTGACAATGACTTTTCTTTTTCTTGAATGACATTGTTATTCCATTCGCTCGCCTCCTCCTTATAAACAGGCAGTTCCTGCTTCGGCTTTTCTGATGGATCTGAAAGAATTGTAAAAATTGGTGGAAATGATGACACCTTCATCTACTCAATATTTTGAAAGCAGTAGGTTTTAGCGCTCCATGAAAAGAAAGAGAAAATGTGCATATTGAAAAAAAAATGAAACATAACGTACCAGACGACCCCTGGTTTACGTCAATTGGAGCAGATGAAGAGAAAGCTAATGGAGGTTCCAATAAAACCGAAGGCTCTTCTTCATCCTCCTCAAAGAGAAGATCTGGTATCTCTTCTGCAGGTTGGGGCTCTGAAGTAAATCAAAAAACAATCAATAAATTCGAATAGGAAGAGATGAGTAATCTCAAAGATCATTAGAAACCATTTACCATTACATTCTATTGATGCGTTAAAAAGAAGTTTCTCACATACCTGCAGAAGTCAGTTCTGCTTCTAGTTGAATTAATGATGGGGTGACTTGTTCAACTTTAGGCTGGTTGGATGATTGGGTTTCAAAGTCAGCAAAAACCAACGATATTTCCTGTTCAGCAACGATCTCTTCTCCTGAATACTCTTCTGCATCCTCCTCGAAGAGAAGATCTGGTATCTCCTCTGCAGGATGGAGCTCTGGAATAAATGAAAGAACAATCAATAAAATCGAATACGAAGAGATGAGTAATCTCAAAGATCATTAGAAACCATTTAACATTCATTACATTCTATTGATGCCTGAAAGAATTTTCTCACATACCTGCAGAAGTCAGTTCTGCTTCTAGTTGATTTAATGATGGGGTGACTTGTTCAACTTCGGGCTGGTTGGATGATTGGGTTTCAAAGTCAGCAAAAACCAACGATATTTCCTGTTCAGCAACGATCTCTTCTTCTGAATACTCTTCTTCATCCTCCTCGAAGAGAAGATCTGGTATCTCCTCTGCAGTTTGGGGCTCTGAAGTAAATCAAAGAACAATCAATAAAATCGAATACGAAGAGATGAGTAATCTCAAAGATCATTAGAAACCATTTACCATTACATTCTATTGATGCGTTAAAAAGAAGTTTCTCACATACCTGCAGAAGTCAGTTCTGCTTCTAGTTGAATTAATGATGGGGTGACTTGTTCAACTTCGGGCTGGTTGGATGATTGGGTTTCAAAGTCAGCAAAAACCAACGATATTTCCTGTTCACCAACAATCTCTTCTTCTGAATACTCTTCTTCATCCTCCTCGAAGAGAAGATCTGGTATCTCCTCTGCAGGTTGGGGCTCTGAAGTAAATCAAAGAACAATCAATAAAATCGAATACGAAGAGATGAGTAATCTCAAAGATCATTAGAAACCATTTACCATTACATTCTATTGATGCGTTAAAAAGAAGTTTCTCACATACCTGCAGAAGTCAGCTCTGCTTCAAGTTGAATTAATGATGGGGTGACTTGTTCAACTTGGGGCTGGTTGGATGATTGGGTTTCAAAGTCAGCAAAAACCAACGATATTTCCTGTCCACCAACAATCTCTTCTTCTGAATACTCTTCTTCATCCTCCTCGAAGAGAAGATCTGGTATCTCCTCTGCAGGTTGGGGCTCTGAAGTAAATCAAAGAACAATCAATAAAATCGAATACGAAGAGATGAGTAATCTCAAAGATCATTAGAAACCATTTAACATTACATTCTATTGATGCGTTAAAAAGAGGTTTCTCACATACCTGCAGAAGTCAGTTCTGCTTCTAGTTGAATAAGCGATGGGGTGACTTGTTCAACTTCGGGCTGGTTGGATGATGAGGTTTCAAAGTCAGCCATAACCAACGAGATTTCCTGTTCATCAATGATCTCTTCTCCTGAATACTCTTCTCCATCCTCCTCGAAGAGAAGATCTGGTATCTCCTCTGCTGGTTGGGGCTCTGAAATCAATGGATTGAGAAATACTGGTGATTTATTTTGAACTTGGAATAATGAATTTTTCAGTATTAGTCTGTTGTGTTAAAATAGGTACCTTGTTTTTGAATGATATATGATTCTATTTCTTCTATTGTAAGCATACTTTTGAAAATGAGTGACTGCCTTAACCAAGGAACTAAATGATTGTAAACAATCTTTAGATACCTAAGAACTGACAGAATGCATAAAAAAAGGAAAGAGAAAGTCATAATTTACCGATGTTAATGCATATTTCGATGACTTCCTGAGATTCTAAGCTTACAGAGTTGTCGGGTTGGCTACATCTGTCAATTCGCCTGCTTGATGACCTTAATTCTAGACCAGAATCATGCGAATTCTCGTGAAATGCAACGACTTCGTTGTCTTCTTCGTGCATAGCTGCATTTACACTCCCATCTTCATTTGTCATCAATGACGACTTGATGTTCAAGAGATTTGGATCTGAAAGATATTTTTCAATCTTAAAGACGTAACTTATTTTATAACCAATTCACTGAGGCTATGCGAGTATGGTGTTTGAAATTCTAATTATTTTAGGCAAGGTTTATGTCTTTGGCTACTGCAGAAAGGTACCCAACCTTTGCTTCAGGAAATATGTGACCGCCGCAAAAGTTGAGCGTTTATTTTGAAGGTGTTAGTTACATTTTTCTAATTTTTTCTTAAATCCTTCATTTTTTTAATGCTTGTAGATTCTTCAAGCTTTAATCCTTAATTTATTCTTTTATTCTCAAACGTTTTGCTTCTCTGCGAGTATTACTTGTTGCTCCCTGGAGTTCCCAGTTCGTGACTTCAAATCAGACTTTTCAGTCCGGTATTTTGAATCCACTTTACCAAGCTTGAACAGTTGTGCACCTTCAGCCATAAAGAAAATATGGGACGTGGCTCCATTTTGAAAGCATGACCTCTTATTGTACCCCGACGAATCTTTTTCATTACACATTTTTAAATATATTCTTCAAATTAGGCAAGAATACATTACAGATATATGGAATAGCTTTTAACAAACCTACCGATGAATTCAATTCTCCTCTCGTGCTTTGATCTATAAGTCTGGAGCATTTCATATATCCTAGAAAAATGATTGAGATTGTATTAGTGTGGGTTTGCTGTTCTTTTCCAAAACGATTTTATGGAAAACGGCTGAATTTTACATTGGTTGCGTTCACTATGAAATTGTCACAAAGGCTTTGAGAGTTTGTTTTTTACTACAACTAACAATTCACTCCTCATTAGAACCTTAAACTTAAGATTCTTAATGCTAAAACAAGTATAGCTTTGTCAGTTTACTAGCTCAGATTTCTGATGAAATTTTCAATTGTATTGCTATACCTTTTCTGGCGAAATTGAAGAGCCTTGTCCTCTGCGAGGCTGCTGTATCTTGTACGGTAGATCTCTGCACCATAGCGTAAGAGGATCTCAACACATTCTTCTTCTCCTTTGACGATCGCCAGCAACAAGGGGGTCCTGTGTTGAAAAAGCAAAATATCAAGTATTTACATTTCGTTACATATAACTTTTATATGCTTTCTTAATATTGGATCATTAGCAACACCAATTGAAATAATTAGATAAGAACCTTTTTTAGATTGGCTAAATAACGAGGAGCAATAAATCTATATATTGAGGCCTTGTGCAATGTTAACAAAGTCAGTTGAAGTATGCTATTTTAACGAACAACTACAAAATTGATTTCCATAAATCCTTTAAAAATTGATTCAAACCATACTTACTTTCCGATCATCTCTCTGATTTCTGTTTCTGCTCCACTTTTCACTAGCAATAAAACCACATTTGGCAACCCAGCAAGGACTGCTTCGTGCAGTGGCGTAGATATATGCTGTGAAAATTCAAGTTTTATGAGTGGGAGTTCTTAGGTATTTATGAATGCATGCATGCTTTACACCAATCAATATATGAATGCTACATTTTAATGATTTTTAGAGTTAGAGCATCAAAGATTCAGCATAGGTTAATGAGTAAGAGAGGCTCGTAAATCATCATCTGTATTTATAGATATCTTGCGCTGTTTCTAGTTGTAGCCTTGTTATTCTGATTACCCTATGGTGTTGATCATAGAGTTCTACTTTTACAAGGCATTACCAAACAAGAAACCATTCCGGAATCGTTACGATATCGTGGATTGTGTTGACTTGCTCTGAAATCTTAATCAAGATAGTTTGTGATGAAGCAGTGTCTCATTCTTGATACTTGTTGTGGAAACTAGTTTCATCAATAATGCAAGAAAGAGCTTTTTCTAGTTATGTTGAAGATCTTTTAATAACAGAGAAGAGGCTTTCAATTATCACACTTTCTATTTCGGCTGTCTTTGTTCAGGTGTACTTTTAACCAGCGTACAAGAATAAACTAATAGCAAGGTGACTTACCATATCTCTTGCATTCACATTCACATGCACTTGTTTTACCAGATATTCTGCAATCTCCATTTTCTTTCTGAAAATGGCGTAATGCAGTGGTGTGGTCCCTGCGTGGTCAGGTCGGTTGAAGTCAAACTCTATTCCGTAGAATACTTTGACTATATCCAAATGTCCGTTTTTGATTGCCTGTTCAAAAAGAATCATCATTAGGATTGGCGACACATTACAACAAAAGGAAAGAGATCAAATTCAGCCACTATCCTCTCTACTTTAAAAATGTTGGTTTAAAAAAGAAAATGATCTATAAAGTTGTCGGAAATTGTTACCTTAAATAGCAGTGAGGGGTGCCAACGTGAAAGGAAAGGTAGATTGCAAAAATTGACACTAACGAACAGGACCATATTTAGAGAGAGATATATCTTACCATAAAAATAGGACTCCTCCCAAATCTGTCAATAGTGATTTTGCCATCAGCATCCAAAATGAGCCGTACCACTTGAATTCTGCCGGCGAGGCATCCATAATGCAGTGCCGTGCTGCAAAATTGCAATAGAATTTATGCAACCTTTATCTATAGATAACTAAAGAGACTAACGTTTTTCACGAAGAAAGCAAAAACTCAAATTGCTACATAGAAAATTAAAGCATCAAAGAAAATAATAGTTCTAAGTTTGTAGACCCCTTTGAAAGGCCAAAAATATCACAGATTTCTTTCCAGGAAAGATAAAAATTTAAGGGAGGGGGATAAACATTTATAGGCACTTTAAAGACACAACAAATGACACAAGACACAAATAAAATGTACACTAGTGGTGAGATATAAAGTAAAAGTAATGTGTAATAATTTTATTGATGCTAGATAGCACGAATACAAATGATTTGAATTCGTTTAAAAGGTTAAAATATATATGAAACAGATAAGGACTATTAACAAAATCTGTTAAAGAATAGAATAAAATGTATTTAAAAAGGAATTGTCAGAATATCTTGGAAACATTTCAAACTAATATGTTCTGCTTTATTATTACTTGATTTATCATAAAGAAAATAGATTAAAACGAGGAATAAATAAAGCTGATTGCCAGATAAAGTTGAATTGAATATGTCTTCTTTAATTAGTTAGTTCTCTAAATATTAAGACATCCTATTGTTAAAAACTTTTAAGAAGAACATACCGTCCTTCGACATCCTTCTTGTTGATATCAACTCGTCTTTTCTTTAAAAGACTTTGCAATTTCTGAATCTTGTTCTTGTACGCGGCTCGGTGTAACCTTGGAAGATCCCAAAGGTTTAAGCCGTCTTCATTCGTACTCGCTGTTGAGCGGTGAAAAAACTTAGACAACATTGTCAATCCTTCGCAACCGACGTTCACAACGCAACTGATTAAAAATGTTCACCGAAGATGATAAGTTACAAATTGTTCGTAATTTGACGTCATATCAATGAAGGATTATCCATCGTCATAGTTGATTTGGAAGCGAAAAGCCTGGTACCTAATTTGCGTCTCTACAAAAAGTGTTTCCAAAGCAGAATTTGGCAGAAGAGCTAATTAAAAGAAATGAAGAACAAGTCTTACTGCTAAAATTATCAAAAAACCTTTCAATAATGGTTGTTCATTGATAGACTGTGTATTTATAAGCATCGGGTTGTTAAAGCAGACAGTTTTCAGATCTTACGTCACTTTTACCGCTTGAATACGAGGTTACTCTTGGTCTCTTTTGCGGAAGCAATTTGTTAGTGTTTTTGAAAACAGTGTGAGAATAGGATGCCTCCTTGGAGGCACAAAAAAGGAAAATAGATAATGAAATACCACAGAGCAAGATCTGAAGATTCCCACAATAATAGCTAACATCATTGGGTCTTTGGGAATCTGCAAAACAGACGTAGTAATAGTATCATTGCATAGCTTTTGCCAAAGACAATAAAGATAAGCTGGGAGAAAATGTCCAAAAATCTATTAAACAATTTTATTCAGATTAATTTTCTGGAAGAAGGGCAACTAAAACGAATCCAATGAATACCGTTTGAAACCTAAGTTTTATCCAGGAAAATTGTTCGACCACCAGAAGAATCGCTTACTTTTCGATTTTACACAAACAAAATGTTTTCTTGTAAACCTCAGAGTACGGGAAGGATTTGCATTTTCAATTCTGATAAGATAAAACCTTATCTTGTCGATAATTCATACAAGTTCATTTTTAACAACTTAGAATTACTATTCAAAACAAATATCTACGATAAAATGTTCACTGCGAAATCTCAGAAGCCATTTCGTTTCTAAACTCATGGGGGAGGAAACAATTAAAGAATTCAACAGCTCGTTATATTTTCCATTGCCAATGAATCATCAAAAACATTAGAAAAATAGTCCAAAAAATTATGAAGCGTTCATAGTAGGATCAGTACAGCACATAGAGGCCCCATGGAGAGCTTGGATTACTCGGGTGTAAAGGGCGAGAGAAAAGAAATAATAGTGAACTTGAGATTCTGTTGTTTATTGATTAAGGAGAAACAGCAAGGGATACATATTGTATGTAGAAAATGCATAGAAAACGAATGTTGATCCAGATATTTGAGGTTTACTTTCAAGTTAGGGGTCTGGGACACAGGCTACATTGTTCAAGAGCGATCTTCCTTATTCGGACACAGGCTGTCAAAGTTCCCGAAGAGCGCCCACAGACATATGAATGAAGGAAATGGATAAATTAATAATGATGTCCATTCGTCTTAATTTGTACCCTTCAAATGCAAGTAAATAAAGAAAAGGCTTAATTTAAATGAGGCCAAATTCTGTCTGTGACATATTCAAGGCATCTTTGGTCATTGACAGTAAACAACACACCCTTTCTGTTTAGCAGTGGATTTGAAGGGCCTATCACTTCACATTATGGCTGAAGCAAAAGTTCTTGTTCTCGGTGGATGTGGTTTTGTTGGGCGCAATTTGGTTGCATATTTAATAGAGAACAACCTGGCTAGCATGGTTCGTGTAGCAGACAAATGCCACCCCAAACAGCATGGCTTAATATCCACCCAGAGGCGGATCTAGGGGGGGTCCTATGGGTGCTTGAGCAACCGTCAAATCATTCAGGATGTGATATTTTGAAATTTCAGAGTAGGCGGACACTAAATTAGAGGTTTTCATTTGTCTTCCCCCGAGAAAATTAATTTCTGTCCCGTCTGAGCATTTCTAGCCCACTCTCTGTGTTTTCAAAGCCAGTAAATTTACGGACCAGACTGTGCTGCTTTTTATCGTTTCTAAAATTTCCATCACCCCTTGGTCTGTGCTTTAGTCTTTCGCAAACTAACTATAGCCAATCAGTGATGACCTTGAGCACCAGTGATTGAAAAGCAACCAATCGGCTTCTGATATCGCAGGTGCTCACTTTTGGCGGGAGCACCCCCTATTGTCAAACGTAGTTCAAATTTTCATTTAGGCAGGCGGAAGAAGCATGTTGTAGTTGTTGTGTAGAAATGGCGATCGCCAGTCACAACAGAAGTGACGCGATTTCTTTTGAATAGAACGAAAGCGTGTGTAATGAGGTGAGGCCTATATTTCATTTTTTAAACTTGAGGCTTTTAATTTGGTGTTTATGAAACTTCTATGAATCTCAATTAAATAGCCAAGAGCTCAGTCTTACCGACCTACTGATTGCCCAGAAAATTGTCATCTTCCCAAAATCATTAACCAGATATTAATTAGTACATAAACTGACAGAAACATTAATGATATTTATTTCATCTATTAGAAGTAGCTGTATTTTAAAAAAGTTTATTAAGTAGTCAGAATGATTGAAGAAGAAATCAAATATTTATTGTTTTTATTTTAACCGAGAGAAAAGAAATCACAATTGTTTCTTAGTATCATTTTGTTGTATTTTATGCATCGGTTTCATTTGAAAAATCACATTGCCGGAAGTTGAGCAGATAATTGTTTTAAAATCAAATATTGAAAAAACAGGTATTGACAACCCTTTCTCTTTGAATGTCCAAAAGAGATTCTAATCAGCATAAACTTTGAAGGGCATGACAGCAGCCCCACCCAAAACTGAGCACCCCTCAAATTTTTTTCTGGAGCCGCCCCTGTGAGCCCACCATAAGAAAATCTTTGAAGACTATCGAGTTGTTCTCAGTCTACCTTCAACCATCAGCAAAATTAAGTATATCTGGGGATTGTGAACTTGAAGTTTCAACAGAAGAAATCATACTCTTTGATGTAAAATGCTCAAATGTGAGACTTGTTTCATGGCCAATACCATCCTTACGGCGGTTTGGTTTTGATGCCACTAGGTTTACTTTTGAGACTGGAAGTTAACAAAGCAATATTTTATGAAATGACAGGCACAAAATATATCTTTAATTTAGTCATACATTATATTTTATCATAATTCACATGCTCAAACTTTCTGACTTGGATCCTCTTTGAAATGCATCTTGTAGAAGCTGTTTTTTTACCTTTTGATTTTGGAAAATTCTGCTTACTATGATTTTACCAAGCTTATTAGAATAAAAAATACAAACTTTGTAAAATTACTGTAACTTTATCATTTCTTGAATCTAAAACTAGGAGCATACTTACCATAAATTCTTAAATAATGATTTCAAGTGTATGTGGGTTATTTATGTCTTTCTTCTGCAGACGCTGTGACACTGGGGAGGGTATGTTTGTTTTCAAGACTAAAGATGGTGAAAGAATCCATCAATTGGTGCAAAGCTATGCACACCAACTAGCATTTGATTCTAGTAAATGCTTATCAGCTGATGACAGTGACAATGACAATTGCATTTTTCACCCACTTCCTCCAGTTCCAAGTGAGTAGTACAGTGCATTTATTAAAGCATTACAATTGAACTGTCAAAAGAATCGGATGTTTTTAAGCAGCAATTAGATGAAATTCAGATGTTCACAATTACTTTATAAATCCATGAATATGTTATCAGGCATAACCTTTTCTACTTTAGTAAGAAATAAGCACATATCTTATCTATTGTAATTGTGTGGTATGCCTCTATTTACAAGTTGTCTTATTTCGCAAGTTATTTCTGGTTTTGGTCTTTAGTTTCCATGATTTAACAAACTTTCAGATAGTTTGCCAATAACAGAGAGACCCAGGTATCTTGCAGCAAAAATGCTCTATCTTTAATCTATGACATTTTAATTAAAGTTTCTTCTTTGGAAAACTGTTTCCTGTTTTCTTTAATATTAAGCTCAAGCATTGAAACTTCATATAATCTACTTTTTGCTTGTTAGTTGTTTCAATGCTCGAATTTTGAACTTGGCACTTGGTTGTTACATTACTATTTGACCTTGAAAGCATTTAGACACCACAGGCTCTTCAACCGCATCCAAGGACCATGGGGCGACCACCACTTTTAATCCTTATTTTCTGCTTCAGTTGGCATTCATCAATCATTGTACCATTGCACACATAGGCCTAACCCTGATGAAGTTGTCAAATACTATATTTTCAAGATGATATTCACTGTAAGTCAAGCCACCCGTATTGTAAATAAAAAATATCATCTTAATTTCTTTTTCAGCCACAAGTAGATATGTCAACACCCAACCAAAAGAATCTTTGGCCATAGTGATTTAAAGTTTCTGTTTATCAGTTCCGTTTTTTGCCTTCAAGAATTCTCTGAACAAATACACAGGCATTGAAAATATAGATAAACCCTCATATGCCATGATTTTCTCTACTACAAAATTCATATTATCACAATATTGTTGACTCTATTTGTTCAACAATGTTCATTAAATAAATCAACTTGCTTTTTACATTTTAAGGTAAGTCATACCAATTTGTGCTACCACGACCATTATAAAATGGTCAATTTTGTTTGGTTCGATTTTTGGTCCTCAATCAAAATTAGTTTTATAATCTTCGCTTCTCTTGGCTTCATTTCCCCAAAAGCTGCTATCTTCTGGCACATTTTTCTACGAAATAATTACAAATCATCTTTTAATTTTTAAATTTACATGGCGTTGCAGGCTACTAATCGCAGCGCTGTTTTCAAAGAGGCGCTATCGGATAACTAACTCCCGTCTGCGTGAAACTTGTACGGTGCAGAATGACAAAACAATGAATCTTGCTTGAATATCAAGGCTTCTTGAGCATTTTCCAAATACGCAGCAATTTGATAAAAACGGACAAAAGAATACCTATCATTAGATTTGTCAACAATTTCTGACAATCTAAGAATGGAAGGTTCTGCGTTGTTCTAATTGCCTAATATCTCTTTTACCAAACAAGATTCAATGATAGGTATTACTGATAGAAATTTTTTTTTAAGGGACTGTTATATGGCCAAAAAGCAACAGCATCCTGAACTTCAATCCTAGCCAGAAAAGCTGGAACAATACAATAATATCGGCCAAAAGTTCACCATCCTAGGATTTAACTTCATCTCCAAGTCATCATTGCTGTTGCTCTATTCTCCCTCTCTCCTCACGTACAATCTTGTTTCTTTCATTAGAAGTGTTTGTGCATCCAGTCTTAGGATGTCACTGACAAACATGCAGTATTAAGCAAAACTGTAGGGGAGGAGGGGAGGAGAAACAACTTTCAGATCTATGCTTCCTTTTTTTTGGTGTTCCAACAATTCACCTTTCCGAACTGGCAATCATATTTTTGCGGCCCGTTGCAACTGTCGCTAGGTCGTCAATACTCTTTTTCTACCCATCGTAACACAAATAAACATGACAGATGACAGAACTAAACTTACCAAATTTAAGTTTGATTCAAGTGCCTTGGTTTTCCCGTCAGTACTGTTCAATTTTCCTTCATGCTCAACCAATTCTCTTGTCATTTCGTTTTCCAATCTGTCACATTTTTCACACAGTTCTTTTTTCTCAGCAGATAGCAAATCAACCGTTGCTTTTAAGCCTTCAAGCTCATAACATGCCTCATCATATTTGCCGCGAAACTTTATCGCATCGGCCATTGAAACCGTGTACACATTCTCCATTGCCCGTAAATTGTTCTTTGCTTTTCGTAGCTCTTCATTTAGCGCCTCATTCTGCTCTTCCAAATTCACAAAGCTTCTTAGACGAAATTTCAAATTGTCAATCTCAACTGAAAGATCAGCTTTTCTTAAGTTTAAAGAGGAAATTGTTCCACGTTGCTCTATGGACACCTCTTGAGTCAGTTGATGTTCTTTTTCAAGGTGATCCAACTTGAGGCGATAATCGGAAATTTTAGATATTAAACTGTCATTTTCGTCTTGTGCCTCCAATAGCCTTAAATGTTCTCTTTCCCACTTCTTTTGTAGCTGAAATATTCCTTCTTCAAGATGTGTTCTCTCCTCATTCTTTTGCTTGACAATGTCCTCGATCTTTGAAAGCTCAGTCAAGAATTTTTTCATCTCTTCTTGTGTTTTCTTCTCTTGAATTTCCAATTCATTTAATCTGAAAGACTTGACCAATAGCTCCTCATTTTCTTTCTCGAGAAGCCCAAGTAAAACTTCATCTTTTTTTTTATCCTTCATAAGCTTATCGGCTTGCAAACAAAGCTGCTCATTGTCGGTCTCCAGGTTAAATTGATACTCTTTCATACCTCTCTGCATGTTGACTTCCTGTTCAAGTTGCTTGCTTAAAACTTCCACTTTTTTACAGAGCTCTTCGTTCAATAAAGCCAGCCGTTTGTTTTCATGGACGACATCTTCCTTATCCACTCGCTGCTTTGCTGCACCATGCAGGCGTGATTCTATTCGTTTGA